TTTTTCTGTCGTCAATGTACTTTGCTAACTGGGTTTCTATTTTCTTTTCCCTACGATAGACTATGAACACGTCTTTCATGGAGTCCGTCTGGTGGGTCTTCAAGCAGCTCTTCGACAAGGACCTCGTCTACAGAGGCTACCGGGTCATGCCATACTCGACCGCCCTCAACACCCCCCTCAGTAACTTCGAAGCCCAGCAAAACTACAAGGATGTCCAGGACCCCGCCGTCGTTGTCACCTTCCCTCTCGTCAACGACCCCGAGACTTGCATGCTCGCGTGGACGACCACTCCGTGGACTCTGCCCTCCAACACGGGCCTTGCGGTGCACCCGAATTTCGAATACGTCAAGATCTTCGACGAAGCATCTAAAAAGCACTACATCCTCCTCGAAGCCTTGCTCCGGACCCTCTACAAGGACCCGAAGAAAGCCAAGTTCAAGGTCGTTGATCGATTCAAGGGCTCGCACATGAAAGACTGGAAGTACGAGCCCCTGTTCAACTACTTCTACGAGGAGTTCAAGGACCATGGATTCCGCGTCCACAATGCCGAATACGTCACGGCCGAAGATGGTACCGGTGTGGTTCACCAGGCCCCGGCCTTTGGTGAGGACGATTACAAGGTCGCCATGGACGCGGGTGTCATCGGTGATGGACGCCTGCCCCCCAACCCCGTCGATCCGCAGGGCTGCTACACCGCCGAAGTCCCGGATTTCGAAGGCCAGAACGTGAAGGCCGCCGATCGAGCCATCATCAAGCACTTGAAGGCCGCTGGTCGTCTGATCGTGGACAGCCAGATTACGCATAGCTACCCATTCTGCTGGCGTTCCGACACTCCCTTGATCTACCGTGCGGTGCCGTCCTGGTTCGTCAAGGTCCCCCCCATCATTCCTCAGATGCTCCAGGGCATTGATGAATCGCACTGGGTGCCCTCGTTCGTCAAGGACCGTAGATTCTCCAGCTGGATCCAGAATGCCCGCGACTGGAACATCTCCAGAAACCGTTTCTGGGGTACGCCGTTGCCCTTGTGGGTCAGCGAAGACATGAAGGAAGTCGTGGCCGTGGGCAGTGTTGAGGAGCTCAAGACGCTCAGTGGATACCAGGGTGAGCTGACGGATCTCCACCGTGATAAGGTGGACCACATCACCATCCCGAGCAAGCAAGGAAAGGGTGAACTGCGCCGTGTGAGCGAGGTGTTCGACTGCTGGTTTGAATCGGGCAGCATGCCTTACGCCTCCCAGCACTACCCCTTTGAGAACAAGGAGCAGTTTGAGAAGGGCTTCCCGGGCGATTTCATCGCCGAGGGTCTGGATCAAACGCGCGGTTGGTTCTACACCTTGACCGTCTTGGGCACCCACCTGTTCGGCAAGCTGCCGTTCAAGAACTGCGTCGTCAACGGAATCGTGTTGGCCGAGGACGGCAAGAAGATGTCCAAGCGCCTGAAGAACTACCCCGACCCCACTCTCATCATGGACCGCTACGGCTCGGACGCTCTTCGTCTGTACCTGATCAACTCGCCCGTTGTCCGCGCGGAGCCGCTCCGATTCAAAGAGACTGGTGTTAAGGAGATCGTTGCCAAGGTCCTCCTGCCCCTGTGGAACAGCTACAAGTTCTTTGAGGGTCAGGCGGCTTTGTTCAAGAAGACCAACGACACCGACTACGTCTTCAACCCGGAGTCGGAAGCCACCAACACCAATGTCATGGACCGCTGGATCCTGGCCAGCTGCCAGAGTCTCCTCAAGTTCGTGAACCAGGAGATGGCCGGGTACCGCCTGTACACCGTCGTCCCCCGGTTACTCGAGCTGATTGACAACACCACCAACTGGTACATCCGCTTCAACCGGAGACGTTTGAAGGGAGAAAACGGCATCGAAGACACCCAGCACGCCCTGAACACCCTCTTCGACGTGCTCTTCACGTTGGTGCGCGGGCTCGCTCCGTTCACGCCTTTCATTGCCGACACCATCTACCTCAAGCTCCTCCCCCACATCCCGGAGGCTCTCCGTAGCGAAGACAGCCGGAGCGTGCACTTCATCCCCTTCCCCGAGGTCCGCGAGGAGCTCTTCGACGAGGTCGTCGAGCGGAGGGTTGAGCGGATGCAGAAGGTCATCGAGATGGGTCGTATCTCCCGTGAGCGCCGTACCGTGGGTCTGAAGACCCCCCTGAAGACGCTGGTCGTGATCCACCAGGACCCTCAGTTCCTGGAGGACGTGAAGTCCCTGGAAGGCTACATTCTGGAGGAACTGAACGTGCTCGAACTCATCCTGTCTTCCGACGAGGAAAAGTACAACGTGCACTACAGCGTAAACGCCGACTGGCCCACGCTGGGCAAGAAGCTCAAGAAGGACGTCCAGAAGGTCAAGAAGGCGCTGCCGTCGCTCACCACCGACGACGTGAAGAAATACGTGGCGGACAAGAAGATCCTGGTAGACGGTATCGAGCTGGCCGAGGGCGACCTGGTGGTCAAGCGGGACCTCAAGCAGGACGCGTCATCGGCCAACATGGAGCCCAACGCCAGCGGAGATGTGCTGACCATCTTGGACGCCAACCTCTACCCCGAGCTGGCGCACCAGGGTCTGGGCCGAGAGATCATCAACCGCCTGCAGCGTCTGCGTAAGAAGGCGGGCCTGGTCCCCACCGACGACGTGAAGATGGAGTATGCCGTCCTGGCCGATCCGGAGGACGTTGGCATCGGCGGGGCGTTCGAGACCCAATCCCCGGCCATCGAAAAGGCGGTGCGTCGGCCGCTGGAGCGGGTTGACCTTGTTGACGGGAAGGCCCCCAATGGCAATGCCGAGGCCTTGATCATGGAGGAGGAGCAGGAAGTCCAAAAAGCGACCTTCCTGTTGCGGTTGCTCAAGCTATAGACGTGATCCGGTCCGGGATAGTGGCGGATATGACGTCGGTTTTAGACCTCTATTTTCCTTAACATATAACGCTTTCAAGAGTATTGAATTTCACAAGAAAAAAAAAAAAAAAAGGTTCACTCTATAGATAATAGAAATACGTATCGTATTCTGTAATAAAAGAACCCCCCTCCCCCATGCGCCAAATCCATGCAACTGGGCCCTACCTTGCGGCCCTCTTTAAGCCTTCTTAGCCGCGGCCTTTTCCATTAAAAGAGAGTCCTCGGTCAGTATCTTATCTCCAATCAGGACATCCTCATGGAACCTTACCAGGTAACAATCCTTCAACCTCATAAACTCTTTCGCACACATATCCTTCTGAACCGCGGTGTAGTCCGCTACAATGCATTTGCCATATGCAGCCGCCTAAAGAACTCGTCAGCGCTGATCCCTCAACGTCGAGCATCAATGCCCGAAATCGGGGTATTCACCTCCACCGAGCACTTGGCTGTGGCCTGAGCAAACTTCTCGATCGGTCTGATCCGTGGTTGCGACATTGTAGACTCGATACTCTCTGGGGATGTCAATTGAGTCTCTTTCCATCATGCGATGCGGTCACTTGGGCGACGCCGGCGCGATTATGTCAGCATATACCACACGTGACCCCGCCATTCCATGTTTGGGTCGGCGCGACAACAACAGCACGAACGACGGGCAGTGGGAGACTTACCAAGTGACTGGGAGTGTTGGTGCCTTTCTCTTTCCAAGATTGAATCAAGTTCGAATTGAGGGGCATTGGACTTGCCGAATGGTGTACTGCTCTCCCGCTCTCTCTCTACACTCGCGATTTCCGGGTCCCCGCAATGATTGATTTCGTTGTCCGCCTCTATGACCCATTTGCGAAAAACGCGCCTTAGGTCGCGGATATTTCGATGCCTCCCATTTCCCGTCAGAGAAGACCTCTGTCATATGACGACCCGGCGCTTTCAGACGAAGGTATACATTATTTATAGCTGGATTATCACTCTTTCTTCGCCGGTCTCTAATGTTATTGTCTCGATCTAGATGTCGGCCTCATCTTTCAGGTTATCACTTTCGCGGAGGCCGACCCCGAGGTCAAGCGCCTGCCCTACCGAGCTCTATTTCGGGCATACGATCAGGTCATCGAGGAACATGGCGTCGACGCCGACCCGAGCTACGCCTGCATGCGGTTCTTGCTGAAGATGGGGAATAAGAATGTCGTGGGAAATGACCTCTACGAGAAGTTCGAGAATCTGTTAGAACAGGTGGGGATCGTGCTGGAGATAGGGACGAATGACGGTGAGGGAAATGAGTCGACGTATGCGGGCAGTGTGTCCTCGATCGACAGACGACCGAGGAAGAATGTCCCTTCTGCCGACGACACGACCCAGGCTACCCCGCGGAGACGCGCCTCTTTCAATTCAATGTACGATGTGGGCGACGATCCCACGCAGCGGAGTTTGCTTAATCGCCCGAGTTCGCGCTCCTCTATGTCACGACTCCCTGTGGAGAAGCCGGAGTTCTTGGATCAGTATCCGGATTCGCGGCCTTCTCCTGGGCGGGCGGCTGCTCGCACGGGAACTGAGTCGCCGGATAGGACGCAGCTTATTGCCCAGTTTCTTGACGTGGGTCGCAGATTGATGTACCGGATGGAACATTTGGATCCGAATAACGAGACTGGTGGACAGCCTGTTGTGGCTGGTCGTGGTCGCCGTGCGAGATCTGCGGTTGACAAGGACCGCTCAGCGAGAATGGTCGAGAACGCCAATCCGCGCAACCAGTTTCGCAATCCACCCCCGCTCAGCTCGAGTGAGGATGATGAAGAAGAAGAAGAAGCGGACGAGTCGCCGTCTGTCTCATCGCAGAACGATCACGATTCAGTCGGGCGGGTGGAAGTCGCTTCGGAGATGCTGTATCGTCCATCATTGTCAGACCTGCTGCGGGACGCGTCAACGTTCAATATGTACCGACAACGCGCAATCAATCGAAAGATCTTGGCTCACTGGGTCAAAAAGGCTGTCCAGGCGCGGCAGAGCCACCGGCATATGGAACTCGTCGCTGTGAACCGGGATAGTCTTACCCTGATGCGCCAAGCGTTCGAAACGTGGCATTCGATCATCCGGAATAAGCGGCGCGCAGTGCAAACGGAGCGGTTCTTCAAACATCTCGAGGAGCGCGCCGGGCGAGCGCGAGACCTGTATCTTGTCACGAAGGCATTCAGTCATTGGGCGCAAGTTACGTCCGACGAAGTGGCGAAGACATCTGCCGCGCGGCGACATATCCTCGGCGTGAAATACTTCAGTGCGTGGCGTGAAATCACCGCCGTCAATGAGATGAAGGCCCAGAGGTTCGCCTTACCCCGACCCTTCCACAACTGGCAACAGAAGGTCCGTCGGCTGCGAGAGATGGAGGAAACCGCCGAGGCTACGCGGCAGGCCAACTTGAAGCATAATGCCTTTTGGCAATTTTTCCGGGGTTACTGCGAACGCCGCGCTCCTCAGTGGTACGACTATCGTCTTAAAAGGCGCTCCCTGCTATCCTGGCTACGGAAGTTCCGAACCAACCGAGAGCGCTACCAAGAGATCGCGCTGAACGATAAACGGGATGCCCTTGGTTCCGCGTTACAAGCATGGTCGCAGAAGTTCAATACGATTGCTAGTTCCGAGCAACAAGCAGTGTCCTTGCACCGTGGACGGGTCCTCGAGGACACATATACGGAATGGCAGAGTCAGACCCGCCTCGCCCCAGCGGCACGCCAAGTGTCTTCCATGGTCGACACTCGGATACTTCTCACAGCCTACACTCAGTGGGTCACCCGGATGCACATGGTCCAACAAGCAAGGGAGATGGATCAGCGACGGATCCTGCGCAATGCGTGGACGAAGTGGAACGATCTTCTCCGGTGCCAGGCACTAAATGCGCGCATAGAAGAGCGGATCAAACTGGAGACCATGTACAAGTGGATCCTCGCCGAACGATTCCGTCTGATGCAACGAATCCGAGAAGCACGAATCAAACGCGAAGTGTTTGCACGATTCGTGACGAACACTCGCCGGACGTATACCCGCTTACTCGACCGCGCCGAAGCCATTGAAGAGAGTCGGAATGAGGACCTGCTTCGATCGAGATTCAATTGCTGGCGGGACAAGCTCTCGCTCCAACGCCAGCGAGAGGCTGTTGCGTTTGAATTTTACGCTCCACGACTGGCACAGGAATCACTGGTGGCCTGGCGCTCCAAAGCTGGACATGCGCTCAGGTTGGAGGAATGGGCCCGGGATGCTCGATTCTACTTTCTAGCTACGAAGACCGTCAAGCACTGGTACGCAGCGTCACTGGTCGCTGCCAAGCGTCGCCGTCAAGACGCTTATGCGAGAACGCGGCGGATGGTCAAGGTCCATCTTGCATCTAGTGCGCTGACCACCTGGTCCGCCAGAGCTCGCCATGTCGCGAACATGGAACAGCAAGCCCTGGAATTTTGGCGGAGGCGATCCATGAACATCGCGTCTGGCGCCTTGGTCCGGTGGCGGGGGGAGACCGACAAGCGAGTCCAAGAGTGCGACGACGCGGAGGTCTACCGTGCTCGACATGTCGCCTACGATCAACTCACGCACTGGGTCGAGAAATTGATCAGTTATCAGCGCATGCAGAAGCAAGCAGACGACGTATACCGTCTGCACAGTCTCCCACGCGCCAACACGCAATTCCGCAAACTCAGTCTACGCATCTTCCAGATCAGCAGCCATTACGAGACAGCAGATGCGCTGCATGAACGCAACTTCCGGAAACACGTCCGGGGCGCGTTCCGCAACTGGTTGGAGAAAGCTCGCATGCAGCTGGAAGCCCGCGATTCGCCCGGCCCCTTACTGAGCCCCTCGAAGACCACCACAAACGGCCACCTCGAAGGCCCCTTGATATTCGACCCCTGGTCCCCCATCGGCACGCCTTTCAAAAACATGAGTTCCCCCTTGGTCGCGGACTCCCAGGGGCCCTCGGCCGCGCCATTCGTGACGCCCAACGTTATGACATCCCCCTCGAAGCGGGCCGCGCGGGCGAAGGCGTTCGCCCAGGCTTCGACCACCCCTGCCACGCCATTATATACGCCGTTTGCCAGTCGACTGCGACTTGCGTCCGAGGGACGCCCGTTGTCAAGTCTCAGGGGACGCAGTGGGCGGGGCAATTCCATCGGGGCTAACGTGCGTTTTGTAGATGACGAGCCCCTGTCGCCATCCGAGGGCCGGAAGTCCGGTGGACGGCGGGTGTAGATGATGTTGGGCTGTGATTGTACTATTACTATCCCTATCACTATTCCCCTTTTCTCTTATCTTTTTTTCTCATCTTTATCATACATAGTTAGGCAAGATCAATTCAAGATACCCTTTTGCGCGTTAAGTAACAACATTCTAAACCTTTATATACAAGTATTTTGGTATTCTCTATTTCTATTTGTTCCTAAAAGATGCAGTGCATGCTACGTATTGTCCGCTTTCCATTTGCTCTTCGTTTTAAATATTTTCAAGTGTTGTGTTTGTAGCAGACTGTGTCATCAATGTATGGAAGAGTGGAAAGAGAGAAGTCAAGTCCCTGTCATCTCATGGTTCTTAGGGAAGAAAACCAGACTAGTTTGTAAAGCTGATACAACAATATTACCCCCCTTCCAGGGAATGTTAGTCCTTCTGTTTCCGTATATCACCGGATGCCACAAAACAGTAGGCTCGTCAGCCCTACCCTACAAGCCCTAACCCGTGTATACTGTGAGCAGCCCAGCCATTGATCACCTACGTGCCAGCTGTGAACAAGACTAATCAAGCAAAAAAGAGGTGGGTTTCATTCACTGAGATACTGTGACAGCAAATACCCTTGCTGTATCAGAGTGTACTGTCACTATTTCTCTGACCCACGCGCCTTCACAAACCTGCATTTCAATGGTATGATAGGCGGCAGGTACGAGATGGGTAGATACCTACTAGATAGACGTTCGTCTGGAAATTACATCCTCCCAGATCCTCTTTTCCTTTCTTTTCCTTCCTGTAGGCTTGCTCAGTTCTCTTAACAAGAGTACTAAAGACAAGAACAACAACGATTATAAAGTTATCCCTCGGGGGAAAAGCCACTGAAATGGGTTATCGAGGAGCCTCTTAAGATTCTCATGGCAGAGGCATACAAACGCCTCATTGATTATACATGGTCTGTCTCTGAACCGATCTCCCAGACTATTGGAGAGGACTAGACTGACTCAGTGCGATTTGTCCCATCGTACAACCAGCAGATTCTCTGGCTTATATATATATATATATCTATAGCAGCTTCTCGTCAGAAAGCACTGGGCACTCGGGAGCCTTCCTCGAGACGCTCAGCTGCTAGTGGAGGTAGTGGGCAAGCTGTTGGAGGAGACTGTGTCGTAGGTGTTTAGGCGTACCATCGAGGGTATTGGTCTGTCTCTGCATCTATCCTGCAAGCTATTTGAGCGGATTAGACTGATTCAATACCGTTTAGTGCTCCAAGAAATGTTCGCCTCGAGAACTAGCAAGCCCGTCCAGGCCCTTCCAGCTCCCTGGGTCTTGGGAGGAGGGATCTGTCTCTCCCAAAGATCTGCGGACGACTGATGGATTTCGCCCACACCTACAAAGCAAATGTGCATGATTATCAGTGGCTGCTCAACAAACCGCTGGAGGTATTTTATAAAGACTTTCTGAAGTGGATCTTGGGGAGAGGGATAGAGCCCTTGTTAGATTGGCGCTGGTATGTCTCTAAATCTATCTCGCACTTTGAAAGCGGATTAGACTGACTCAATACAATCTAGCCCGGAACCCAAAAAAAAGACAAGCCCGGGAGTTTGGAGGCCGGAACAGGCTCTGCAAATCGTCACTGTCCTGGCGACAAACACCAGGGTCGGACAAGAAGCACGCGTAGTGTGATCATTATGGTCATTCTGGCTTGGTCTTTGATAAAACCACTCAGCACCTATTTTTTTTCCCAAATGAAGAAGAAGGTGCCATTTCCAACTCTTCGTGAGGATTCACTCTGGTGGTTGGTAATTTTATCGTTATGCTGTATGGTTTTTCGTTCTACCACTGGGCATGGGTGGCTTGAAACTCACTGGTCAGTAGGCAGTCCCCGGCTTCATGTTGGGACGCTTCGATCTAGCGATAGAAGATGAAGAAAGGCCCTGGGAGGGACTGTGTCATGATGATGATAACGGATTAGACAAAAGAACTGGATGCACAAAAAAGACAGCTATTACCACTAGAAAATTTCTCTTGTTGGAAGATTACCACTCGGCTACAGAAGATATGACACCTTTGAGCTTCGTAAGTAACCCTATATTCAGCGAGAGTCGTCCCAATGCAAAAGTATCGGGGAAATAAATCCCATGTATCGCCTAATAGAATCCCGAAACCATGATATGGTTAAAGAGATACTACTCAACACTTCGGCTCCCGAAGGATGCCATCAAAGTAGCCACTCAGTCCGTCCACATCTTCCAACTCCCCAGTCCATCCAATATACTGATCCGGCCGCACCACCACGAGAGCGCCTCTCACCCGGTCCACCCCCCACGTTTTATACACCTTCCCATCGCAGTAGCGATCCAAGGGGAACACGCTGTCACTCCACACCTTGTCATATCCCCAACCCCACTTGCGGTCAAAAAGCCGCAACACTTGGGGGAAATCTGAGAGCTCGATGTCATCGACCGTGAGACTATGAATGGTCATCACCTCGATGACGGTGTCTAGCTTGTGGCCCTTGGGGGTAAAGCGCTGGAGGATGGAGCCCGGGGAGGCCAGATACTCGCTAAATGTCACCACGCGCTGCTTCTGGCTCTCGTCTAGCATGTCTCCCGCGAGGAGCAAAATGCGGAACCGTCCGTCGCTTTTGAGTATGCGCGAGGTCCACTCCGAGGCACCGTCGGCTTGGTTGCGGATCTTGACCAGGGGCAATCTTTCACCTGGGTCAAGATGTTTGGCGACGCCGGTTGCCTCTTTGAGCACCAGTGGGCTCGCCTGGTAAAAGGACTTGTAGCCCTCAGCGAAGAGCTCGAATGACTCTAGAACATTTCTCATGGTCTCGGCTTTGTTCTCAAAGCACGGCGAGGGACCAGTCTCAGGTGGTGGGTCTTCCTGGAAGTGCGCGAAGAAGTTACGGTCATAGTGGAGGACCTCCTGGGCGACGCGGTGGCGCTCCAGGTCGTACGTGTCGATTATCGACGGGTGAGCAATTCCCTTCAGAACAAGGGCTATCTTCCAGCCGATGTTGAAGCCATCCTGGATGGATGTGTTCATCCCGAGTCCTATCTTGGGCGAATGGGTGTGGACGGCGTCTCCGGCCAGGTGCATACGACGGCCACGGCTGAATGTCGGCGCCAGTCTCTGACCAACCTGATACGCCGTCCACCAGTCACAGATCTCGTAACTGAACTGGAAGGGGCTAAAGATCTCCTGCACCCTCTTGCTAATCATGTCGAGCGTGACCGAGGACCGCTCCTTATTACCTGCCCCTTCGTCTACATCCTTCAGCGAGACGTAGAAACGAGTCAGCTGCCGTTCCCTGGAAACAAACAGGATGGTCCCAGCTTCGGTCGCCACGAACCCACCACGGCGGATGTCCGCTAGCTACAGGTCAGCCCCAACACAATCTTTCCGAAAAGAAGGACACGAACGGAAATCTGTGATGGGGATCACATCCATGACACCCCTGCAGAGAAGTCAGTCTTGTGCGGGGTGTGCGGCAAACAAGATACGGTACCATAAAGCCTCAGTTGTAGAGCCTTCTAGAGGGATGTTCAACTGCTTTCTAGTCCAACTGTGTGCTCCGTCACTTCCAATGATAAATTTGGCCTTGAGTGTCTCTGTCTCTCCTGGGCTTTTGGTCTTCTTGGGGTTGAGATCGTTCCACTCATCTTGCGGCACGTCGCTACGGCCAATGGCTCTCAGGTCGCCGTAAGGCAAACCGGCGTTTGCTTCCTCCTCGGTGAGCGCCCTCAATTTGACGGTTATAGGATACGCATCGAATTCATCAATCTCTACATCATCGGTGTAGGATAGTGATTCCGCGACGATGCTCCTCTCGACGTCAATATCGGAACATTCTCTGATAGTATCCAGGAAGAAGCGTTCGATCCGCGCCTGGCTCAGTCCCATGGGGTAATAGGGTGAGTCGCTGAGAAGGTCATACTGTCTATTACCACCGTGCCGGTGTAACCCTCCATTGCCGTCGGATCGCTGTGATACATCTGTCAGTCTGAGTTTTTCTGGGCCCAGAATCGTACGAGGTCTCGCAAACGAACCCAAAAGGCGTAATGTGCGAGGCTTTGCGCTTCGTGCAAGACCTTATGCTGGAACCCTATGCTGTCAAATAGCTCAAGAGTCCTCGTCCGCAGTCCATCGGCATGGCCCAGCATGACCTTTCTAGTGCGCTTGTCAATTACGCGGGCTTTGATCCCGCAGCGTGCCATCCAGTACGCGGCTGCCAGTCCGGCTGGACCAGCGCCGATGATGAGCCTGCATTATGGCAACCGTCAGTGTAGTCCAACCGTGAAATGGGGGAGGCCAAGACATACACGTCAGTGTGGGAAACAGGTGAATCCGCCATGGTGCAGAGATAGTCAAGTCGTCTCGGTGAGCTAGCAGATATGCGTGGGGCTGGTGCAATCACACAAAGGCGGTTTTACAATGATTTATACAATTCTACAGCTGAATGTTGAATCTTTATGCAGCCGATCTCTGGTACTCGCCCCCACCTGTCACTTCTTGACACGAAATTGTCCTACTGCTGCTGACCGCTTCGCAGATTATGGGCCGATTCGAAAGGCTGAGCTGGGCACGAGTCGTTGTGAGACATGGCGCTCTACCCTCCAAAGACGTACTGACTGGCACTTTCATTGGGGAGGCCATCGTGCACCACAGCGGTTATCCCTGTCGCTAAACGAGGCCATGTCGTGTGGTGTCCAATCGGCGCTTCCGGGAAGCTAGGAATAACACACGAGACTAGTATCTAGTCACTCTACGAAAGAAGTCTTCTCAGTCTCTCCAAGATGAAAATCAGTAGACGATGCAGCTTCGCATGCTTAAAGCTTGTGTCGGATCGGCAAGGGTCCCATAACCATGCACGCTGACTTGGCTGTCAATGCCCTGTAAATTGTGTCCAGTCAGCTGAGGTCAGCTTCGAAGTATGCTCATCTTGCCCAAAACGAGCTGATGATAACCTGGTATGTCCCGGAACCTAGCCACTTACTACTATCCTTGCCCAAATGTTTGGGGCATGTTGAGGGTGCCGCAACTCCTGGGAACTCAACGCAGCGTCATGTTATGTTTACGAGTGATTGGTATTTTCGGATCAACTGTCTTGGCAGGGTCTAGCTAAGGGCATTTTTTCGTCAGAGAGTTTCAACAGTTTGCTCCTGGAGGGCACCACCCATCGATTAGAGCATGGTTATCGCGGTTTGGACCTTGCGGGAGAGGCTTGCTGACCTCTGATGTACCACCGTCGGGCGTGCTGAGGAGGTTGACTTTACGTACCGAGTGACCTCACTACTGTATTGGACTCAAGCAGGTGCACAAGTAACCCGTCACATTTGTTACGCACAGGATATGCGTGCAGACTACGCGCAGGCCGAAGCACAGGTCCAGCCGTAATTGGCCGGCATTAGGGCTTCAATTCTCCTTCCCACTGGAGCTGCAGTAGACACAAGAAACACACACGCGAGCCAACAGAATCAAGTTTACCCTCGAATCAAACAGCAACAGAAACACGAGTGAATTGCTCCTGTTTACTCCTTTTTTATTATCCCCTCAGGGTTGGCGGCGATGTCTATGGACCCCAGGTTCAATACAGGGTGCGTGCCTTGCAGAAAGGCTCCACTGGCGCAAGCCCCTTGATGCAACTCGCCCCGGTCAACGTATGTACTATCCGGGGGACAATTTCATTGGCAGTGCGCCGTCTCGAGGCAGGATCGGCAACAAGCTTTGGCTTCATGGAACGCTCGTTCGGGCTTACTTCGTGGGAAGTAGCCACACAATTCCATGCTCACTCACACAGCCTATCAAGTCGACCACCCTCGACCTCCCTCGAAAAAAGGGATTAACATTCCAGGCACTACATTTCCCTTCCCTTGTTTCTTACTTCTCTATGAGAACGCCTTTAATGAACACCCAGCAAGCATCTCTCCTACATTCCCAGGACCGAAAGTGTACATTCAACAACAACGCCATAACACTCGCGCGTCAAAGGGGGAGAGCGGTCAAAGAATGGACAACAACCCTGAGTGAAATCGAACCATACTTAAGGGAGTATTTCCCTTGTCTCTCGTACCCGCACTTGTCAGTTTCTTCAGTAAATTCATTCGTTCTCATCCTGGACGCTCCTTCCAATACTACCTCGTCCCATACTTCACCCGAAATCATCTACCGGCCTCCGACACAATGCGTTATACTGTGAGTTTCCACTCCAGAACCTCCATAACATAACATGACTAACAAGCAACAGACTCTGAGCGCAGCCTCCATCCTGGCCATGGCGTCCAGCGTCTACGCCGACCCCTACGGCGTCGCGCAAGTCAGCGTGGCAACGCACAACGGATGCGGCACGGGCCACTACCCGCACAACAAGGCCGCAGAGAACGCGAGCAGCAAGCACGCCGCGACCAAAGACACGTGCAAGAGGATCAAGGTCAAGCACGAAATCGGCATCACGTCCTACTCCATAAACGCCGAGCTGATCACCAAGGCCAACTGCTACGGCGTTGGCGTCTTCACCAACGAAGAGTGTCTCGGGGCGGCTGAGTCCGTCGCCTTCTTTGACTCTCATACCCATAAGGCTCAGAGCGTCTGCTTCCCTAAGAGGGTGTTCGGGAAGCACGTTGCTGTCAAGTTGCTGTGTGATGAGCAGAAGCCGGAGGTTGTTGCTCATGCTCCTGAGGAGAATGAGAATGAAGGTGTTGAGCAGGCTCCTCAGGAGAGTGAGAATGAAGGTGTTGAGCATGCTCCTCAGGAGAGTGAGAATGAGGGTGCTGAGCAGGCTCCTCAGGAGAGTGAGAATGAGGGTGTTGAGCAGGCTCCTCAGGAGAGCGAGAATGAAGGTGTTGAGCAGGCTCCTCAGGAGAGTGAGAATGAAGGTGCTGAGCAGGCTCCTCAGGAGAGTGAGAATGAAGGTGTTGAGCAGGCTTCTGAGGAGCGGACGGCTGAGAAGCCTGCCGAGGAGAAGCCCGCTGAGGAGGAGAAGCCCGCTGAGGAGAAGCCCGCTGAAAAGGGAGAAGAGGGCAAGAAAGACGAAGATACCAAGAAGAAGCCCCTCGAAGGCATGGTTGAGTTTCTGCGCAAGCTCGGCCTGTAAGTGAGTCGGTTGCATCCAGTAAGGGCGATTTGAGTACCAGCCTAGCTGTCTGTGGTGTATGAGTGTGAGTCGTCAGGGATGTATACAACCATTCCGATGTAACAATGGAGTCTATCTATCTCTCTATTTAGAATAATAGCAATTCGTCTAATTATGTGTTGTATCTTTGATCTTCATAATCTTATTTTAATGAGATAGATGGGTTGCTCTAAAATTGTCACAGTAGTTAGGAGTTAGCAGTATAAGTGTAGTTAGACATAATATTACCAAAAAGCAGCCAGCTGGATTCATCAAGGCGGAAATGGATGGGTATACCATTAGAATGAAAGAAAAGTAGTGGTAGCCATGATAGACAAAGAATACCTTTCGACTTGGTCCTCTGTAGAGACAAACCCTTACCAATTCAATGATGAAATTAATTATACGCTTCGTCCAGCTTTGCTATCCCACTATACTATACTCTGCTATACGGATATATTTTGAGTCTTTGCAGTAGACAGATATATGTGCCTTACCATCCTATTCTCACTACATATACATCACACCGCATCCCACACTCGAAAAAGGTCACACCTTGTGTACCTAACAGTAACAAGTCGAATATCAAACAACTAGTAGAGAAAGATCGCTAAAATCTCGATCATCACTAGCCACCACCAACAACGCCCGTAGTCAAACCACACATGATAGACAGAGTAAGGAACAGGAAAAGAAGTGAGAAGGGGGGGGGGGGTAAAGACTAGAACCCAAAACTATCAAGCAGCGAGTTCGCGTCCGGCTCATGGAACGTCGTTGGCGGCGGCTTCGGCTTCGGTTTCTGCGGCGCCTCCTCGGTGTCGACGGCTTCGGATTCTAGTCCCTGCGGGAAGCTCGGCTTGATGGGCATGTCTGCAACCACGAGGCTGCTCCGTCGGCGGAGCATCTTGCTATAGTCGATGCCGTTGGCGTCGTGGTGCAGGATGGGTGATGGCTTTGTGGGCGGGTGTGGGATGGTTGGGGGCCCGCTGAGGAATTCCCAGTGGCGCACTAGGTCTAGGGCGAGGAGATCGCAGCCCATGCGGTCGTAGAGGCGGGCGTTGCGGATGATGAAGCTCCATTCAGCTTGGGCGGAGACTTTAGACGCGCCTTTGAGGGTTTGGAGGGTCTTTTCGCGGATTTGTCTGTATAGGACTACTAGTGCCGGGTCGTTGGAGAGGTAGGACTTTGCTTGTAGCGGGATCGTGCCGGCTGATGCTGGGGATGCTGGGGTTGATGGGATGAGGGTCTCGATGGAAGACTATCGGATGGATTAGTTTGTATATCTTGAAAGACGTGGAAGAGAACACGAAAATGGATAATAAGGGAAGAAGGTGATAGGAAACTCACGATGAGTGATCGCACAGCCATGTCACGTCGACCCAGTAACCAGAACGCCCACGACGCCATCCACCGGTTGCCGTCTGATGCCGCCTCTGGAATCACCCTCTCTTCCAGGATTTCTTTCAGCACCGGCCCGTCGTCTCCCTCGTACGCGCGTGTAATGGCGATCGCAAGCTGGACGTCGCCGACCTGGTTGAGACACACCAGCGCGGCGTCGCGCAGGTGGTCTGCGAGCAGAAAGAATGCAGCCGCGTACTCTACACATATATGTTAGACGCCAGACACCAAAGCAAGGATACACGGCTCTCCACTTACCGAATCTCCTCCTCCCAAGCAGAGCATATGCATTTTTCAAGGCCGAGGTCTTCCACCGTGGATCCTGGAAATCGTTCGCCAACAGCCGTTGCGTGGCCCCTTGCTCCCGATTCCAGTGCGCCATGCGCCAGAGTCCTTGCAGGATATTCTTCTTCCGAAGTGCCAAGTAGAACAGAGAACAATCAACGGGGTTCTTCTCGTCTGTCTTCGTATACTCATTTCGTGCTATGATCTCGAGTTGCGCTCGCTAAAGACTGTCAGTAACGGAGCCGTCTTGGAACGACGAGACTAGTACTCACTATAGCAGTAGGACTCGACAGCCACATGAGCATTCCGCTCTCCCTCGCCGACTTCCAGAGTAGCTTGCCACCAAATTGTCGGGACACGAGATCCACGAGGATGTCCTGGCTCCCGCTATGGAATGCCCACACAATCTCCCTCCAAGAGACGGTATCTTTGTTCGCAACACCCTGGGTCCTCCGCAGCATGTGTTGCCGGAAGAACAAAAGGTAGCGAGCGGCATTGTCATCCATCGACCGTCTGTGCTTTTCGACGGTGGCAACGCACTCAACCGTATCGACCAGTCGGAACTGCTCCTGGCTGGAGAGCTGCGGCAGTGCGAACCGAGACAGGTACTCCGTGAGCGTCGCGGCGGAATTCTCATCCACGACACTGGGCTCATCCTCCATAGAGAGATCGCCGAAGGACGAGTTCAGGTCTTTCAACGAAGCTTTTGGCGGAGACTGTGAACGTCAGCTGTGTGCGACATAAGTAACAGTGGCCCAACTCACATCACGATCCAAGTAAAATCGTTCCAGCGGCATCTCCAAGAAGCCATCAATGTCGTCACCTTCCGTGTAGAATTTCAGCTTCCGGAGCAGATTCATCAAAACAGAATGCACAAGACCGGTCTTCCCACTCAGGATATACTGCGCCAAGAACTGGGGATGGAAAACCGGCAGCGGGCCATTCAGCCGGCTCACGACCTCAAACAGGTCTACCGTCGACGACCCTCGGGACGGGAACCGAAGATGCGTGATCAACCGATCCGTCGCGTCAATTTCGTTGCCATACACGAACAGCTGATTGCCCGCTCCGATCGCCAGGTGCCCACCGCTGAGCCAGCAGGAATCGCCAATTGGATGGGGCGTGAGGTCTCGGATCCAGATTTCCCGAATCTGAGTCCATGAAGGGCGCGCATCCAGGTAATCGTACCGGAGCTGTGACAGCAGGATGACCTTGTGGGGAAATCCGACCGCAAGGACCGACTGCCGATCCGGCGTGGACGTCCAGTCGAGATCCCGGATGATATCGTGCTGGGAGAACTGCTCCTCAAATTCTAGTTGAGCGCCGCTCGTGTCCCAGATTGTCAAATGCGTGCGATCCTCATCCACGAGGGCAGCTTTTTTGATGGAGCTCCCGCTCGCCAGTGACAGATTCGTGATCCCCGTCTCGATCGTCGACGTCAGCAGCCAGTCCACCCGGCGTTTCTTCCTGTCCACTTTCGCCGTCCACGTGTGGACCGTCCCACTCTTCGTGTACGACAGCGCAATATCCGGGGAAAACAGGTCAAAGAATCCCGACGTCTCCGTGGCAGGTCCGGCCGGGTCCACGGGGAGAATGTACGAGATGTCTTCTTGGATGTCTAAGCTAAAGGAGCAGAATTTCTCCAATGAACACCGGGGTTCGGGGGTCGCGCCGTTCGCTTCGTGTGTGGCGGTTGGCAGTCGGATTTCCCAGACGAAGCCATTCAGGTCCGACCCGATGGTAGCTATGTACACTACCTCGGAGGCCTTCTCCGTGGAGGGGACGGGGAGAACGCACAAAGGCTTGCTGGACAGCTGGAACGTTGTCGCGGCGATCTTCTGCGCATGGAACGAGCAGATGTCCCAAACCGAAATCCCGTTATGATGAAGGTTGACCAGAAAATCGCCGCTTTCGACGACGCAGCTGCGATGGATGTGCTCGTCCGAGTATAGGGTGCTCTGGCGGAGGAGCACCGGCACGCCGTGTCGCCGCGTCTGTCGCCATATGAGCGCCTTGTTGTCGCTGGTGCGCGAGGCCAGGGTATCCCCGATGGCATTGCGAACGATCTTCTTGACTGGACCGTTGTGGCCCGTCCAGGACGCTTTCATCGAGATCCGGTGCTTCCGCGGAGCCGGATCGAATAAGACATCCACCTGGGAATCGAACCACTCAATCCGGCCGTCGAAGTGGTGAACCAGTATACTGAGCGAGTCGTCCGCGTGGGTACTGTGGAACGCGCACATCTGGGCGTAGTCCTCCTCCGCGGAGCGGCCCGGCATGAACGCCAAATCCAAGCCCTCCACGTGGAGGACGTTGAACGTCTTCAAGTCCGCCTTGGCCTTGCTGCCGACATCTTCCATGGCCCAAGCCGACATATGGCCCTGGCCGTCGAGCACCACGCAGATCTCGGGACTCCTCTTGGCGACCTCAATGATATGCTCCAACGTATGGTTTCCGTGGTTGCCGGAGCGCCGCTGGACGGCTTGTTCGGTGGCCACGCAAAAGTCTCGGCTGTCGACCACGAACCCGTATCGGCGGGTCATGCTCGTCTCGTCCGTATGTCGCGGTTGCACCGACGCGCCCATATCGATCAGTGTCCACAGCTGCAACGCGGACGGGGTATGATGATCCACCGTCGCCCACACCCTGATCTTGTTATCAGCACACCAGGTATAGAAGACGTTCTCCATGGACTGCTCGCGGTGGAAGGGTTTCCGCCAATGCATCCCGGTCACGACGGCGGGATGCGGCAGATAGGAGACCTCAAACCGCACGTCGTCGGCCCCAAACGACAGCCGCCGCCACACCTTCACCAGACGGTCATATTGCCCCGTGGTCACGACGAGGGCCGCATCGGGGGAAAACTGGGCGAATTTGACGGGGGAGGCGAGGTCGCGCTTCCAGACTATGCGCGGGTCGTCGTTCAGAAACCACAGGGTCAAGTGCGAATTGCCCAGGAGCAGCTCCTGGGGCGAGCCCCAGGATAGCGTGCGGATCGTCTCGTCGTCGTCGTCGGATCGGAGGGTATAGGCAAGAGACCACTAGATTCAATCTCTTCATATCAGCACGACCGTAGCTGCCGAGTTCCCACGCCGTAGTCATCCAATTCCGTCATCCCCGCAACATGCGCCGGGACCGAGCCACGTACCTTCAATGTTTCGCCCTTGATCCCATACGGCTGGTATACAAAGGCATCCGATCCACCACACGTCGCGATCTTGCCGGAGGACTCATCAATCGTTACCGCCTCCAAGGCATCGGTATCGTCAATGTAGATTGTCTGCAGGAGTTTGTGTGGACCGCCGAGGATCACCAGTGCATTCCCGGAGATATACGCCTACAACCCCACGCGCAAGAGTTAGACAAAGATAGACACAGTAAAGTAGGCAAATAGTCAAGAAACGTACGACAACACGGAGACCGTCCCACAGCGCGGTGGTGAAAGACTGGAGCTTGGGTGGGGGGCGCCCCGGAAGTACCGCTCGCATAGAGGCGGGTTGTTGTCAAGTCGATCAACTGCGCTCAAGGGGGGATTTACACCATTGCCAGGCAGGAGGCAGAAAGACAGTAAGAAAGGTAAATCGAGATCAACGAGTAGGGAGGAAGAGTGGAAGAGACAATGAACGGTCCAAGGAGTTGTTGGCGTTGGAGAGGGAGCGAGCGGAAGTTGGAGAAAAGCGGGAGTTTCCCCGTGACAGCTCGACTTGGATTCCCCACAATTGATCTCTTGGTTCCCGCGCGTCGGACCCATCTCTATCAAGATAGTAAGTAAGCAGCGTGTCTGCCAAAGAGAAAAGCCTGGCACCTACCAACTTCCTCTTTTCCTCTTTTCGGGTTGTCGGGTTTTCGGTTTTTGGGTTTTCGGGGGGTGGGAGTTTACTTGCCCCTACGTGCCTTGGCCTTCTTCTTCTTCTTCCCCTTGCCAGGAGAGCCAGGTGAGGGTCCTCCATCCCCCGGGGAAGCCGACGACTGTGGGGAGGATTCGCTTGCCACCCCCGGGCGGCTGGGGTCCGGGGTATTCCCGGCCTCCAAACGCTGGGGCCCTTGCTGGTCGTCAAGTGGGCTAAACGGTAGGTATTGAATCAGTTTAATCCGCTCAAATAACTTGGAAGATAGATTCAGAGACAGACCAATACCCATCGAGTTGAGGCCCGATGGTACGCCGAAACACCCACGACACAGTCTCCTCCAACAGCTTGCCGACTACCTTCTCTGCTAACCAGCTGAGCGTCTCGAGGAAGGCCCCGAGCGCCCAACGCTCCCCGACGGGTACTTTTTTCAGTGGAAAAATACAAAAAAGTAATATAATTAAAGAAATATAGAAAAAAAAAGAGCGAGCTTTCGTCATAGTGATATTTCTCATAACTATATGTGATAATAGCTATACTACGAGAAAGGAAAAGAAGATCTGATTCCCCGACGAACATCCACTACATGTATAGATGTTGTCTACCCACTTCGCACCTGCCGTCGAACCCATCCTGTCACTTTTAGAAGGTTGGTTTGGGAAGGCACGGATCAGGGCGATAGCGACGGCGCACGCGGATGCAGCAGGGACATTCATCGCCACAGTGCCCATAGACACCCACCTCTTTTTTCTCGAGATCGGTGTCGCTCACAGGTCGCAGGTAGGTGATCAACGGCTGTTCACAGCATCCACAGGATCGGCCACAGCAGCCCCCAGTGTCCGCACAGATCTTACGTTGAAAAACCCACGCATAGGAACGTCCATGTCGGTCATGATGTTCAACGAGGAGCAGAATCCGTTCCATCATGCGGGTCAGAGGAGGTCTGTCGTCATATATCCTGGAAGCTTTGTAGGCACAGTCCCAGTATTGATTGGTCAGTTGTTGGATTCCCTTTTCCACAAGGTGGCTCGTCGATGAACCGCACGCCTCAGTGTATCCTGGCGGGTGGATTGGGGGCTTTGCTAGCTGGTCAGTCTGTCCCTCGGGCTGTCCTCGGACCTGGCCGTCGTTGTTCTCAGACAGAGCCCACCACTGTCCCGCTTTCTTCGTCAAGGATCGGATCCAAGACAATAAAGTGTGATCGAAGAACGGTTTGGACATATCCGGGGTTTCATCCAGCCAGTTGGTTGCTTGGGCGTGTTGGCCGAGCATCAAACGTTTCCTCCGCAGGAGACAAACCAGCCCAATTGAGTACTCTTTCTCGAAGGACTTGACCCATTTCTTGGCCTGGGCTACTTTATTTTCTGACTCAGGAACATCTGCCCACTTTGTCTCCCATTCCTCATAGGCCTCGAAGAAGGCTTCCTCGCACTCTGATTCGGTGTCGTTGACTATGCGCGTCATCTTGTGATGTTTGGGAGGATTAAATCGTGGAAAACAGGTAAATGAAAAGGTAAGATGCAAGAGTTCTGCTGGGGTTCCCATCTGGTATCTATACCTTTTGAGAGTATGACTCGTCCTGGAACGATGAAGTCAGTTTGATGGCATTATTACACGTTATACCGCTGCCTGGCCCCGGGAATCCCGGCCCATGGGGCGCATGATAAAATGATAAACCTTAGTAATAGCCTTCGAATTAGAACTTCTAGTGTAGGGCCGGCAAGCCTACCATTTCGGGGCATCTGACGATATATGGAAAGAGCAGGACTCTTGTGTTCATTGGAAGGGGATGGCACAATTGCCGTAGTGGCATGGAACCGTTAACATCCCGCGGGACAGTGAGATAGACATATCAATGGAAGGCAATATCCTAGGTAGGGCCCCACGTGGGTGCTTTCCCAAGACAAATACGCCTAGGTCTATCCAGTTGAGGTTATGCATAACCATCAGTACGAGTTCGCGTTATTAGACGGTCAAACCACCAAGGAAGGATCACGCCAGGCGAAGAGAGATTGTACCTCGCGGCGATGTACGTCGAGGCAACCAGTGACTCGACTGTTGACTTGCTGGACAGATCACCAGTCTTCTTGGCCAACTACCAGACCAACATGGCATTGAGAACGCAGATTTCACGAGGGACACCGCATTTACATGTGGTGTTTCACGTTGCAGACTGGTCTGCTGTAGAGAGACTCGCGTTGTCGCGATTCGACCACGACAGAGGGCAGCACCGCGCCAGCGAAAAGTAAAGCAGCATCTGGCTCCATATATCCGTTCACCAAGGAGACGAGAAGTTGCCAGAAACCATATACATATATCTATCCTTCATCAGTATTGACTGTGTGTAGGGAATATTCTCGGTCTTCTCACATGAATTGGAAAGCAGGTCAAGACCAATAAACTCCGTTAGGGTAAAAAGCTCAGACACCGTAGCGCGATCTCTTTTACCGTCACTAAAGCAAGCGCTCTGCCATAGCTTTGTGTGTGCATATTGGTCGAGAGAATGTCGACCATAGGGTTGAATGAGATGGTTACGTTGCACTGTTCTACCTCGCCGTCCTCGCAGAAACATTTTGTAATCTGATGCCTAATTTTGAGGGCAATAGTAGACAGGACCGCTATTTCACGACGAGGATCTATGCTCACATTTTGAACAGAATATTCCTTTACTGACCCCCCAGCCAAGCCCGTTACACCACTTGGGCTCCGAGCCCCCGAGTTGATCCTAATAGGCGCCGTCAACAACACCCTGGATATCTGGAGTTTTGGATGTCTAGTGTTTGAGCTGATCACCGGACAACCACTGTTCTGTATCCCAGGGCCCAAGCATGAAGATGACGACCATCTTCTCTCCCTCACTGCCCAGCTCGGGCCCCTCCCCGACGAGCTCTTCAAGCATTGAAAGACTTCGTCACTGTACTCTACCCCCGAGAGGAAGCTCTTCAACTGCGAGGTGGGAGGTGGCACTCCAGGCGAGGAACCCCTCATGGTGAAGAAGATATCCATAAAAGATTTATTCGATCAGGCGGGCCCTGATTTGAATAATGAGGAAGCCCGTCAAGTGAAGGCGCTCATTTAATGGATATTGCAGTACGATCCTGCGAATAGACCGTCGTCCGTGGAAGTATTATCTGATCCGTGGTTTGGCGAGATTGATATAGAGGGCAGCTCGTCTTAGGTATCTGTAGAGTAGTCATTCTCGTTGTCATCCTCATGACATAGAATTATAGATACTTGGCTCCTTAAAATCTAGACAAAATGATCAGAGCGTCATTATGGACTCCCAGGAGGACCCGAAAAAATGGCAGAGGTGGAATTAGATGGCGCCAGCAAGATGTAGACGCCCACCAGCTGCGGCAGGGCCACAGGATGAAGCCTTCCCCAACGTGCCGCGTCCCATTCGATGGACGATCGCCGTTCTTTGGGGCTATAAAATGGAAACCGGTCCTCTCCGGCGCCAATCATGGTCGCATGCTAGTGCACTAATCTAAGGAGGGTTTAACCGCGGGTATTATGGAGGGGTGTTTCGATCACAGACCGAGGAAGGGCCGCAAGGAGTCCAACCAGCCAACCAGCCAACATGTCACGCTCCCTTACGATTCAAAAGATTGACGGCAAACCAGGACAGGTCTACTACCCGCTGCAGTTGCATGATACGCCCAAACCTGTCCCCGGCCCCGGGGAGCTGCTAGTGAAGATCCACGCGGCGGCGTTAAACCACCGGGACTTGTTCGTCCGACAGCACCTATACCCCGGAATCTCGTTCACCAGCCCTCTTCTCAGCGATGGCTGCGGCACGGTCGTTCAGACAGGTCCAGGATGCAGCGCGCAGCTGCTCCACCAGCGGGTCATCGTGTGTCCCGTCCGGGGTTGGGACGCTGACGTCGACGCACCCGAAGACCCCGATCGATACGCCGCGATCGGGGCGTCAAACCGGTACCCCGACGGCACGGCCCAGGACTATCTCCTGGTGCGCGAGTCGGATGTGGTGCAATGTCCCGAGCACCTCTCGACGCTCGAAGCGGCTGCTCTTCCCCTCGTGGGCCTGACCGGCTGGCGCGCACTGGTCACCAAGAGTCGCAACGCGCACCCGGGGCGCAACATCCTCGTGACAGGGATCGGAGGCGGTGTTGCCCTGCAGATATTGCAGCTCGGCGTCGCGAGAGGCTGCCGCATCTACGTCACATCGAGCGACCCCGAGAAGATCGAGCGGGCTGTGCGCATGGGCGCCCAGGGCGGCGTCAACTACCGCACGGAAGCCTGGGAGAAGCAGCTGCAGGCGCTGCTCCCGGCGGACCGACCTTATCTTGACGCGGTGATTGACGGCGCCGGGGGCGATATCGTGGCGCGGACGACGCGGCTTCTTAAAGCTGGTGGTGTCATCTGCGTTTATGGGATGACTGTCGCGCCTCGCATGGAGTGGGCTATGCCGGCGGTACTGAAACATATTGATATGCTGGCGTGCACGACGGGATCGCGCGCAGAATTCCACGCCTTGGTGGAGTTTGTGCAGGAGCATCAGATCCGGCCGGTTGTTAGTCGGGTTGTTCGGGGACTGGATGATTTGGAGGGGATTGATGGCTTGTTTGAAGATATGAAGGTGGGACGTCAGTTTGGAAAGCTTGTCATTGATGTGGATTCGACGGGGTCTTGAGACGGGGATGCCATTTGACTGTCGAGATTCCCACCGATGGGAAGCAGGCCAGTAGGGGTTTGGTCGCAGTGTATGGGGTATAGAGGAGAATTGCGACGACTCCATTTTATTAGATCGGTCGCTTTGTCGACACGAGGCATGCTACAAATTAGTAATGGGAATGCCCTCAATTCTTTTACCGAAATTACTGTCAATCTTGGTAGTATTTCTCTCCAATAAAGATATATAAGACTTTAAAAACTCATGTCATAGGCATAATGTCATACAAATAGTACTGAAGTCTTATCATCAATCATGACAGACCACGCACGTTTCCAACGAACTATATGGTGTATAGAAGCCGAGGCGCCCCACCGCAGGATGTCATCCGCAAGGCGCGCGAGCATGCGGGTACTAGCGGGGGATGATAGCAGAGTTATAACGACGACGTCTCTTCCTCCCACCTAAACAGATCGAAGAGTTCGATAGACACTCGATACAACGCTGAAAACCCACATCATGGACCCCTCACCCTCCAAGAACCATCACCACATTGTCTTCCTCCAGGGAGATTTTATCCAAACTCCCGATTTCGAGCTTCCGGACCCACATTCGTACACCAGCACGATCTACCCCCAAACGTCACTCGCGGAAGTGCACGAACGGATCCACGATGCCTCTATCATTGTGCTCTCTGCCCTGAGGGTGGACGCCACCGCACTGTCTCCGGAAGTGTCCCCAAATCTAAAGCTTATTGTCGCCGTAGCTACGGGCTACGATTGCATTGACCTGGACGCGTGCCGCGCAAGAGGCATTGTCGTGTGCAATACCCCCAACTGCAATGTGGAGGCTGTATCCGAACATGCTATTGGACTTTATTTCACCACGCGGCGGAAGATGCTCGACCTGCATACCTTGACGAGGGCCGGGGAATGGCCCCGGAAACGGACACTGATGTTCCAGATGCTCGACAGGAATAAGGCACCTCCGCTATCTTGCCAGGACGAGGTCGCTGGTATTATCGGGAATGGAGGCGTTGGTCAGTGAGATCTAATCTGTACAGGCGCTTCAAATCAAGCTGATCGTAACCACAGGGAAAAAAATCGCTGGGATCGCACGCAACCTGGGAATGAAAGTTCTGATTTCTGGGCGTAAAAGCACAAACGGGTCTGACGTACCCAGCCAGACTCACAATGGACAACCAGAGAGACTCCCATTTGACACGGTGATCAAGCAGAGCACCGTACTCTTTCTAGCTGTGCCGCTGATGGATTCCACCCGGAATCTTCTCTCCACGGCCGAGTTCGAGGCCATGTCACCACGGACCATCATCGTCAATGTCTCTCGCGGGGGCATCGTCGACGAAGAGGCGCTTGTTCAGGCTTTGCACGAGGGTCAGATTGCCGGCGCGGCCACTGACGTGTTTGGACAAGAACCTGCTGGGCCGGAAAACTCCCCTCTCCTTGCGGAGGACACCAAGGATCTCAATTTGGTTGTCACCCCTCACCTTGCTTGGCTGGCTCAGAAGACATTGGACAACTACTCGGCGACACTGAAAATGGCAATTGAAGGATGGTGTGCGGGACAGCCGATTAATGTCGTTGTGTGATAGATGATTGGGGTTGATATATACATAGACTGATAGATGATTGACATATCATACCATCGAGAGGAGTGACTGGCCAGAAAGAGAAGACTGCGTCGTGATAAAAGGCTCCTGATATACCTGGCAGTAGAAAGGTTGAGGGCCCCTCCTCATGGGAGTCACTTTGATAGCTTTCCTAATGGGCTCAAACTAGAGGGGACGACGATCTGTATATCTAGTCCATTCGTTTTCTCCCTAACTTTGATTGACTCTGGGGCTGGGGGGACACAATGATTACTGTGAAGAAAAGGAGCTGTATTGTCGCATTATAAGATGTATAAGGTTACTTACAGAGCGCAGAAGATGTTCAGGTATCTTTTGTGGACGAGTACCAAGTCCCACGACCCATTATCCACCGCGTAGAGGATGTCATCCTACGCGACTAAAAAAGCCGCCGTATACTAAACAAATGACATGCAGTTTCAAATACAATCTCACACAGAAGATGGCGACATGATGCCGAAGAGCAGTGTCTTTATGCGTGTTGATGCCATGTATATGCCTCGTATCTGATTGGTCCGTTGATGGTGCTGTATCAATGCTGAATCAGCTGTGCGGCTGGATTATTAACATAACGAGGGGAAGTCAATCCAGCATCATTCAGCTCTCTCCACGTCTCTCCTTCCTCGCCTTCGTCATACCTCGTCGCCTTCATCGCTCTTTTTGTTGAGTGAAGCTGTATGCCCGGGTTGCGAATAATCGGCCCACCGGTGCAGACAGGAAGGCAACCTTCATGTTGAACCGATGAACTATCAGACCATGGCGGGCAACGCCTCCAGCGCCATGCGCCCAGATGGATCATCATTTAGGGATGGTGACCAACGCAATGGACACGACACGGACAACTTCGAGTCCGAGCTCGACCCGGCCGAGACGATGCGACACTCCCCGACGACCTCGCCTCAGAGCTTCACTACCCGGTCCCTCCTGGTGGGCATTATCATCGGCGCCCTGATCACCTTCTCCAACACCTATTTCGGTTTACAGACAGGCTGGATCAGTACGATGGCGATGCCATCGGCCCTGATTGGGTTTTCCGTCTTTAAAGTCTTCTCCAAATATCTGTCCTATCCGTTTACGCCGATCGAGAACGTCCTCATTCAGACGGTAGCGGGGGCGGTGGGAACAATGCCGTTGGGATGTGGGTTCGTGGGGGTCATACCTGCTCTGGAGTTCCTCCTGAAAGATGGAGAAGACGGGCCCTCAGGTGATGGCGGTACCGGGGAAGGGGGTCCGCTGAAGTTGAATTTCTGGAAGCTCGTTCTCTGGAGCCTGGGGGTATGCCTCTTCGGGGTCATTTTTGCCGTCCCACTGAGAAAAGAGGTCATCGTCCGAGAGAAGCTCAAATTCCCTAGCGGGACAGCCTCTGCGCTGATGCTGAGGGTTCTCCATGGAAGCGGGCAGAGTGATGAGAAGATGAAGGGCAGCATGACCCGGCCGTCCGACGCTCAGCGCGACGAAGAAAATGAAGCGCTCATGGCAACACACGAGGCTGAAGAAAGTGACAGAGTCGTAAAGGACGATGAGGCCCAGAAAGAGCTGGCCGACAGAAAAGACTGGCAGTCGAAGATGCGTTTGTTGATCGGCGCTTTTGGGGTCTCTGGTCTCTATGTAAGGTTTTTTGAACATTACCAACGAACTATAAGCTGACGGTGGTAGACACTCTTTTCCTACTTCGTGCCTCAAGTCCGAGACATCCCCATCTTTGGCCTTTCTCTGGCGCAGAACTGGCTGTGGACTCTCAATCCATCACCAGCGTATGTCGGGCAAGGGATCATCATGGGCCCGTCGACTTGTATGCACATGCTTTTTGGAGCTGTTCTCGGTTGGGGCATTCTTTCCCCGCTCGCCAAAGCGCGTGGCTGGGCCCCCGGACCTGTAAAGAGCTGGGATGATGGAAGCAAAGCTTGGATTGTGTGGATCTCCCTCGCGATCATGCTAGCCGACTCGCTCGTCAGCCTCAGTTGGCTGGCGATCAAGCCCGCCCTCACCCATGCGCCGAAACTGAAAAGCGCGGTTTTGCAAACCAAGGCTGGGCGCTGGGTTGAAACGCAACGACAGAACAAGTTTAGTCGTCGTTCTCATATCAGCTACTCCTCGTTAAGCCCCATCTCCGAGGAGTCGTCTACTCCCAGTCACCCATCTCAGCTAGATCGAAGGGGTCTTGGTTCAGCCCCCACTGACGACGATGACGCGCCACCGTCACAGCTCATTTCAACAAGAACCGTCATCATCCTCCTCCCTCTAACCCTTATCCTCAATGTCGTCTGCATGCACATCGTCTTCGGCGACGTCATGTCGCCACTCCTATCCAGCTTCGCAACTCTTCTCGCAGTCCTACTCTCCATCATGGGCGTCCGCGCCCTCGGCGAAACCGACTTGAACCCGGTGTCCGGAATCAGCAAGCTCACCCAACTTCTCTTCTCCATCGCAACGCCCGCATCCCACTTCTCCCGCCGCACCGCACTCGTCACGAACCTCCTCGCCGGCGCCGTCTCCGAGTCCGGTGCCCTACAAGCCGGGGACATGATGCAGGACCTGAAAACGGGCCACCTCCTCGGCGCCAGCCCCAAAGCCCAATTCTACGGCCAGATCATCGGCAGCCTGATCGGCGCCGTGCTCTCCACAGCCGTGTACAAGATGTACGTCAGCGTCTACGAGGTGCCGGGCCCGCTGTTCGAGACCCCCACCGCCTACGTCTGGATCTTCACCGCGCGGCTCGTCACCGGCCAGGGCCTGCCCCCCGTGGCCTGGCAGGCCTCCCTCATCGCCGGCGCAGCCTTCGTCGTCATCACCGCCCTCCGCATCTACGCGGCCACCCCCGCCGCCAACGGCGGCCGACCCGACACCACGGCGCCCTGGCGCGCGTGGATCCCAGGCGGGATCGCCGTCGCGGTCGGCATCTTCAACGTGCCGTCATTCACCCTCGCTCGAGCCATCGGCGGCACAATCGCCTGGTGGTGGGCGCGCAAGCATGCACCCGCCTCCCCCGAGGCTCTCCGGCAGCGGGAAGAAGACAACGAAGACAGTCACGCGGTAGGAAAATCTCCCGAGCAGATCTCCCAAGCCGCAGACGCGGCGTCGTCAACAGTGGTCGTGCTGGCTTCGGGGCTGATCTTGGGCGAGGGCATCCTCAGCATCGCGAACCTGCTTATGGCTAGTGGGGGGGTTCCGCACCTCTAACATCTTTGTATGGGGCGGGTAGTGTACATGATCGGATCTTAGATATTGATAGCATATATTAGTACACATATACGTATGATACCAATGATGGCACCTTGATGGTCGCGCCAGTGATGATTCTAGCTACGCTATGTATACAATAGGACGGATATAGAGAGGAGTCAAGACGACAATCTATGTGGGAAACACCGGAATTCAGCTGACGTTGCCGACTGTCAGTCTCATACGGAGGAGTACTTCCACACAAGAGAGCTGGAGTTAAAAGAGAGAAAAAGAGGGATACCATCCAGGCAAAAGCACTGGAATAATAAGAAATAACCAACAACACAAATCTCGTGTTTTCTCCCCACCAAAGGATCAATAACTCGGTATAAGTTTATTCCAAGCTTCAAGAGTATCTATTGTTTCTTTTTGTATTATCTTCGGTATGATATATTCAATTATCTTTCTTGTGTTATCTACATTGACATGATAGCCAAGAGCAGTGTTAGTGGGCCTGATTTTCATATTAATCAGATATATAATATTTGTATGGTATATTGGGTTTGAGTAAGATACAGCTATGGGTAAACACAACATCAAAGCGAAGAAAAATAAGAAAGAAAAAAAAAAGATAAATTCAGGAGAGAATAAGATAAAAGGAAAGAAAGGGGTATATCCGGTCAATTCGAACCACACATTACAATACATTCAACAGGATATCAGAGACTGAAGGCAGTCTGATTATTTACGTTTGTTACTGTTTCATCAGACAGATAGACGATGTAGTATCGTGAGAAAGCGAATTGAAAGGCCAAAAGAAGGGGAAATATGGAAAGAGAAAGAAGAAGAAGGAAAATTGCAGATTTGGTATTTGGTATTCGCATTGGGCGATATGGGTCGTTCGTCGCAGACGCAGTAAACATCATTGTAGACATGTCTCCCGTCCAGCGGCAATTAGACGGGTGATCACCCAGATCGATGGGTGAGTTGCCGTCTGGCTAAAATGGAACAGTCACGGGGTATAGGTCCTTATGCGCTATTGTCAGGGGTCGTCTTTGCGGCCGGTGCGGCGTCAGGAGCCGGAACGGCGGGGAGTGCGCTCGACGGCGGAGGCGTGGCCGGCGGCGCCAAGGGACTGGGGCCCGGTGGGGAACCCATGCGGGGGACTGGTCCGGCGGCACCTCCAGCGCTGTTGCTGCGCTTTCGCTGAGCAGCGGCCATGTCCGGTCGCTGCATGCCCGGGGCCCCGTACGGTCCGGGGCTCATGGATCTAGGCGGCATGGGTCGCCCACCGGGGCCGGGGGATTGTGCGCGGGGCACGGGCGGAAAACGACCCGCGGGCGACATGGGTCCCTGGGGGTAGGGACGGGGCGGAGGGCCACCATTGGGGGGACGCGCCGGAGACATGGAGCGAGGACCCGGGGACATGGATCGAGGACCTGGGGACATCGGACGGCCTCCCGGGGATTGCGGGCGAGGATCCTGAGGGTAGAAGCGACCCGGCGGGGGCATACGGCCGTTGGGTCCCATCATGGGGGGTCCGTGGGGGATCGGACCAGAGCCCGGAGGGGGACGAGCACGGGGTTGCACGGGGCGAGCGGACAGACAGGAGCGGGGAGCCACACCTTGCTGCGAACGATCCAGCCGGATGCAGAGAGCCCATCCGTCGTCGTACTCATGCAGTAATCGGACGAGCTGACCGGCCTGGAGCTCCAACTCGTCCTCCATGGATGGCGCAAAATCCATCTGGATACGGTGCACATTGCTGGGCCCGGGCTCGGGACCTGGAGGGGGAGCCCCCGACGGGCCAAACGCCGGGACCGCGGCCACCGCAGCCGCTGGCGGGGCACCTGGGTCTGCGGCGACAGCTGGCGACGGGTTCTGCGATGCCGAACTGGCGGGACGACTGGGCAGATCCTTCTCGCCCGCTTTGGTGGCAGCAGCGGCGACGGCAGCGCCCGCGACCACTCCAGCCGCCACTGCCCCAGTAGCCGACGGGTCGTGGGCCGACGTGGGAGACGGCCCGACAGGCACATGGGGAGCGGGCGCCGCGGACATCGCGGTGGCGGCTGGTGGGCCAGTTGGTGGTGCCCCATGGACAGGGGAGGTACTCTCCGCCTGATTGCCGAACGGGTTGACCGGGTCACTGAAAGGATCACTGCTTTGCGGGGTCTGGGGGGGCGAGGGATGCCCGGTCAGATTGCGCGAAGCCCCGCCCGCGACCAGAGTCGCCCCAGCTCCAGCGCCGGCCCCGGCGGCGGCAGCGGAGAGACCGGCAACGCCACTGGTACGTGGCGTCAGATCAGGAGCGAATTGAGTGATGGGGCGCACGTTGAGCTGCGGTGCAGTGTTCGTGGACGCCATCGGAGCCGCCTTGGGTGGAGGCGGAGGGACATAGGCCTTTTCACTCTCTGCCACTTCGGACAGGTCTCGGCTCTGCTTCCTCCTGCGAACGAAGAAGAAGATTAGGGCCGCAAGCAACCCCACGCCTAAGATGACTCCAATCGCAACACCCGCCTTTGCGCCGCCGCTCATCCCTTCTGGGGCGGGCTTTGCTGAGATCGAGGGCGCCGCGGCCGATTGATCGGCCGTTGTGGACGCCGAATCTAGTGCAGTGTTGGTCAACGACGAAGTGGACGTGGCGGTCGACAAGGTCGTGTGGTCGGCCGTCTTCTCCGACTCGGTCGCGGTCTCGTGGGTGGTGTGTTCAGTGGGCTTGGTGTGCTGCTCGGTCTCCGTCGGCTTCACTTCGGTGGTGTGAGTTGGCTTCTCCTCGGCGGTGGTCTTCTCCTCAGCGGTAGTCTTCTCGTGCTCGGTGGTGTGGATGGTCGTTGGGTCGGGCTTCGACTCGCGTGTGGGCTCCGGTTCTTCCTCTTTGGAAGCGCTTGCCGTCTGTCGGACCGGGTCACCGACGCCGAAGTTGGGTGCAGTGGGCTTAGAGTCGGAATCGTCGTCGCCCATGGTCAGATAACCACCTACGGGGCCGTCGAAGTCCACAGGGGCCGTCACATAGACCACGTCCAATTTGGGATGGTCGTCCGGGCTTCGGCGCTCCAGGTTGGCGCCATGGTCATGGTGTCCGTGTGCATGCACCATGATGGACGAGGACCGAATCGATCGCTCGTCGATGAGATTTGGACCGATAGACGCAGTCGACTTTCAAACGGGTCGTTGAATCTTGGGGTAATCAGGGAACCCTCGTAATCGACTGCGATTCAATAGAAAAGAGAGTATGTATGGGAACTTGCCCACGAGATAAAAGAAAAGAAGAAGATCAAATCAAACGAAATAAAAGAAAGAATCAATCAATCGGAAGGTGGAATGTCAAACACGAATCGATCCAAAGGTAGGGTCAAGCCCACGCTCCAATCTAGATCTCTATCTCAGAGCTCGACCAGGTGGCCGAGTGATTGGAAGCAACAATCCAAGGGCGCAAGCGCGTCAGGGAATGTGGCTGGCGAAACGTCCAGTACGAAAAGAATGTATAATAGGGTTGAAGTCAATGGATGAAGGCTGGACCATCGATCAAAAGAAGGGACAACGAGCTTCCAGGCCGCGCAGATCAAACGAACGAACTCGAACAGGGGAAAAGAAGGGAAAGGGAAAAAATCAATCAAAAAGAAGAGCAACGCGGGAGCCCCACGAATGCAGGGAAGAGAAGAAGGAAAAAAAAAAGGTAATCAAAAGAAAGCGAGTGAAGAGAAGAGGAGAAAGAGAGAGAGAGAAGAAGACGAGAAGATGATTGGAGTTGGATGGAGCAACGAGGCGTTACACTGTAATTACCAATGTTGTGGTTCAAAGTAAACGAAATGAAGGAGGAGGGGTGCTGGGCCAATCATTGCTGGGGTATGATTGCGTATCGGATGGAACCGATCTAACGAGATGTAGGGAAGACTCATGGCGATCTCCATAGTTAAGCGGGGCGTTTTGATGACCGTGCCTGGTTTTATGACGGTAAGGCAAGACCCGTGGGACGGGAGGAACGTGCCCATTGAATCTGCCCATTGCATGCGGGTATTGATACGGTATGATACATACTCTGGGCTGCCAGTCTAATCTCTCTTTGGACTCAACCCTACTCCATATACACCCAGGTCGATGCTGATTCCCTGCCATGGGTTGGAATTTCGGGGCAATCAGAGGCATCCACGGAGATGAGCCAAGCCTCTGTACCGTCCCGGCGCTTCCTAGCGCTCTCCACTCCACGGTCGTTCAGAGATCCGAGGTATGCAGGCACTCGATTCATGATCCAGTCTCACAACACAATGTCGGATGGGATCGGTGGATGGGATCGGTGGATCAGGGCTCGTCAGGAACACAATGGGATTATTGCTGAGCAGTCAATGGCCACTGGATAATACAGATCATGCGTTACGCCCGTAGAGGAGGCATCCATTCGAATCTCAGCGGCATCTCCCCTCGGCGAGAATAGAATAATCAATCTCCCATCACATCATACGGGCAATGCTGATCGCCATTCCAGCAGACGCACTCAGGAAGCAAACACCAAGAAGACACACGGTGGTGGAGGCATCATTCTTGAGGTGAACCCGACTATGTCTCATTCTTTTTCTGCCCCCACGATGCCGCCGGCCTATCGCTGAGACGGTAGGCTCGGAGAGACCCACCGTCATCTCCAGAATTTCGAACCGTCGAAGGGCTGAAACGTCTGGGAGTGGCTGTGGACCCACCCGTGATTGGCTCGATCCCTCTCAATATTAAACCCCGATTATTATGGTGGTATCGCTAAGCGTGCGACTATCCTCGATTCTTCGCTACCGGGGGGGCTGAGTATTCCACCGACGTGTTGTTGTTGGTTTGGAATCTTTGGAGGATGGCTTCACATTGCCGAGAAATAAGGGTGTTTCAAGGCCTGGGGCGCTGTTAGGGTAATCCTTCTTGAAGACCGTCGATAGACAAGCAACGTACCTCTGCGGCGGACAATCGCTGGTCACTTTCATAACACACCAACAAACTCACCAGGTCGCGGCCCTTGGAGGACGCCCCGGGGAGAGTATCATCCCACTTTTTGGCAGGATATTTATAGAAATGGACCTTGTCCCAATCTGGTAGTAATTTCGTTTCCTGTGCATCACGTCAATACTGCTGGATTAAATAACGTAGGATGAATTTGAGACAAGAAAAGGAAAAGAAAAGGTGAAAAAAGAAGGCAAGGACTTACAGGCCAGCTCTCTGCATCAGGTGTGCCCAGCGTCTTGAATATCGACTGGATGAGGGACAGGTCGCTCCCCAAAGGACCCGAGTCAAAGAGTTGCTGGTGCCCCACGGCCACGGCTTCCGCGACCACGCACCCGGCCGCCCAGAGATCAAGAGCAGGCCCATACCCTCGGTACCCGAACAGAATCTCTGGTCCTCGATAACACGTCGTGCCGACATCGGTAATTTTCTGGTCCGCTGGTTCAGACCCCTCGGTTCCTTCTTTCCATGCAATCCCAAAGTCCGCCAGGTACGCAGGACCCTCTGGGGAGTCCATCAGGATGTTCGAGGGCTTGATGTCCCGGTGTATGATGCCTTGTGCGTGGAGATGGGACACGGCGCGGAACATGTCACGGAGGATGGTCTTGGTCTGGGTCGCGGTGACCATGTCCCGACGGAGGAGTTGCTCAAAGTCATACTGGAAGAAGGGGAAGACGAGCACGAGCCGTCCGCCGTCTAGCTTCAACGTCTGGAGCAACGGAACTACATGCGCGCTGGCAGACGCTTGAAGCAGCCGAACCTCGCGTCTCACGTCGTGCGGTTCTGCCAGGAGATGGGGAATGGTGACCTTGAGCGCGACCAGGGTCCCGTCGTCCGCTCGGGACTTGTAGATGGTGGAATGGAGCCCACCGTAATGGTGCAGGCATGAGTGAAATGGCCCGATACTCTCCCCATGATCCCAGCTATCTTCACTCGAATCATTGGGACCCTGCTCCCGGTTTCCGTCCACCGGTGCTACCGAGCCATTGGCCTCCGCGGCGTCGATCGCCTCCTGACATGATTGGCTATAATTCTCCTACGACCATGCTACGTGAGACGCGGCGAACGCACAGAGTCGTCATCTTGAAAAAAACTGACCTTCGATGTGGCCAGGTCGTAGGCTTCCTGTTCGAGCTTCCTGGCCTGCGACTGGGCTTCGGTAAATGCGGCCGATGACGAGGTGCGCTGGTATGCGGTTGTGCTGGGGAAGTCATGAGCATGACATCCAGCTAGTTTCATCAAGGGGGGGAGTCCTCACAGGGACTGGATAGCGGTCAATCTATCCGAGAAGCCCAATTCTTTCTTCCACTCGGCAGCCATATTATATATAGAATCTAGTTCTAGTTCAGAACGTGGATAGAAATAAGCATCATCATATCGGGACAGGCCATGTGACCTCCGCCCCCGAGGCAGCCAGGCACTAAACCCCTTTGGGCGCATCCGTCTCGGCTGTTCCGAGCCAGGCAGTTAATCCGTTGCAACGGAAACCAGTCATCGTCATCACATCCACTCTTCTATTCTTATCTGTACTCGTTCTCGACTTCCTTTGGCTTCTACTGCGCTTCCTGTTCATCTTCGACCTCGTGTTATCACCCGTCTTCTCCCCCTCGCGTTTGTCACTTCCCTCTCCCGTCTCAATTGCTCCGGAAGCGGGTATTCCTGCCGTTCTAGTCCCTCTATACTCCTTATTATGCGCCATCCGACATCTCCTGACCAGACCGGCGACCTATGAGTATTAGCGATGGATCTCACACGGCAGGAATATCCAGCATTGCTGGTAAGCACACCATTCATTCAAAACCTCCTTTCTTCGCTTCCAACATCGAGAGTCCTCCGGACGTGCCCAGCTAATCCGGTTCCGCCGTCATGACAGGCCTCGTTACAACCCAGCCAAGCGACGGCCGTGCTCAATGATCGCATCCGACTGATCAACAAAATCAATGCGGATATCGCGGACTGGCTCCAGGTAACCATCCCGTCTCCACGCCGATCGGCGTCCCGGTGAACCCCCCGTTCTAAACTCTTCCGTTCTTGCGATAGGAGCGTCGTCGCGTTGAGGAGGTTTATGCCCAAGGATTACGGAAACTGGCGACTCGGTCCCAGGCGAATGACGGAGCAGCGCTCGGGTAAGAACCATTGAAATATGCCCCCTCTTACTCTCCTTACTCTCCATTGGGAGGAGTTGCGCCCCGCAGGATCACGATCACGAGCACGATGCTGATGGTGCGGCTTCGCGGAGGGCAGGATCTTCCAAATTCCATGGCAGCGCATCACCAATGCCGTCGAGACCATCGCGGCATCGCACGAGACCTACGCGCAGAAGATCGATGAGGATGTGGAGCGGCCGCTGAAGGAGTACGGCAGCAAGAACCGAGAACTGTCTTCGATGCCGGGTGTCCAGAGCGATCTGGCTTCCTTGGCGAAGAGCTTGGAGGCGTCCCAAAAGAAGGTAGAGAAGGCTAAGGACAAGGGCCCCAAAGGCGCCGATAGGCTGGCCAGCGCGGTTACGGCCTCCGAAGAAGTCAGTCAACAGTGGGAATCGAGGGCGCCCTTCGTGTTTGAGCAACTGCAAGCAGCGGATGAGAGCCGCTTGAACCATCTTCGCGATGCCCTGACCCAGTTAGAGACCCATGAGGTCGACCAGGTCGAGCGCTGTCGCCAGGCAGCGGAAAGCTGTCTCAATGTGCTGCTCAACGTCGAGACGGCCGATGAGATCAAGACGTTTGCTGCCAAGGTGAACGGCGGACGGCCGGTTGTGTCAAGGAGGCAGCAAGCTGCTTCTCCTCCGCCTGTGGCGCCTGTGGCGCCTCTGGCGCCCCCGCCACGCATTCAGGACGACGCTGCTAGCCAGCACTCGGAGGCTTCGAATCCTGTCCGGACACCCCCTGGTGTGTACGCCCCTTTCGTTATTGACTTGTTGACCTTTCAATCACCTTGGTGGGATTTGGGGATCAATGCTGACTCCGTGCTCGATAGCCCCGGAGCCTCAGCCCCGACACAACACTACTCTGGGTGGCCTCAGGCGCCTGGGCACTGTGATGAACCGAAGAAAGAGCATGGTACAGCCTTCAGGCGGTGTCTTCTCGGAAAGGAAACACCGGAGCCCGTTTGCGTCGTTCAAAAGGGGCGACTCGTCGCGGGAAATGCAGATTCCAGAATCCCCCCCTGACGGGACCGACCGTCCTGATACCGCCATCACCGCACAGAGTGACGCGACACGTCTGCCGAGCGAGTCTCATGATCGCGAGGGAATCAGTGCCCTCTCGACCAGCCCGGTTCCACCGCCGGCGCCGGCAACGTCGAATGGCACGGCACTACACGACGCGCCTGCCGAGACTGGTCTCCTGAGTGCACCGGTAAGCGAAGTAAGTACTGTCGTAGACGCGGGTTAATCCCAATTGCTGACCCATCCACCTAGCCACCGCGAGTCGACTCGGAAGGCTATACGGAACGACCGTCCACCATTGACGAGATCTCACGGCTCCAACGTGAAGCAGCCGGGTGAGCCGCCCCGTCCAGACTCACGAAACTACGGCTATACTGACTCTGCTTACAGCTTGGACGAGCAAGCCATCAATCTGACCATCCGGGAGCAACCCATTTTTGAAGATGAAAGCCAAGCGAAACAGGCCATGGACGACATGGCGAACCAATTGAGGATGGTCGGTGTGCCCACAAAACCTGCTTATGTCCGTGACTGACCCTGTGTACAGCGAGCCCCACAGAGTGGGATGAGACGCAACGCTGGTACCATCCGCGGTCGACGCGATGTCCGCAACACTGTGTTCATCCCTAACCCGACCAGTCCGGAACCACCTACTTTGCATTCGGGTGGGGACCCGGGCTCTATGCCCACTTCGCCGGCCATGCCGATCAAGCATGTCACGTCGCCGAGCACGGCCACTGAAGACCATACGATGTCAGATACCACCTCGATTCGCTCTTCACACACCTTGCACAGTATCTCCGGCCCCGTCGCGCATCCAGATCTCCACGAACCCGGCCTGAATGCCTCCGTCGTCGAGACGGTGAATGCGTGGTTCTCCGAGGGCGCGGTGACGAAGGCGTTCGTGGTCGGAGAGCTCGCGCTGGCGTACAACGCTGCGAACACGTTCCCCACGGACAATGCTCGTGTGCGCCTGAACAACTTCCAGGTGCTAGAAAAGGTCGCCGCGAACCCCCATTTTGTGCATGAAGTCGCCGACCAGTCCGACGATAAGAGAGGCGAATACAGTATCCAGCTGGCCAGCATTGCCCGTCAGTCACCAACCGTGGCGTTCAAGTATCAGTTGCACATCGGCCCATCGGAGGCGTCGGCCCACTGCCCCGTGATCTTCAAGCCCGCATGGAATATCGAGGAGTTCCAGGCCAGCGTCATTGTCTTCTACTCCCTGAACCCCTCCTTTACCTCCGCAGGCAACTCCATCACCCTCCGCAACCTGGTCCTGACCGTCAACCTGGACACGTCGCCCGAGGAGGACCGTGAGGTGGTCCACGCCACGAACGCCGTCATGTATCCCAACACCGGGGCGGCCTTCCGCCGCAAGCAGTCTGCCGTGGTGTGGAAGCTCCCGGAGCTGGAGATCAAACCCACCGAAGGGAAGCTCCTCGCGCGGTTCACCACATCCAGCAGCTGGCCGCGGAAAGGAAAGGTCGAAGCCAAATTCGAGGTGCCCGCCATTGATGCTGGCTCTCGACTGGGGATCAGCGCCGCTGGGCCATCCCAGGAGACGGGGCCGAAGGCGTCCGACCCTTTTGCCGACGACGGCACAGGAGTACAGCCTCCGTCGACTCCTTCCTGGAGCGAAGTCTCGACAGTGCGCAAACTCGTGGGCGGCAAATATGTTTCTTCATAGACCACATACCCTTCCGCCCGCCTGCTTTGGCGCTTTTTCTCCACGGGAGATTGATTCCAGTCTCCAGCCTCCCTCTTACTTAGCATGTGGCCCAACAACGACCGATCCGATCCTGACGAATGACCCCAGGGCCAAAACTGAACATAGTTGCAACCGATGCATGGATCTCTAAAAAGCAGAGAGGCTCTTTTCTCATACCTACGCAGGGCCACTCCCAGCTCCACCTGTACATCGGAGTTCCTGAGTAAAAAATGCCACACACACCACGACCCCTGTGCTGTACTCAAACAGCACATACTAATTAATCGCTTACAACTTCCCACGGCGCAGTTTCTTATCCTTCTTTCTTTCATTATGATGCTTTGGCTTTTTTTTTTTTTTTTTTTCTCTTCATCCTCATCTCTTTTTGCCCGGTCATGCATATATCAACCACCACCCACAATCCATTTTGTATATGCCATACTCTCGTCCTCCCTGATCCGAGCGCCAAGGAGAAGTTGCAGACCAAAATATTTGTTTGTAAATAAACCCCTCTTTTTTTTTTCTTTTCCTTTTTTTTTACTTATCTCTTTTGTTCTCTTTTGTTTTCTGTTTGTTTTCTTTTTGTTTATCCTCTGGATCACACACGCCTGTCTGTATATTCACTTTGTTTCCTTTCTTCCCCCTTTGAATCTTATTTATTTGAGTGATAGCACGTAGTAGTATTTAAGAATCTTGTTTATTTCCATGTTTGTGCCCTTGCAGCTACTACTACCACATATTGGGTGAATAGGTGCTACACTACTATAGTACAACAACATATTGGCTTGGTGTCATTCGTACGCACAGAGATACCAGATAGGTAGTATAGTATAGTATATTGCCAATACAGGAAGATAAGAATAGAAAAGATAGAATAGAAATCATTTATAAACATGACACGACGAATGCCTGTGCCGGGGAATCAATCAATCACCTAATAACCACAAATGGAAGACCGGACAAATACATCCAACTAGATAGACAGACCAGAAAGAAATAAACAGGAGAAAATAGATGGACAACGAGAGAAAAAGGGGAAAGGAAAGTTACATCCGCGCAGCGCGCGTCGTCTTATCGTAAAAGTCCAACGTCATAGCAGCCAAGAAACAAGGAATATCCTTTCGCTCCTCAACCCAGAACTTAATAAGGTGCTTGATCTCCATAGCGAAGAGGCTATTGGGTCCGCCAGAGATCTTCATCGTGCCATTCTCGCCGTCGAAGATAATGGAGTTCTCCTCGTCGTTGCCCATGCTTCCCGGGCCGCGGGAGTCCGACGCGGCGTCGCCGTGGCGGTAGGCAGACGAGAGGTGGAACATGGAGGTGACGCGGACGCGGCCATTGGGGAGGAAGTCAAGTTTGTAGCCGAGGAGGGAGGCGACTGCTTCGCGGAACTCGGAGGACTTGGCGGTCCAGATTTCCTTCAGGCGACGCATGCGCTTCTCCTTGTCGGCGACGACGCGCTCCATGTCTTGGATTTCGAACTTTAGGCTCTCGAGTGTGCTGGCGGGGACGGCCTTGGCGCCTGTGAGGCTGCCGCGGAGCTGGGCGAGGAGGTCCTGGTTCTCGGCTTTTAGGGTGGTGATGGTTGAGAGCTTGAGGTTCTCTGCTTCGGCGGTGGGGTTGTCGCGGAGTTCGAGGATGCGGGTGCGGGATTTGGCCTTGAGGGATTTGAGCTGGGATTTGACGGCGTCGAATTCCTTGCGCAGGAGGGCGGTGGCTTGCTCGGATTTGGAGAGCGATTCTTGCAGGGTCCGGTTCTTGCGGGAGAGGATGGAGAGGCGTTCGCTCTCTGCGTCGCTTTCGGCTGGGGAGAGAGGACGCTTGATGCCCCGGGGCTCGGGGTCGCTCGGTTGTGGTTGCTCGCGCTGGGAGAGCTCTTGGTGGGCGGTCTCCAACTCCGCCCTGTATTCGTCGATGAGTTTTTCCAGGTGGGCAATCTGCTCCGACTTGTGCTGATCGAACTGGCCCTGATCCGCGTTCATGGTCTCTTCCTCGGTGTCGAACGTCTTCAACTGAGCGCGGAGATACTCGACCTCTTTCACAGCGAGGGCTCGTTGGCGTTCTAATCTTGCCTTAGCTCTGGTTTCGGCCATCGCGCCTCCAGCGGGGCCGCCTGCTGCCCGGAGTTTCTCCAGCTCCTGTCGCAAGTTGGCCTTCTCGGATTCCAGGCCCTTGATGATTTCATCCTTCTCCAGGAACTGCGCTTCAACTTGGCCGAGCTTGTCAACAAAACTGGCTTTTTCGATCTGCTGTTGAAGAAGAGCCTTGACGACCGCCTCCGGCGAGTCGAGCTCTGCAGCTTGGTCATTGTCTTGCAGGAGACTAGTCCATGACTGGCGCTCATCCTCTAGGATTTGTTTCTGGATTTGAGCGGTCCCCAGCTCCGACTCTATTTCCTTCATCAACTGCAACTGGTTCTCCAGAGATTTCTTTTGCTCTTCCACGACTTCCACATTCTTTTGTACCTTACGCAGATGCCGTAGCTCCACCGTTTGCTCGCGATTTGTGGTCTCCAGGTTCCTTATGTGGTTGACTTGCTCGGAGAGTTCCCTCTTGAGAACTGCCAAGGTTTCTGCGTCGCTTCCTTCCGACTTGAGTCGCAGATTCTCCGTCTCCAGATCAGCGACGTCGGCTTCCCGTTCCCCCAGCTTCTTCTGTGTGATTTGGACGCTTTCGCGAGCATTCTCCAGTTCACCTTGTAGTTCCTCAAGCGTCCGCTGGAGGGACGAGCGGATCGTTTCGAGTTCGTTGATCTGATATTTGTGTTGTCGTTCCTGGTCAAGCAATTGCGCCTGGGTGTCGCTTGCATCTTCCTGCAGATTCTGATTCTGGTCTTGTAGGCTTCTTATTTTTCGTTCGAAGTCACCTTTCTCGTTGAGGGCGTTCTCTTGGGTCTCTTTGAGCTCTTTCGCGAGGGTCTCGGTCTTGTGGTTGGCACGGTGGCTAGCAGATTCGGCGGCCTTGGGTTGAATCCGTTAGTCGATAGCCTCAGGTCAACATTTGTGAAGTCTCCGACGCACCTGGAATTTCCTGAAATCCGCATCCGCTTTCAACTGCAAGTCTCGCAATTCCTTCTCGTGGCGCAATACCACCAAATCCCGCTCTTGCTTGAGGTTCTCCAATTCATATTTCAGAGTATTGTTCTGTATGCGCAATTCCTCCTTTTCCGTATCTGCAGTAGAGGATCAGCAAGGCCAGTCGCATCTCATCTCACGGACGCGCGGACTTACCAGGCTTTGTCGGAGGCGGAGGAGCCCGGATCGATTGTCGGAAATTCGGCGGAGCTGGAGGAATCGACAGCGGAGACGATGCACGAGGTGGAGAGCCCAGAAAGGGCTGCGAATTCCTGCTTGAATCCATCTAGTCCGGTCAGCTCGTCCGTTGTAAGCTCTTCAATGCACCGCGCTTCTTACCTGGTGATGTTGTTACCAGGTAGCACGCCCCAGTGGTCGACTGTATGGCATTGGTTCCTGGATAGTCTCAATCTCACACCACACGTCTCCCCTTTACTGACGAACGGTAACAATCTCTTAAAAATCAAGCAGCTCCAGGATATGGAGATATCAAACCGATGAAACTCGTCCGCTTGTTTTGCGAGTCGAATGAATCCATCCGAATCGGGATCTGCTGAGTCATCTACGCTCACCGCCCGCGGCAGCTCCAGTTCCCGATCGGGACTAGCGCCAAAATTTTGAAAGGAAGAAATCGAATTTTTGCCATTTTGTTCGCGGACTTGGAAAAAAGTGACCGACGACCACTACTGCGCAACTGTTGTCCTCCGATTCACCCCCCTCCCACCTCTCTATCTACCATTTAAATTCACCTCGGGTGATACCAACCGTCACAATGGGCAAGGACAAGTCTGAGAAGAAGGATAAGCACGAGAAGAAGGAGAAGCGCGCCGAGAAGGACGGCATCCACAAGTCCAAGAAGGAGAAGAAGGAGAAGAAGGACAAGACCGCTCTCACCAACGCTGTCGAGCAGGAGCTCACTACTAAGGTTCTGGATGGCATTGACCAGGCTGTTGCTGGGGAGGCTGCCACTGGGGACGTGCAGATGGTCGACGGCCGCCCCATTGGCGCCCTCGTGCCGTTCGCCCAGCCTTTGGTTGAGGACAAGGCGGCCAAGAAGGTTCTCAAGAGTGTGAAGAAGGGTAGGTTTGCTCTAGCTGTTTATTGGAGGCGTCATATTTCTTGGGATGCAGTTGTGTGTCTTGTTACACGGACAATGGGAGACGCTTGTGTCGACATCCACTCTAGGGAGTTGGAAAGAGATACTCGCTCCTCTATTGGGCCTTGCTATCGAAATGAGCCATTGACTGGTCTTGTCATTTGCTAACTCTTTGATACAGCCGCCGTCAACAAGTGCCTGAAGCGTGGTGTGAAGGAGGTCGTCAAGGCCCTCCGGAAATCTGCTGTTCCCGCTCCCAACGAAGTTATCGCTATCCCCGGTGGCGTCGTCATCCTCGCCGGTGACATCTCGCCGATGGATGTCATCTCCCACATTCCCGTGCTGTGCGAAGATCACGGTATCCCCTACGTGTTCGTCTCCTCCCGAGCTGAGCTCGGTAACTCTGCCGCCACGAAACGCCCGACGAGCGTGGTCATGGCCGTGCCCAAGTCGGCCGCCAAGGGCAAGAAGAAGGACGATGCGGAGGACGACGGAGAGGACTTCAGCGAAGTCTATGAGGAACTGGTCAAGGTCGCCCGGAAGGAGGCCAAGAAGGCGAACATCTAAACGCTCTTCAATCGACATTGGAGGGGGCGAGGACCAACCGTTGATTTCATTTCCTTTTTCATCTCTTAATTCTTGAGCTTGTCTTGTCGCCTGCTATGACTGTACAGTTCCACTTTATTCTCTGACAAGACACTGCATGTCTTTGGGGTCTGGCCTATGGGACGTGTTTGGGTAAATTTTCTTTTTTTTTCCTTTCCATTTATTTATGATATGTCTGTTGCAAATCTGGCGTTATTTTATCAACAGGTGTATGAAAAGGCAGGAAGTATCAAAAATAAAGAAGTTCAAATTCAATCTTGCCAATCTTATAGATTTTTTTTCTTCGTTGCGTGAGACCGATTATATAGGATTAAGTAATATATATGCGTGAGACCAATTAGTTATCGCTTCATATTCCTGGTCTCATCGAATCCCACTATTCGGACCAAAACTCAACCGCATCCGAAAGACCGAATTATAAGATACAAAAAGGGAAAAAGTAGAAGAAAAGAAAAAGGCAGATAATAAAAATGAAACAACAACAACAACAACCGGTGAGTGTTCTCCAATAAGACCGTGAACAACCCGCCGATCCCAGCACAGAGGCGATATACGACCGAAGTTACTCACCTGCAACAGTGTAGCGGAAAAAGACATATCGAATATGAGCCGCGATCCCAAGAAAAATCATCGTGCAGGACGAACAAATAGTGGCAAGCCACCGGACTCTCAGTCAGTCAAGGCAATGAAGCTTATCGGCTCAACAACCAGCAAGGGGCAGGTCATTCCATCCAGTACCTCCTGCGGGAGAAAACTCCAGATCTATTGCCCATTGGATGTGGGCTCGTTCGTCATGCAAGGATACATACAGTTCGGCGTTAGTATTCTCTTGGTCGGTTGATATATCGACCGGTGGTGCAGAGCGCTTGGGATGCAGGTTGTGGAGGGTCAGTCCTGAGAAGCGAGGATAAAAGGATACAAGTGCTCTCCAGCGACTAACTGGCAGGATTGCCCCATCCCGCGAAACCCAGGATTCCTCTACCTTCTCCTCCGTCAAGATGTTGGGATATCACACGGTACTGCTCCTTGCGCTGGGCTGCCTCTCTGCTATCGTGGCCTCGTCACCACTGCCCGTGGCCTATGCCAGAACGAGCCACAAGCTCGTTTCCATCGTCAGAGAAGGCGAGAATGCATTCGAACCGGTAGGTTTCATATACTTTTTACGGACTAATGACCAACGGGTCGGATCCAAAATAATTAAATAAGTCCTAATCCACGTGCTCACAGGACACCCACAAACCGTCCATGTTCTTCTTCAATCACTTCGTGGAACACACTGTCATCCCCAACAACAAACAAGACCACGCCGCCAGCTCCTCTTCTTCATCTTCTTCTTCATCCTCCTCCTCATGCACCACCACCGCCTCCTCGGATCCACTCCTCGTCCACTGGACAAAGGACTTCTACGGACGCTTCATTGTAGAACGTCCCCGCACAACAGCCACAGACTGCCATGGTCCGAATCATGGTCGACCCAAGCAGACGAGTATCCTGTCTGCGCTCCGGAATAGGGAGCGCGTCGTTGCGCCGGCAGCCATTCTGTTCGTCATGCTTTGGGTGGCCCTCATAGGGGTCGGACTTGTCGAGGCTGTCAGTTATCTGTGGGAGAAGTGGACTGGTGCTGAAGAGCTGACGACTGAGAATGTGGAAGACGAGAATGTCTGGGATGACTTTACGATTGGAGTTGTGCCGGTGGAGGACGGTGATGAGGAACGCGGCGGGTTGGGAGACCTCAAGGTGGCTATTTTTTGACGGATTACGCTATATATAATGAAGTATCAACAGCGTTGTTGGCTGTCGATGGCGCTGAAATGATATCCAAGTCGTTTATGAAATAGGTTATGGGCACAGTATGAATTTGTTGCTTGTTGCTTCCAAGATTTGATTATTCTAATATACAATCACAAAACCCAGACGCGGTCTGCCTGAAGCCAAAGAAACAATGAAAAACAAAAACCAATCGCTCATAAGCTTTTCATCAAATCATACAACCATCAAACAGTCTAAGCACGCTGATCCCGCTCAAGGGCCTCAAACCCCCCATGGTGAGAATCGACATTCTTCTGCCTCGCACCGCCAACCTCAACCCCACCCTCAGCAGCCCGGCTCTGGAAAGTCTGCTCCGCAGCACGGGAAGGGTCATTCTGGTTTCCAATCTCCGAGTTAAAGCTCGCGTTGTGGCGCGGGTCGTCATCAAAGCCGCCCTCATGCAGATTCTTGCCCTTAGGCTTGCCCTGACCAGGCAGGCCCGTCACGTCCGAGGCATACGAGGGGGCCTGTCCACCGATGTGCGTGTATCCGCTCCCGCTTCCGCTGGCGGCAGCAGCTTGCTGCTGTTTGGCGGCGGTGGGACCGCCGACGTAGCCGGATCCGTGAACGCCGGGGAAGTCGCCCTGGCCGCCGAGGGCTTCGGGGTACTTCTCTTGGCGGTTGCGGTCTTCGCGGAGGCCGCCAACGGGCGCGGCCGGGAGCTTCGTGGTGTGGTGGGTGCTCTGTTGGGTGGTTGAGCTGCTGCTGGTGTGGATGCCGCGGTTCTGGGAGAATCCGCCGCCGTGCGTGGCGGATTCGGCGGCTAGAGAGTCGCTCTGTACGGGACCGGCGGGCTCGTGAATAGGGTTACGGCTGGCGGCGGGGTCGTTGGTGACCTTTGTGCTGCGCTTGCCGTGAGGGAGAGGGTTTCCTTGGAGATCCATTGTGATAGTTGTGATGGTGGTGGTGGTGGTGGTGGTGGTGTGGTTCTAGTTATTGAAAAGAAGGGTAAATTGGATAGACTTTACAAGTTCCAGTGGAGGATATAAATTGAGAATTAATTAATTGACCAGCGATTGAGGATGTGACAAGACCAGCTATATAGCAACCTTCTGATATCTCAAACCCTAAGCAAGATGTAAACGACGTCATACTGACGAAGCAAGTTCCCAGACTCGCAGGTTTGGCCTCAAACCACCAGATAACGTCAACGAAAGCATCACCTCAAACCCACAACAGGGTTCTAACTGGTACTATGGAAATCTCTGATCCACCCCCTTCCAACTCCTATGTCGTCCAGACTCTGTTCTGGAAAAAGCTCGAAACGCCCATGACCGGATAGTGGCCCGCCAGTAGGGATCTGCGCTGATGTGGTCTGCCCCACCGTTTCTCCTTCCAAGGCTGGGATTGACATGTTGGCCGGATGTTGCAAGCCCTGGTTGATGGCCCCCGCTGGATTGTGTTCTGATATCAGAGTGTGAATTGTACATGACAGGTGGGGAGGTTGGACTCCGCCATTTGACGTCATGGCGCTGACCACTTTGGAGAGCACGCATTTCGTTCCCAGCACCGTCTTGCTCAGCATAGAGGCAGGGTATCAGTATTGCGATTCTGCGAGAAAAATAATTTTCAATTGTAGTCTCAAATATTTGGTAGTATTTGGCACAAATGGCGCTTTTTTCAATTCATACCTAAAACGCTTACTTTCAGCCGTAGCTTCCATACTAGTCATTGATTAGATGTACGGAGAGTAGCTCATCTTTGTAAAGCTTAGCAGCGATATTGAGATTATGAACAAGATCATATCCCCACACTCTATTTTCAAGCGTTTCTATAGCAGTGGTTCCAAACCATAACTACGATAGTAACTCAAGCTACAACACGCACATCAAGAACCTCAATACATCATCGCTCATAACATTACATTTCAAATCCATAAACTAAAGATACATCATTTAAATTACCGAGCAAGGGCATCCTTAGGGAGACCATCGAGGTTATCCTTGCCCTGGCGTCCAACATTGGACGTGGGCGCAGTGTTCTTGTGCAATTCGCTCCCCGACTCGCGCACGCTGCTTCCCGCAGTCGCCGGTTCCCTCAGGGCGCTGTTGGCTTCTCCAGAAACGGGGCCTTCGGTGCGACCGGAGCCAACGTTGACGGTTCGCGCGTCGGCCGACGACCAGTCACTGGCGACTGGGGGTTGTTCGGGCAGAGGAAGGTTGGCCTTGGTCTGCTCGATATCCTTCTTCTTGTCGGTGGTCTGGCTGAGATGGGACTGTATCGACGTTAGTATGGGATGATGTGTCCGGGCAAGGAAGGGTAACTGACCTTCAAGGCGGAGACGTCGGACTCCTTGGGTGGGTTGCCACCGTGCGCCTGAGAGACCTTGGATTCAGCCTTGCGAATGTCCTGGCTTGTGGGATCGATAGTGGAAGACATTATGGTTGATGGACGTAGATGGATGTGGATGAGTTGAAGGTGGGACGAAGTAGTAGGGTGGTGATTGATTCTCGAAAGTAGTTAAGAGGTTATTTGAAGTAGAAAATTGTAGAACCGAATGCGACAGATAGAATTCAAGGCCCATTATATACTGTCTCATGAGGGTGTGGATGCATGGGCGATGACGTTCTTTCAACCAAGAATGAGACTTGCCCTCGCTATGATGTAACCAGGCCGATTCGATCAATTGCCCTGCACCTTACGTCGATATGCCATCTGGAATCCCTTCGTGTGGACCCATGGATAGTATATTTCACAAACCGGTCTTTTGTTTCTCATTAGATGATTTTTTCAAGGGTCTCGATTTGTTTCTTGTCTGATTTATTCATCGTGGATATTGCGGGAGAGTCGGGACTTAGGGCTTGAAAACTCCCGCTATGACTCGCTCTCCGTAGAACAACATTATCCATTGACACACGACACATAGAGTATATAGATCAAAAGAGGCCACCACTAGCTAAAAATCCTCCATCCTGTAAACCCCGTATGAGGGCTCCTCATACGGGTGCGCTCTAGAAAACACACACATCAGACCAAACAACCCATCATCGATACAGAGGTTTATCATACCTTTTCAATGCCGCAACAGCCTTTCTGGCGACATCCTCTCCAACACACAGCGTTTCGACCCTAATCTCGTCGGTTTCCTCCAGTGCGCCCACCGTCCCAATGTGGGGATTCGCCGCGTCGCCAGGGCGAAACTGGCCTTTCCCAGCAGTCGTCCAGCAGCATTCCGTGTAGTTACCAGGCCCGGGATAGCGACCAGCGCCGGCAGCAAATATCGCGGCCTTACATGCTGCTACTGCCGAAGGAGGGGCGTTGAACACCAGTCGGTATCGTACTGTCGTCATTTGGGTGTTGAAGTCTGTTGGCGCGTGCTAGACTCAGAGCGTAGGGAATAAACGTCGGTCAATGACTGACTGGATTTTCATGACCAAGAGCAAAGTGGGAATACCAAGAGCAATGGTCTTTGAGCCTCGGTTGTGGGGTAAGCGCTGTCCTCTCTTGGGCTAAAGTACTATACTATCTTGTGCTATATGTACACGGCCACATTCATGTATGCTGGGAAATATGCCATCATGACTTGCAACACTTATATATTGATTAGATATAATATACACAGAAAATCATATAAAGTATAAAAACCATATGTAAACCAAACCATCCCATGTAACCTAGTATGATAGGCATCTTTTGCATGTCTGCTTAATGTGCCCTAATAATGCAATAGATAATGTAGTAGTAGTAGTAGTAGTAGTAGTAGTAGTAGTAGTCCTTATTATCTAAGGTAGGCAATAGGCAGGGTAAGGACCTTCTTCATAACCTAACTACTAGTTAATAATTAGATTAGATACTTTACTTATACCCGGGAGGGTGATCTTACAAAATACTAGCTTTGTCGGGAATAGCCTCATTGTGAACACGGTAGAATTCAAAGGATCATGATCCTTGCTAGCACCCAGCGCTAACAAAATCACTAGAGTTAACCGGAGTAGGTCGACTAAGTTTATATTCTCTTTGAATTAGATATTATCTTCATATTCTCTTCCTATCTGTGTATCCGATCAAGACACTAGAAATGACATGTAATCAACACTAAAGATTTCCTCCCCACAGCTTACAGCCTCAGCTAGCCACTAAGAGCTGCATTACCCCTCCATATGTTGCCAACTCAGCTGAGTGGGTAGGGTATTTAAGTCATATCACCTCTTGAAATCTCACTCAAACCAGTAATTCCATCTCTCATTCCCTCCCTCGTTACAGACAACTCCCCAAAAACAATCACCATGTCTTTCCATGAATCCTGTGTAGACATCCGCATCGAAGTCCGTGGTGACCACACCGTCCTTCTCGCCGGCGCTGGAATTGGTGACGACGCATACGAACCCGCAGAGCTGAACCTCGACGAATTTATCGGCAACTCAGACGGTAAGTTTTAGTTTTCTTGATATAGCAGTTACTACTGACGAGGTCTTTAATTTAGGTTATTTTGCGCGGGACGGTGACAGTAACTCATTCACCGAAAGCGCTGAGAACATCGACTTGAGTTTCCGCGACGATGGTGTTTGGTTGGAGGCGGATCTGCTCAATGCTGAAGGCGGGGAAAGAGAGCGTCAGGGAATCAACCTGTCCGAATGGATTGAGAACCAGGACGGACAACTGGTGGCTATCTGATTCTAAATGTGATATTAGGCTGCTACCTGCATAAACAGTCATGTATTGGCTCAATTTTTTCTTGATTTAGTTCTCCAAGTGCTTCCCTCAAGACCAGTCATATTATTCAGTGGGTTCACACTGCGGAAGGAAGGTTTCCCCCTGGGCTTAGTGTCCTATATGTTATAGTGGATTAGTTTAATGGAAAATACAGGGTTAGATAGTTGGGAATAGCTTCAAGTTCTCCAGGCATGGTTGTTTTGAAGGGAATGGGCGGGCCGGTCGATCGGGAAATACATTATGCTGTGCATAAACAAACTTAGTAATCACAGAATAATTTTTTACACACCGCCTTCCCTCACGAGTCGGCAGAAATTGATCATTTCCCCGCGGCCACAGAAGTCCGAGTTTGTAAAGCATGCGTTAGAACAGATTAGATTTCATTCTGAAGCGATTCGCATTTGATTCTACATTAGAGCATTGATAGATTTATCAGCATGCCGAGAGACCCGCTAATTGGGCTGGTGGGCAAGGTCTGTGTCTTCTATCTACCTCGAGCGTCCGGTCGCTGACAGTGAGGGGCATGCAGCCATCCAGCGGAAAATCGACGACGTTGAACAGTTTGACCGATGCGTCTTCCAAAGTTGGTAAGTTTTTTACACAATTTGCTACTCTTTGTTGCCGTGCTCTCACTAAGTGTATTCTTTTCTCCAGGAAACTTCCCGTAAGTTTACTCGAATATCCGCGCCTGTGGACGAATCCCTTCGAAGTTTAATATCCCACCCCGAGACTCTGACCACGCAATTCAGTTTCACCACCATCGACCCCCAGCGCGCAATTGGATACCTCCAGATTGAGTGTGCATGCCAGCGACACGGCGTGTCGGATCGGTGTAAGCCGAACTACGGCGGTTGCGTGGAAGGACGGCGATCCGTGCCTATCGAACTTTTAGATGTTGCCGGTCTCGTACCGGGAGCGCACCAGGGTCGGGGACTGGGTAACAAATTCTTGGATGATCTGCGACATGCCGATGCCTTGATCCATGTGGTGGATGTGAGCGGTACTACGGATGCTGAGGGTGCGTCATTTGCAATGCCCTGAGTGATTGGTTTCCTTGTGCGCCGGATGCTGACAGATATTTGGGGATGTAGGAAAGGCGACGCGGGGATACGACCCGTCGGTAGATATTGAGTGGTTGCGATCGGAAATCGTCCGATGGATCTTGGGGAATTTGATGCAGAAATGGTATTTGAGCTTCCCTGTCAGGCCAACGTGCAGAGAGCTGACCAATACAGGGGATCGATCAAGAGGAGACACACTGCGATCAGTGAGTTTACATATATTCTACTTTGGAAAGTTGACATCGTTCTTTTGAATACTAATCTCGTGGTGATAGAATCCACCGCAGTGGAAACTTTGCAGGGCCAGTTTTCTGGGTACGGAAGTACATCGCAAACCGTCGCACGGTGCCTGGACCGAATAGGCATCAAAGAACCCCTGGAACACTGGTCGGACGAGACCGTCCAGCGGGTTGTCGAGGCCTTTATCGACGAGAAGTTCCCCACCGTGTTTGCTCTGAACAAGATCGATCATCCCGACGCGGACAAGGTTCGTTCTCATTTGATCAGAGTCGAAAGTCTGTGTACTGATCGACCTCCAAGAATATTAGCAAAATCGCCAAAATGCAAGATCCGCAAACGATCGTTCTCTGCTCCGCGATCTCGGAAGTCTTCCTCCGGAGACTGGCGAAACAAGGCTACGTCAAATATATCGAAGGCAGCGAGTTTGTCGACACAAAGGAAGATCTCGAGGAGATGGGCGAGCCCGATGGAGGCGGGTTGAAGGAGATGGACGAGAAGCTGAAAACGTATGCTACTCCTGCATTACGTGAAGATCTGAGACTAACGCCGCTATAGCCGGGTTGAGAACCTGAAAGACATGGTTCTGTATCGGTTCGGATCTACGGGAGTTGTGCAGTGTCTCTCGCGAGCTGCGGAACTTTTGGGCCTGGTACCGGTGTTCCCGGTGCGGAATATTCATACGTTCTCATCAGGCACTGCGGGGTCCGGAAATGCCGTATTCCGGGATTGCATTTTGGTCAAGAAGTGAGTATCTGGAACAAGCCCAATGGACGCACATCTTGCCTAACATTCAACAGGAACAGCACAGTGGGCGACGTTGCCCACAAGGTGATGGGGGACATCCCCATTTCCTACATTGAAGGTATCGGGGGCACCCGGGTGTCGGAAGACGACATTGTTGAAGTAGGGAAACATGATGTATGTGTCAACTTGTCAACTTTTCATCTTTTGCTTTTGGCACTAATGGCTAACCAATTTTAGGTTCTCTCATTCAAACCTGGACGGTGAAGAGCCACCCATCCTATGTACAGTTAATATGATTGTTAATGAAACAATGACCGCAATGACGTAATCTTCATGGCGTCTCGCCTGCGCATATACATCCAAACCGACCCATCAATATTTGGCGACATTGGAGGGAAAGCGTAGCTGCATCACTGACCCTTCTATCAGAAAAAGTCAGTTCACATTTCCCGTGCTCAAGCCGACTGTCCAGTCGCGCCAGTTCACGCAGCGAAAATCAAGGATGTCAAAAAACCCACCCTTCCTCTCTCATCATTCATCCCAATAATCGGACTCGGCGCATTAGGATGTTCCTTCTTCGCCTTGTCCGCCTCCTGCGAACCCTGCCGCTGAGTCGTCGCCTGCGACTTCGATCTATCCGCCTGGCCCTCCTTTTCCTCTCTCTCTTTCATGCCTGCAGCAGCCGCATCCGTCGTCGGATCTGTAGTGTCTCCCCTCTTCGCTCGATCAACCGCGTGGTCCTTCGTCGACGACTGAGTTCCTGGAGTAGGCGACGAGCCGTATAAACGGGACCGCATGTACCCGGGCGTGGGGAAAGCGACCGGCTGCCAGACGGACTGGAGGGGCAGCAGGCACGGGAGAGGAGGACGGGGGGTGAGGGCTGTGCACACCTTAGACGCTACGGATGGGATGCGGGGGCTGTTGACCATGTTGTATGTAGTAGGAGGTCGTAGTCTGTGCCTGTATGGGTATGGAGGGTTCAAACTAGAAGGAGATGCGTATTAAGGTCGATTCTACAACCTCTTCCGCTGGTCAGTAAACTAAACGGTTTTATGTAATCCCCCACACTTCTGGGAAGTTTATTATGCTGTTCCATATCGTCATTACATCCTGCAACCGCATAGGGTTGGCTTTTCTATGATCCGAAATAGATGACGTCTCGATGCTGCAATGACGACTGGTCAGTTCCGGCTTCTAGCTAGGGATGATTAATCGGAGCTAAACTGCAAAGAGATGTGGGTCGCACTTCATGGCCTGCAGTCATGTTTACAGAGCAGCTATCGTTGATGATCAATATCGTTGATATTCACGCCGACATACCATGACTCGCTGCTCAAAGATATTTACGAGCACTGCGTCTTATATACCACTGACCTTTTCTCGAAGTTCAACTCCAGTGTTCCAATCCATTTTCCGCCCTCGACAACTCAAATCGGGATATTTCGCGCGGCTGGGCTCCACAACGGCCGAGAATCATCGCATCGAATACAACTGGATCAAGGATGTGGGGACACTTGAGGAATATCAGCCTGGGGGTTATCATCCTGTTATGATCGGGGACGTGCTAAATGGCAGATACCACATTGCAGATACACTTGGCTTTGGGGGCTATTCAACGGTTTGGCTTGCCCTAGATACCTATATAAAGTGATATATTGCAGTCAAGGTTAATATCGTAGACGTGCTTCCGTGTGAGTTGAAAGTTCTCAAGGCTCTGTCTGGCCCTCTTCTGCTGTTCTTGTTTATATATCCAGGATATGATTTAGTGCCTGCTTTTCTAGATAAATTTAAAGTTCAAGATTCTAATAGAGAATATCTGTGCTATATAATGAAACCTGTGCAGAGCAATCTTAGAGAAATCTTCTCTAACTATATTTTCCTCCTCAAAGTTGCCTGAGTACTATCATATAGACTTACACAGGCCGTTACTTATACACATTCTCAAGGCCATGTTCACAGAAGTTTGTTATATGACTATGAGAACTTCTTGGGTTTCATACTGGTAAGCTGACATTTCAAATTATTACTTTAGATATCTATCTATCTAAGCAATATTTTGGTCAAGATCCTGTTAAGCTTTAAGAACCTCTCTATTAAGCAGTTATATAAAAAGTATGATGAGCCTAAGATGGTTCCTGTCACTTGATATGACAGAGAAATATTACTCCCTAATGCGCCAGCGAAGGCAGTTGTGCTGCTATTCCTAGGAAAGTACGCAGAGGAGTTCATATTAAGTAACACGTATCTACTTCTGAGTGGCTTTGGCGAGGTGTTTTGACCTACTTCAAAGACTCATCTGGGACAAGACTACTACACATCACCTGTGTTTCAAGCTCTAGAAGCCAAATTCAAACTACAGACCCCCCTCTCGTATCCCTCAGGCATCTGGAGCCTGGCTACGGCTATCTGGGAGATCATCGGGATGAAAGCCATTTTCAGCACCGAGTTCGTTCCTGAGGATGAGATCGTGTCTCAACATGTCGATGTGCTTGGACCTATGCCTTTGGAGTGGTGGCGGCGCTGGGAAGGACGACCCCGGTTTTTCGACGAGGATGGGTGTCCGACAGAGTCCTACCGGCAAAATCGATGGCCTCCGCTTGAAGGCTCATTTGAGGTCGGTGTGCAGGAATGGAGACGGAGAGTGGGAGACGAGATTGGGGAAAACGAGAAAGCTGCGTTTCTGGATCTGATGCGCCGGATGCTGTCTTTCCGGCCGGAAGAGAGACCGACTGTTGAAGGGGTGCTGCAGTCGGAGTGGATGGTGAAATGGGCATTGCCTGATTGTGAGCTGAGCTAGATCTATCATTCTCCAAGTAAAATCAATCTTATCAAAAGATCTATGCGTAGTAGATCCCCCGTCTTATCGTGTACAGCGGGCAATAATGGCAGATTTAGTCAGACGAGCTTATCCTTATCGATAAGCTCCGACCGTGGATAGCTCAACGAAAGCGAACCTTAGCTTTCCCCCACTCTCCTCCGATCTTACCGGTCGTGCGAAAGCAAGATTGTAACACTATCACAGCAACCTCAGGCTGGCATTGTGATCATGAGACGGGAATTCCTCCCCATCGAGACATTGCCCTCCTGGGCAGTGCTCAATGACATCTCCGCCGACGGCGTAGCCTTTCGGAGACTGCGGTCCCTCGAGGACGGCACAGACAAGGGATCAGCTATTGTCGCGACGAGGGACAGACGGGACGATGGGTCGGGACTCAGTCCCCAAGTTCTTCTCACAATTCCTTTAGATATGGTTCTATCCCTGCAGTCGGTTGAGAACCATGCCAAGTCTGACGGGAGTCTTCGGGAGGTGCTGGATGCGGTGGGAGATTATGGAAGGGTAGGTTGGTGATGTCCCTATCATTCTCTTCCTTTTTTCTCTGTGCGCTATTGTGCTTAATTTGGTGGGGGAGGGATAGACAACTGGATGAACGCGGCTAACACAGCGGGTGATAGATGGATAGAGGCGCGATCTTGATCTTCCTGATCATCCAAATGACACACTCGAGCCCTGATTTCGCGGAGGAGCGACACCGAGTGGGATTATCGGGCCCATGGACCGAGTACCTGAAATACATGCCCTCCGACATACCGCTCCCCACACTATATACCCCGCAGGAACTGGAGCTCCTACGCGGGACCTCGCTAAGGATCGCCGTTGACGCGAAATTGGCCGCGCTGGATAAGGAGTTCGAGAATCTCCGACAAGCTACGGAGGGGATATCATGGTGTCAGAAGTACTGGTGGGATGAGAAGACGGGCCGATTGACGCTGGACGACTGGAAATATGTCGATGCGCTGTATCGGTCGCGGATGGTGGATTTGCCGGGGAGTGGCCATGCGATGGTTCCCTGTGTTGATATGGCTAATCATGCGTCGGAAAGTGCTGTGAAGGCGCTGTATGATGAGGATGATCATGGGAATCCTATTCTGCAACTGCGACGGGGGAAAGAGTTGAAGACAGACGATGAAGTTACGATCTCGTGAGTTTGTTTTCTATTGGTTTGACGCTTGGATCTAGAGGAGCTTACGGATATACCTGAAGATATGGGGGAGGGAAGTCTGCGTCAGAGATGGTCTTCTCGTACGGGTTCCTCGACAGGGAGATGGGCGATGCAAAGCAGCTGTTCCTTGATCTCGACATTCCCGACGACGATCCCTTGAAGATAGCCAAGAAGATGTTCTGTAGACACGCGCCTGGGTTTAAACTAAGTTCGAACCCTGGTGCCACAGAACCACCGACTACTAGTTGGGATAGCCCGATTGTGTGGTGGGCCTGCGTCAACGAAGAAGATGGACTAAACTTCAAGGTGCTGCAAACGACCGACGGAGCCCGAGAGCCCAGAGCCACGTGGAAGGGGGAAGACATGGACCACCCCGATGCCCTGAAAGAAGTCTTGGCCGCGAATCCTCAGTTTGATATTTTCCAACTCCGAGCCGTGGTGACCATCCTGGAGCGATTGGAAACCCAGTTCTTCGTCCTGCGCCAGACCGAGCGCGTGGTATCGGAGATCAGTGAAGACGAGAACATGCGGGCCATCTTCCGGCCTGATGTGTTCAAAACCATCGTCAAACTACGGGAGCTGGAGTCGCAGCTGATGGAGAGGGGAATTGAGGACCTTGAGAGCCAGGTAGGTGTCTGAACCACGCTCTGGAACCTGATAGCTAATGCCTCTTATCTATAGCGACAAAACCTCATGAATAGCGAAGCAGTGAGAGCATATCTGAGCCAAGGAGAGGAGCAGGCTCAACCAGAAGAAGAAGACGATTTCTCCTGATATGTCTTGGCGAGAATAGAACCTGACTCGGGCAAGCCACCTGCTGTACACCATCATCCATAGCGTTGTGAATATTACGCGAGGCTATTATTAAGATATGCATAACTTCTGGGGCCTCCCCCAATGTCAACATACCAGTGGCCACCAAACAACTCCAAGTAGGTCGAGGATCTTTGGAAAAATACCCACCGCGGGGGACGATCACACAATCAGCCTTCCCCCGTACGGAGTTTAAACTGTAAAAAAAAAAAAAAAAAAACCCCGGGTTTAACTTTGGGGGCCCAAAGTAAGTTCGAGGGGAGGGAGGAGTCAGTCGGAAGACAAAGAACGCATCCAAACTACCGGGCCAAGAAAAAAAACAACACTAACCCCATGACGAATCTCTTATGACGTTGTCCAAGAGAGCATATTCCCCACTTCTGACGACTCCTTTACTGTTTTGGGGGAGAACCCCCTTTGGAACGGGAGTTGGAAACCTGTACCTAGGACACTGCCAAACTGGATTTAGTTATATTATGGGTCGGGGTTTGTAGGATGCGGCAAGGCGAGAGTTGGACATATCGGACCCCACGTGGATTGATTGACATTGCTGGGTCCGTCCTACTCCCTAGATGGTTAAAACAGGAAATGGAGAGACGGGTACGAAAAGAAAAGATATTAATCGATTGATTGGGTTACTGGAAAGAGTGTAGCCAATCTTGAACTGTCTTCTGTCAATCCATGCGGGTCTTCCGGGTCTTCAGGCACAGAGGTGGCTTCGGTAGATGGACTGGTGCAAGTACCCCGTATTCATAATCCATGCATCATCATCAAACAATCAATCAATCAATCAATCAATCAATCAACCCTGACCACTTGACTTTTTGGGTATGCACTACATAGTATTCTGCAGGTACTTTGTACAATGTACAAGGTAAACTGTAGCTGACAGGAAACTCTCTTCCAAAGACGGCAAAGGAAGGAAAGTAAATGCCGAATATTTCCAAGTATTTATTATGCATGAATTAGTATTTCTAAAAGTCTATTAATCTCTTTGTCTCCTGGATTGAACCACAAACTATCACCCCAGAACCAGCAACTGTATGAACCCAAATTGTATGCATGGTCAACTTTCCGGGAAAACGCCGAGTTATAATATCGTGTACTTTAATGATCTTCCCCGTGGGTAAGTATCTTTGGCTGCCATCACCCCGCGTGGGGTCTGATATCGTACAATAGTAATGTGGTACAGCTGATGATGATGATGATGATGATGATACTGATGCTGATGATGCTGATGATGATCATGGATTAGCCCCGCTGTACTCTAGTTGCGAACGGACGGGGAAGGAAGAATAAGAATCATAAAGATAATAATAAAAAGATCAAAACGATGAAATCAAGACGTGGCAATTGGCAAGACAGTAGAGTGGATGTGAAGAGTGGTCCAGCCAGACTCAACCAAACTCAACCAAACTGGGGCAGACGAACCTGATAAGGCAGTATGAGGGATTTCGGAGAAGAATCGGGAGAAACGTGGGGAAGAATCAGGTCTTGAGGTAAGTCAGTTGGGAAGATCGCCCTGGATACGCCGAGTGAATCCCGAGGATTTGCCTGAATGCGGGATGTTTCCACGTACCAGTTTCCACTGGAACCATTTTCTGCCTGTTCGGGTAATACGCCCCTATGGATAACTGACCTTGGTATTGGGATGTCTCAACATTGTGAGTACTGGTGTGTATTGTGAAGTTCGTGTTGTTGATTGTGTAGATGTCATCTGGATGGGGAGCATGATATTGCCTATTTTTATCAGATTTAGATTCCAAAGAATAATAGGTGGATTCGGTCAAGATTCGGGGCGATCGCACATCGCTTCCCAGGAGGTTCTCTGGATGAGACTCACCCTCAATCTAGTTGGAACTTGGATCACTGTTGAATCTGGTTGGCTTTCTGGAAGAAAAACAAAGAGGGAAAGGAGAAAGATGTTCTGGTTCGAAGATCCTCGTCACTGGGGCCGCTATGGTTGTTAAGCTGATCGACTGCAGATACCTACTGTAGTAGTGATGATTTTGATGAGTCGGTGTGGTTGGCTGCAATCTACTACTGCGTATTCAACAATACTCATGTTGTAACGTCGTTGGAGGAAGAATCTGGGGGGTTTTGACCATGATCGCCCGGTTCATCTCAGCTCTCGTGTGGCATCATGTCATGTTATTACGATCGCTCTCCCCAATAGTATATACTATATCATAACTCAAAAAGGTCATCAGCACACCGTTCAATCAGACATGCTCGATTTCAGTCTCACCGCATCCACCAGCTTATCCACTCGTGCCAACGGCAGACCCCAGATCCAGACGGGAAGACAGACCGGCTCTTTCTCCCTGTTTCATGCACCACTCATCCGCTGTCCGGTATAATCCGATATCACCATCCACTGACAGGTCAGACGAGAGGGGAATAACCGTCCGCCATAGTTGCCGAGAATAAGGTAAAGCAGGTCAATGACACAGAATAAAGTTACGCTGTTGAATTGAGATACGAGTGCCAATAGTTGGAACAGGCAGTCATTGGAAAGTCATTGGATGGACGGGGTTGATTGGGTTGAATATCGGCGCATGACTCCACATGATCCAACCCCACATATCTCCATTGATTATTTATTAAATTTTATTTTATTTTATTATAATCTATTATATGATAATATATTTATCTTATTATTTTATTTATTTCGATTGATGTGATTGATTCTGGCACATCCCAAAAAGTGACGGTTTCCGCCTCTCTCTCCCGCTTCCTCCTCTCTTCTCCTATATTATTCCCCGACTATCTGACTCGCTTCCTTCACTCTTCTCCTTTTCCCTTTTACTCCCCCACACTTACCTATTCCTTCCTTCTTCTATACTCCTCTTTCTACCCGTTCTTGAATCCGCTGTCGAATCCTCATCCTCTTTCCGACACATTTCTACCCGTTCGCTATACTTTGCGGGATTTTCTCTTTTTCTTATACTGTCCCGTTCGGCTACAGTGATTCCTTCCCACCAGAACGATCATCATCCGATTAGTTGACTTCCCACCCTGATAAGAAATCAGCTGTTCGATATCTTGTGCGGCAGCTGCACAGCAGCATCCAGCCAAAATGCCCGGCATTCTCCCTATGAAAGTTATCAAAGTCGGCAACAGTGCCCAGAGTCGCATCGCCCAGGCTTGCGATCGCTGTCGCAGCAAGAAGATCCGCTGTGATGGCGTTCGCCCGTGTTGTACGCAATGCGCCAACGTCGGTTTTGAGTGCAAGACCAGCGACAAGTTGAGTCGTCGCGCATTTCCCCGCGGCTACACCGAGTCGTTGGAGGAACGCGTGAGAGCGCTCGAGACTGAAGTCAAGGAGCTGAAGGACCTTCTGGACGAGAAGGACGAAAAGATTGACGTTCTCTCCCGAATCCACTCGTTTTCCCCCTCGTCACAGCAAAAGGCTAGTGCCGCCGTGCTCTCACCATCGCAGCCGGCTAAACTGCTGCCGTCCGATCCGAGCGAGGGCGTTATCCACGTTCCGTCGGCACCCGAATCTCGCGAAACGTCTGGGGTCCCCAGTGGTGGGGTATCAAGCACTCGAGGATTCAACGGTAATTTTCCCCAAATTGATTCGCTCTAACGCGAACATATGAAGAGGTCAGAAGTGTAGAAAGAAGCGGCTCGCTGATAGTTTCTAGATGTCTTCACGAACCGACTCATTGAATTGGGCCGGTTACCCTCAACGGTTTCAACCAAGGCTCTAACCACCTCTCCCGCCGTCCTCTCCCATTTCCACACCGATCAAGCCATCCAAACTGCGCCCCGACTGGTTTCCGACCAATTGATCAACATTTTCTTCCAGGAGTGGGCGCCTCTATATCCCGTCGTCCACCGCCCGACCATTCTCAAAGCCTATGAACAATATCTTTCCACCGATTCCATACAAGGGGGGAAGCATGATCTCGCGCAACTGAATTTGATTTTTGGCACTGCGGCTCTCACTTCAGGTGTAAGTATTGCATTTCCATGTCGGGAGACCGAACCCATGGCTCACCCGCTCGCCACCAGTCACGAACCAATCAAGATCCCACCTTCTTCGAAGAGAACTGGGTACCGACCCTGGAAACCCTCTCGAGCGATGTCTCCGTTCCGACGCTACAGTGCTTTGTCTTGGCCCAGATGTACTGCATGACACGGGGCGACTACAGCAGCCTGCTTCGCTACCGAGGGTTGGCTGTTAGCCTCTGCCAGCAGCTGAGACTCCACCAAAGCCAAAAGCGCCTGTCCTCGAACGCTCTGGCAGCTGAGACGCGCAAGAAGGTGTTTTGGTGTCAATATGTGCTGGATCGGTATGTCTCTCTACGACTCTGTTTAGACCCTCCAGGCTGACCTCAACCAGTTTCACCGCCGCCTTGACCGGTTTACCCGTCCTCCTCCGCGAAGGGGACATTCGCACCGAGTACCCCGAGGACATTGATGACGAAAATGTCACCGAATCTGGTTTCTTGCCTACGCTGCCCGGTGAATCCACCCGGATCTCCGGTGCGATCGCGTTGTTCTCCGCGTCGCGGATCTTGAACAAGACCCTGGAGGACTTGTACCCCGCCGACGGAGACTACGACATTCCCGTTTCGAAACTGCGGGCGCTCAGCGGGCAACTCGACAGCTGGGAGAAGAACCTGGCTCCCCATCTTCGTCTGGAGTTTTCGCAAGACAAGCCGAGCACGAACGTCACAAGTAGCCGGTCGCCCCTTTTGGTAGGTCCATTCATCCACAACTCGTGGTCTAGTAGGATCTCTTACTGACGGCTCTCCAGTCCCTGGTTTATTACTTGATCCGTTCCCTCATCCACCGACCGGCGGTGTGTTTTGGCGAGGAGCAAATCCGTTCGCCGTCCGTCCTGGCCCTGGCCGACTCGAGCAAGCACATCGTCCAGATCTTGCAATTGCTCGACGAGAGGCGTCTGTGTCTCTCGCTCAGCATCAGCCGCAAAGAGGTGATCTTCACCTCGGGACTGGGTCTCTTGTGGCAGAACGTCGGCCTCAAACGGGAGAGCAAATTGGTCAAAGAAGGCCAAAAGCTCCTTACGACGATCATCGAACTCCTGGAAGCCGTGTCCTCTCCGGCCGCGGCCGAGTTCAGCGGCATGGCCAGCGTGCTGTTTTCGCTGGACGGCAACCGGCGTCGCAGCTCCAGCAAACCCCAAAAGGAGATGTCACCGCCGACACAGCGGTCGTCCAAATCGCCTAAGAAACAACCGCTGGAGACGTTGAAGGCCCAGCTGATGGCCCACGCCGATCCGCAGCATTCCGTCAAGACGGAGTCTCACTCCCGCCGCGCCACGATCTCCGGGGACCGTCCCCCAACCGGACCGCGCCAGTCCCGGTCCAACACCTGGGCCGGCCTGCCTCCGGATCCCTTAGCCCACCCACCCCCCATGGCGGATCCCGCCTACTTCCCGCCCCATCCGTTCGGATACGATCCCTGCGCGTCGCTCTCCCACTCGGCGCCCTCCGACCCGGCGGCCCCGCTGACCATGTCAGACTGGGAAGTCGTCCTCGGCGACATGGACCGCGGCTACTCGAACATCTTCACAGGGATCTACGGCGGCAAGGAATGCGGCGAGGACAGCGGACCGTTCGCGTCCCTGACAGCCGAGTACGCACACAAGCCGGAGCACCTCCCAGCCTCCTTGCCCGCCACGGCACCCAGCGAAGCACAGGGCCTGTCGCCCGCGGCCTGGTCCGCCAGCAGCACAAGCGATCTCCCAGCGAACCACGCAGGACCGGCGCAGAGCGTGCTGAGCTTCTCGGACGAGAGCCTAGGCGGCGCGGACGAGAAGATGCCGTACAAGGATCATCACCTGCACATGTCGCCGGAGCAGGCCCATCTGATGGACCCGTTCCGCAACGTGATGGTGCCGACCGTGGACGAGGAGGTCGATGAGTTTGCGTTGGGGCATGGGTGGAATCGACGGCTGGCCGTCTAGACCGTGTTTTCTTATCTGTCTTTGATTGATTCTTTTTTCTTATGTTTTTTTATGATACCTGGACTTGGGAGTACGTGGGATATGGATTGGTGATATTTTCTTTACACATACGATAGTTTTGACTAGCAAGCCTGTTTATTCTTTTCTCTTATCATCCACAATCGTAAAAATTATCTTGTATTTTGATTATATAGACAGTCAGTACCTAGTAAGTGAGGACCGACAAACAGCCGCGCCCAGATCTCTCCCCCCCGCATCCATTTCAATCAAATCGGCCAGCCAATACGACGCTATCAGACCAGGCAACGGATCGATTGGCGAACCGAGCGGGGGAACGAACCCGGGCCATCGCTTGGAAACCAAGGTAATGTAATGAATGGCCTTGTTGATTCATGCAAAATTTACAACATACCTGATTTGTTGATCCTGGTTTAGGAGGCTGTTGTCGGGTATACTCGGATTATCTACCTGTGCATTGTCTCGGTCTCATCTTGTCGTCTTGGTTTGGAGTTGGATTGATGTGGCCTGAGTTGGCCTGACTCTGCCTTATGACGTCGTCTAAACAGTATGGATGGGTGCCTGAGGAGCCGTGCTACGGTTGCCAGATATCTACCAAATATGAAGCGACTTGATATATCCAACAAACATAGTATATATTAGCCGGACCAATGTTTACTACTCGGCCAGGGAAATCAAAGGAGGAAAAAACCGCATCCCATGTCACCCCAAGGCCCAGACACCGGGACGATTTTCTAGCTGCTGCGAAGCCTGCCAGGTCAAGAAGACGGAGCTGTGTCCTCCGACACTTGGCGGTTCGCTGAACTTTCTCTTTCTTGTTTGATTCACCGTGGATAAAAGGGAGGTAGGTATAGCTGGTTGGTTGGTGAAGGATCTGCGTGGTACTTTCTTACTTCCGTCGTCTGTATGTAGATTGGGTGATTATTGGGCTGATGGGTTGGCGTGGGGAGGGGTACTTGGCTGGACTGATTTCTCTAGATTATCGGAGGGTATTGGGGTATGATTCTGTATATACTGTATAGAGATGTATATATAATCCAAGGAAAGATTTGAATCAATTGATCGGATGAACAGGTAGAGCATATCATCTTGAGTGATACTCTGGTTGTAGAGCCTGAGGCGGCACATCGTCATCCGATCCAATTTCTCTCTTTTCCCCCACTTTCTCCGTAAATAAACAAAACATCAGCAATTGACCATTGAGTATAGGTTGGTTCGAATTCACACAAGTGTAGCACCCAAAGGTAACGAACGGAAGAAGAATTGCCTATTGTTGACATCCCGAAAACAGCCCCACCAACTCATCCTTCTTAGTTTTTCCCCCCCCACTTCTTCCTCTTCTGCTTCCACTGACCATCTGCCCCTCCATTTCTCTGGAGCTCCATACTCCGATTTCTTATTCTTCTTGATTATTTCTTCTTCCTCCCCCTCTTCTTCTTCCTCTCTTCCCTTCTCCTTCCTCATCCCTCCCCTTCATCCTTCCATTGTAGTTGTTGATCTCAGGTATGTCTACCCCTCATCTCATCATCAACATCATCATCATCATCATCATCATCATCACCCCACCATCACTCCAACTAACCAACTTCTTCAGACTCAGCAATCATGGGCTACTCCGATCTTGATCAGTTGGCTATCAACACGATCCGCCTTCTCGCGGTATGTCATTCTTCTCTCTTTCTTTCTTTCTCTCGCTCTGTCTCTCTCTGTATCCATCTCAAGAGATTCACTGCAATCCCTCGGTGTCATACCGGAGCTCCCTCCTATATCGGCCTCTTCCTCTTCTTCCTCCTTGCCGATGACGCATCAAATCGTCTAATCTCCATATCCTCTCCGGCTTCGGAAATGCCTCCTTCACCACTACAATCTCTCCCTCTCAATTAAAGAAATGGATACTTATAAACAGCTCTAGGTCGATGCCACCTTCAAGGCCAACTCCGGCCACCCCGGTGCCCCCATGGGCATGGCCCCCGTCGCTCACGTTCTTTTCAACAAGTTCATGAACTTCAACCCCCAGAACCCCGACTGGGCCAACCGTGATCGTTTCGTCCTCTCGTACGTGCTTCTCTTCTCGCTCCTCATCACCGACTCGATAACACAACTGACCAACGTGGTATAGGAACGGCCATGGCTGCATGCTGCAGTATGCTCTCCTGCACCTCTTCGGCTACAAGGTCACCATGGACGACCTCAAGAACTTCCGTGTATGTCCCTGTAAATTCCTTTTCTCTTGACTCAACACCTCTGATGGTTATCCAGCAAGTCGACAGCATCACCCCCGGCCACCCCGAGGCCCACGATACCCCCGGCATTGAGGTCACCACCGGCCCTCTGGGTCAGGGCTTCGCCAACGCCGTCGGTCTCGCCATGGCTCAGGCTCACAACGCCGGCGTCTTCAACAAGCCCGGTTATAGCCTCTTCGACAACTACACCTACATGTTCTTCGGTGATGGCTGCGCCATGGAGGGTATCGCCTCCGAGGCCGCCTCCATGGCCGGTCACCTGCAGCTCGGCAACCTGATTGCCATCTACGATGACAACCACATCTCCATCGGTATGATCCATCTGAAGGTGCCTCTCGTTTGGTGCACGCGCTAACTAGTCTTCCCAGACGGCGACACCAAGTGCGCCTTCACCGAGGACGTCACCAAGCGCTTCGAGGCCTACGGCTGGCACACCGTCTGGGTCAAGGACGGTGACAACGATCTCGAGGCCATCGAGGCCGCCATCAAGGAGGCCCGCGCGGTCACCGACAAGCCCTCCATGATCCGCCTGACCACCACCATCGGTTTCGGTTCCAAGCTCCAGGGCACCGGTGGTGTCCACGGCAACCCCCTCAAGGCTGACGACAGCGAGGGTGTCAAGGCCCGCTTCGGCTTCGACCCCAAGCAGTCCTTCGTCGTCCCCCAGCAGGTCTACGACCTCTACCACAAGCACGCCGCCGAGGGTGCTGCCAAGGAGCAGGAGTGGAACCAGCTCCTCCAGAAGTTCGGCGCCGAGCACGCCGCCGAGCACGCCGACCTCACCCGCCGTCTCTCCGGCAAGCTCCCCGAGGGCTGGGAGAAGAGCCTGCCCGTCTACAAGTCCACCGACGCCGCCGTCGCTTCCCGCAAGCTGTCCGAGACCGTCCTCGAGAAGATCCACGACGTCATCCCCGAGCTGCTCTCCGGCTCGGCTGATCTGACGGGCTCCAACAACACCCGCTGGAAGGACGCCGTCGACTTCCAGCCCCCCGTTCTGGGCATCGGCAACTGGGCCGGCCGCTACATCCGCTACGGTGTCCGCGAGCACGCCATGGCCGCCGTCATGAACGGTCTCACGGCCTACGGCGTCAACATCATCCCCGCCGGCGGTACCTTCCTCAACTTCGTCTCCTACGCCGCCGGTGCCGTCCGTCTGTCCGCCCTCTCCCGCGTCCGCGCCATCCACGTCGCCACCCACGACTCCATCGGTCTGGGTGAGGACGGCCCGACGCACCAGCCCATCGAGACCCTGGCCCACTTCCGTGCCCTCCCCAACTGCATGGTCTGGCGCCCGGCCGACGGCAACGAGACCAGCGCCGCCTACTACTCCGCCCTCACCGCCAAGCACACCCCCAGCATCCTGGCCCTCACCCGCCAGAACCTGCCCCAGCTGGAGAACAGCAGCATCGAGGCCGCCATCAAGGGTGCCTACGTCGCCGTCGAGGACCCCAGCGCCACCGTCACCCTCATCTCCACCGGCTCCGAGGTCAGCATCTGCATTGACGCCGCCAAGAACCTCAAGGAGAAGCACGGCGTCGCCGCCCGCGTCGTCTCCGTGCCCTGCTTCGAGGTCTTTGACGCCCAGGACAAGGCCTACAAGCTCCAGGTCCTCCCCGACAACATCCCCATCCTGTCCGTCGAGGCTCTCTCCACCATGGGCTGGGAGCGCTACTCGCACGAGCAGTTCGGTCTCAACCGCTTCGGTGTGTCGGGTCCTTACAAGCAGGTTTACGAGGTATGCCCTCTTTTTCTCCCTTTTCTTCCCTCGATGACTATATACTAATCTCTGGCAGAAATTCGAGTTCACTCCCGAAGGCATCAGCAAGCGTGCCCTGGCCACCATCGACTTCTACAAGGGCCAGCCCGTGCGGTCTCCCGTCAACCGTGCTTTCCAGCAGATCTTGTAAAGGGGTGATGGTTCACTGAATGAATTTTCTTATCTGTTTTATTTTCCTTTTATTTAAATTTTAAATTGTTGCACATTTGATGTCTGATTTCGAGTGACTGTGAAAAGTCCCTGGGAAAGTAAGTCCCCAAGGACCCGGGAAGAGTGGACGAGAGGACCATCTAGATGAATCTTTTTTAGAGGCAACAAAAGAATACCATGGGTTAATCTGTGTTCAAATGTGTTCATTGCGTGATTGATGACGTCTTGAGCGTAGAGATAAGTATGTAGATGGATAGGTATTAAAATACTCGATGTGGAAGATCAGAAAATACACACTCAGCAGCTGGACAGATTCGGAGTAGATTCGTATCTAGAGATCTCGAGATATCTGAGGGATGGGTTGTAGGCATAGACATATACTATAAGCCCAGTCAAACATGACGACGGTAGTCAATACAATTATACAGAGAAAAGAATTATAGATGAATGTATGTATGAAACATGAATCGAATAATCTCATCATCGTCAGATCGTCAGGAATAACGCGTCCCACGGGCGGATGCTTCTAGACTTGCCTTGCCTCCCACTTGAAAGATATGTAGAAAGGAAGAAAAAAGATATTAAATCAACACTGCTAGACATACTGTCGGAGAGACGATACCCATTCGTTCGAGGTAATGATATAAAAACATGATCTAATGGGCATTTATTGTTCAAACTTTTGTTTTTTTGGTTCGTTGGGTTCGTTATTTTTCATTGGTTTAAAAGATTCTCTAGTTCAGGAGCTTGCGGGCAAAGTTGGGCAGGATGAAGCTGGCACGGTGAACATCCGAGTTGTAGTAGCGGCAGAGACGCTCCTCCTCCTCGCGGGACCAGGAGCGGATGGGCTCGCGGACGTTGCGGGAGGCGTCCTTGCAGCAGACCATGAAGCCGATCTGGCCGGAGGGGTAGGTGGGGATGGTGGTGTAGGCGTATTCGGCGACGGGGAAGACCTCCTTGCAGGCCTTGCGGAGGTCGGCGATCAGGGAGAGATGGAGCCATTGGTTTTCGGCTGTGGTAGAAAACACGAAATCCAAACCGTTCCCATGCCGAGAGGCGAGGGGTGGTTTGGGACGCAGATTGGTTAGCTTGTGATTCTTAGGAGACTACGTGGACGAGTTGACAAAGAGGAGAGGCGAGAGAGGAGAGAAGAGAGAAGAGAGAGAGGAGAAGAGAGATACACGAAAGGGGAGGGGAAAGGGCATGTAATATATAGACAGGGCAATAAGAAGGGCAATAAGAAGGACAATAAGAAAGGCGACGAACAACCTTGTGTGGTGATAACACCCCCATCACGGAGCGCACCGTTCAGGAGCTCAAAGTAGGGCTTCTGGAAGAGGCTCTCGGCGGGGCCCTCGGGATCAGAGCTGTCAGTGATGATCACGTCGAACTCGTTCTTGCGAGCCTTGAGGAACTCGAAGCCGTCACCGATGTGGGTCTTGACGTTAGGGTGCTGGAAGCCGATGCTCATGCCGGGCAGGTACTTCTTGGAGACGCGGATGACGGCCTGGGGGGTCCGTTAGACTGGCTAGGGAGTGGGAGGGAGGTAGATGGAGATACCTCGTCAATGTCGCAGAGGATGGCCTCCTCGACGGACTCGTGCTTGACGACCTCACGGAGCACACCACCGTCACCACCACCGATGACAAGGACCTTCTTGGGGTTGGGGTGGGCGTTCATGGCGAGGTGAGTGATCATCTCCTGGTAGCTGTCGCGTGTCAGTGGAGGTTATTCAGGCTGAGAGTCGACGAAAACATACGAGAACTCATCGCGCTCGGTGCACTGGATGACGTTGTCCAGGACCAGGACGGTGCCGTAGTCGCTGCTCTCGAAGACGAGGACATCCTGGTACTTGGACTTCTCGTGGTGCAGGATCTGGTTGACCTTGAGGTTCATGGCCTGACCGGGCCACATGACGGACTGCTCGGAGAACCAGCCATCTGGAGGAGGATAGAGTCAGTGGGAATCCTGATTAGAATCTGGAGGAAACGATCCCGAGTCAATTGACCTCAGAGACCAATTCTGAATGGATGTTGGTGGGGGTTGACTCCGAGGCAACTGGCGAGTGGGATGGAGGGGTAAGAGAGGGGAGACTAACCCTTGATGGTGGGGTGGGTGATGTCGCTCATGGTGATGGAGGAGAACGGGGAATGTAAGGGACGATGAGAGAGAGAGAAAGAAGCGTGAGGAGAGGAAAGAAAAGAAGAGGAGGAGGGGAAGAAGAGAGGAAGAAGAGGAGGATGAAAAGCCGGGCGAAACAAGCGAAGAGAGAATCGGGCCGCCGTGTGGGTGTGGGGGAACATCAGATTTCTTTCCTACTTAATTCATCCCAGATAGCAGTCACTAGTGAGGCGTTTGATTCTTCTAATTGAGTTTAGTTTGGATTTTTTTTTTTTTTTCATGTTCTTCTTCCTTTCTATTACTAGAATCATGTTTTCTTGCATAAATTTCAGACGAGTGGGGGAAATGCAACCATTCAGCGTGGTCCGGATGCGGATGACCAGCCAGCGGTACTTTTACCCAATTCAGCCTAGAGATGTCTATCTCAACAGGATAAATAGAAGAAAAGAATAAAAAAGATGAAGAAGTACAGGAAGACCAATAAGATATAGAACGATCGATTGCTCTAATTAATGTACAGCGCAATCCAAACACGAGATTCCTCCCATTTATTCATCACCACCCTCGAGGAGACGACCGGGCTTGGATTGCAGGTAGTGGTTGCTGAACATCGTTAGTCATTATACCAACTAATTGTACAACACTTGTACAAAGCATATCAAGAAGAGAAGAGGGGGGGAAGAAAGAGCATACCGCTCAGTGGCCCAGTTCATGGCGGCGTAGGCGGCAACGAACGGAGGAACGACATAGAGCACCTGGGCCTTGCAGCGACGGAAGGTGTTAAAGATGGCCGCGTTGAAGGCACCGGCCAGCGGGCGCTGACGGTTGGGCGACAGGGAGTAGGTCGCGATGCGCTGGGGGGTAGGGCAGCCTGGAGTCGATCGTCGATCAGTATGTGTTTCCAATTCCATCTCTACGCCTCAACCCTCGCAATGAGCCTCGCAACGAGCCTCGCAATCGTAGCATAGCGTCGAACCCATTCCTCACAAACCCAGGGTCCAATTGACCAACTGCGGTTGGATGTTCGGGATTGGTGGTTCGGAGCGATACTCGATACTCGCAAGGGTCGTCGGGTCGACGGTCGACGGTCGACATTCGTTCACGGAGTCGTCTTTCGAGGACACTTACCAAAGGCACCCCAGCCACCCATGAACCTGAATCACCCAATGATTAGCCCTTTGTATCACTCTAGCGGATAGATTGAGAGTCGCGAGAAAGGCCAATCCAGTAACCCGACGTCTCCGGTCCAACAGGGAGAGACGCCGACCGGTCGACTGCGGTGGAGAATACTCACACTCCGTTCTTAGGATCAATAGAGCCAGCACCCATGATGAATAGTATTCTTGGGGATTGAAGAGAGAAAAGGAGGGCAAAGTAGTGGACAAGAGGGTAAAGACAGACCAAAAGACCAGAAGGAAAAGGCGAGGTTAACACTGTCGGGCCAAAACGGCAGAGAGAGCGAGGTGAGCCTTTCCGCCTGGAACTAAACCCGATCGGGACCGCAGCAAAACCGCTCGGAACATCATCTTCTCCATCCTCAATTCCACCTTCATCAGATCTCTCTCTCTCTCTCTCCCCTCTCGCCCTTCTCCTCACTACCTCCCCCCCCCACCCTCCCACCTCCACCTCCATCCACCATGTCCTCCCGCCTTTCTACCTATCTCTTCCGGCTCGGTGTCCCCATCTTCCTGGGTACCACCGCCATCCAGTCCTCCATCTACGATGTCCGAGGTGGTACCCGTGCCGTCATCTTCGACCGCATCTCCGGTGTGCAGGAGAAGGTCATGAACGAGGGCACGCATTTCCTGATTCCCTGGCTGCAGAGGGCCATTATCTACGACGTGCGCACCAAGCCGCGTAACATCTCCACCACGACGGGGAGTAAGGATCTGCAGATGGTCAGCTTGACGCTGCGAGTGCTGCACCGTCCGGATGTGCCCAGGCTGCCAGCTATTTACCAGGTACCCCTCTGTCTTTTGGAGTTTGAAGGAGAGGCATAAACAGAGATAGAGGAGCTAACGGAATAGTCCTACGGCACCGACTACGACGAACGAGTCCTCCCCTCCATCGGCAACGAAGTCCTCAAAGCCATCGTCGCCCAATTCGACGCCGCCGAGCTCATCACCCAGCGTGAGGCCGTGTCGAACCGCATCCGCACCGACCTGATGAAGCGCGCATCGCAGTTCAACATCTCCCTGGAGGACGTCTCCATCACGCACATGACCTTCGGCAAGGAGTTCACGCGCGCCGTCGAGCAGAAGCAGATCGCGCAGCAGGACGCCGAGCGCGCCCGCTTCATCGTTGAGAAGGCCGAGCAGGAGCGCCAGGCGAACGTCATCCGCGCCGAGGGTGAGGCCGAGAGTGCCGATATCATCAGCAAGGCTGTCAGCAAGGCCGGTAGCGGACTGATTGAGATCCGTCGCATTGACGCCAGCAAGGAGATTGCGCAGACGCTGTCCAAGAACCCCAACGTTACTTATCTGCCGGGGAATGATGGCAAGGATGGGGGTAAAAGCACCAGCTTGCTCTTGGGGTTGAGGAGCTAGTTTTTTTTTTTTTTTTTTTTCTTATTTCTTTCTTTCTTCTTTTATTTCTTTCTGTTCACGATTCTGCAAAGTAATTGATTGACTGGATGGGTTGGGCGTCGCATCGATTTCACTTTATGTTCAAACACCTGTAGCAATATCACTCCTCGCTCGACAAGCCTGATTACCACTTCGATTTGCGTATGCTCTATATATAATCATATCGACATGAAATAAAATAAAATACCCACAACCAAACAACAAAATAGTTTTAAACCCTCCGATAAAGATGCACCTGAAACCTCATATCCTCCAACCCGGCCCCCTCCCCAACCACGTAGCTCAACCGACTCGCCTCCCGCCTCCACCACCTCGAATCCCTCGAATACACCCTCTCCCACTTGCCCCCCGCAACAGACAGCAGCGCATGATCCAGCAGGAACTTCATCGGGTAGCGCCGCTCGGGTGCGCCCTCCTGATCACCGCTGCCATCACCGGATGACTGACGCGCCAGCCGCAGCGTGGAGTAACTGCCGGGGCTGTCGACGACGAGGAGGAGAGAGCCGGGGTGGACGAGGTCCGTGATGCGCAGGAGGAGGGACGTGGCTTTTGCCATTGAGGTGGAGAAGAGTTCGTTGAGGGTGAACATTAGGGTTATTATTGTTGGGGTTTCCTTTTTGGTTGTAGGGGTGGTGGTGGTGGTAGAATCGAGAGAGAGAGAATCAAGTGAGAGGGTGTTGTCGTCGTTAAAGCAGAGAAGACTTTTGAGTTCCTCGTCGGGTATAGAGAGTATGTCTGCGCGACGGAAGCGGACTTGAAAGTCATTGCCCTTCTCTTCGGCCTTCTCCTCATTCTCCTGCTGCTGCTCCTGCGGACCAGAGGCACCAGTAAACCTCGCCAAAGGCGCAGGATGCGACCTCCCACTAGGAACAGCATCAGAGCGCACAGCGGAATCCAACCTGCGCACAACACCAGACCAGTCGGCAATATCGACAGCCGTGACAGCCAGACTTGGCCTTCCACCACCACTCTCAAACTCCCCTCCAGAAGAAGCCCCATTCACCAAATCCCTCATCGCAGCAGCAAGCGCAACAATCTCTGCTCCAGCGCCGCCGCCTAGACACACTACATGCGTTGTCGTCGTATTCACCCCAGCAGTACCACCACCACCATTAGCAGTAGCCTCAGCAGAAGTAGCAGCACCAGAACCAACAGCACGACCAGCAGAATCCAAAACCCCCCAAAACAAGCCCAACAGCCCCCTAAACAAGCCCGCATACCCCAACGCCCTCGTCGCGCTCCAGCGCAGGGCATAAGCGCGCAGCAGGTCATCGTCTGCGTCTGTGAAGGCGGAGTCGAAATCCCTGTTGTAGAGGTGGGATTTGATGGTTTGGATGAGAGATTTTGTGTTGAGTGTTCCATCTGCTGGTTCTGCTTCTGCTGTTGCAGGACTCTCTGATTCTGTTGTTGCTGTCGCTGTAGACTCTGCGCCTGCTTCTGCCGTGCCCGCATTCTCCAGGGAAGAAGCAGTCACATCACGACTACCTGTCGTACCGGTTCCACCGGCCCCATCCGAATAAAGCAACGCAGATTTGAAGACATTAAGCAAGAGCTGCTGCAGGGTAATCGGGACAGTCTCGGCGAAAAGATCATCATCATCTTTGGTGTCTGCTTGTGGCTCCGCAGGGCTCGTCGCCTTCTTGTCTTTCTTGAGATGATCGCGGGGTTGCTGAGGTAGGTGTTTGGGGGGTTTGGCGGGGGCGCCGCCTTTGTGTTTTCTTTTTGGGGGGCGCATTGCCTCTTTTTCTTTTTCTTTATATATATATATAGTTTTAATATATGATTTATATATGTTTGAGGATATATATGTTGGATGTATTTGATGGACTGGTATGGTAATTATGTTTCGGAAGAGATTTTTCAAGGTGGATGATGATGGCTCGGCCCGTGAACGTATCCGTCATTCTTTACTACATTCGCTACTACGGAGTACTATGCATTCTTTTGATTACAGCTGTACAAGTAGGTATATGTAGTCATACTGGTGAATTGTAGTCAGACTGATAAATTGTTTGTAGTCAGACTGTATTGTATTCAGACTAATGTAGTTGTCACTACCACCATCTGATCTCCACGCCGATCCCCGTACTCTCAACAATCAAGGAAAGAATGATCCCACCAGGATACATCTGACAAGGCCAAGTTAAATCCATGCCATGGCGGTCCATAATGTAGGTAAGTGGACAAGTGATCCATAACAAAAGATATGGGAAAAGATAAAGATATCAAGGAAGGGCTCAGAACGAATGCAGAGAACGAAATGCTTGTCCATCAAGTGTAATCGGACATTAACGAGAGTCGAGAATAATAGAAGAAAAACACAGAGCATCATACATACTCTTACGCTTGAAACGACATACCGAGAAAAAACGAAGAAGTGAAGAAAAAGAGATTCGTCAGACCCAAACGAGAAAAGAAGAAAGGCTGGACTGAACAGGAAGATAGAAGGGTCTCGGAAATAAAAAGTGAAGTGAAACGAAATTAAAATGAACAATCCGCCAAAATACCATATCGAAGAAATCGTAATCCAGATGGCTATTTACACGCACGAAAAACGTCCCAGAATCTGGAGAGCGCTCAAGAAGGCCGATCTTCGTGGACCGTCCGCTGGGACGACGGCCGATCCTTGTCTTTCGTCCGCCAGAAGTGCATCAGACGGCTGATCCGGCGACTCTTCCGTTTGGCCTTGTCAGGCTCGTCCCCCGGCGGCTTCTCCTCATGACGCAATTTGCTCCGTTCTGCGTTCGGGCCCACCACCAGCTTAGATAGGCTGGCAAAGCTCGATCGCTTCGAGGAGTTGGCCTGGCTCGTGCGACGGGGCACCGTGGCGGAAAACGACGCCGAGCGATCCGTCGACAGCCGCCGTCGGGGGAAGAAGCTGGCAGAGAACCGGTTCAACGTGTTCGTCATGGTGGATGCGCTGCTGGTGAGCGACGGGACGTCGTCCGACGACGCGTGCGGGAAATCCATGTAGGGATTATGCGACGGGTTGGAGAACTTCCGGTCGGTGGATGACGTCGCGATCGATCGAGGGACGTCGGAGGAGGAGCCGGTGAGGATCGGCGACGGGAACGAGGAGTTGGAAAGGGAGGCGCCCTGGAGGGAGAAGTGCGGGATATTCGGCGGCAACTCGAGCGGAGAGGTGATCGGTCGACGGTCCGCCGGTGCAAATCGCGGGGAGACATCCGGACTGTGTGGGATCGGCATCCGCCGGAAATGGTCCAACGGGGCGTCAGTCGGAGCCCGCGGGTGGCCAACAAACGGATCCTTCACTTCCGGGGCGGGATCCGGAGCCCTCGAGCTGGCTGGTCGCATGGACATCTGGGCGTTCCGATCGGGTCGGACACTGGGCTCAAGAACCTCCGCCGCCGCCGCCGTCTCCCGCGTCGGGGTGCCTCGACCAGCGTCCGGGTCCACTGGCTCGGTGGTGGGCCGATGAGCCAGCGTATCGGAGCTGTCCCCGCTGTCCTGGGAATGTCGATCGCTCTCATCGGTGGAGGAGAAGACGGGGTACGATTGGGCGCGCCCCCGGTCTTCACTCTTCTTGGGAGATGCACTCGTGGCCGCCAAAAAGGCATCCTCCTCTTCTTCGTAGAACACGTCCGGATTGTCCAACGAGGGGTTGTTGGCGAGCCGGCCGCTCCCCAGGAAACTACGGTCGAAGGGGGGCATTTCCGGAGCACTCTCGGCGCGCCGATGATAACGCATCTCCGGGCCAATGAACTCTCCGCGACGCCCTCCACTGTACATCCGCTTCGTCGCGGCGGAGAATCCACTTTCCGCTCGGTCCTTGCGCATGTCGGGCGTGTTGAAGGGGCCGAGCGCCGCGTCCAAGTCGATGATCGGGCTTAACACATCACGCTGGGGCTCGCTGTTCTGCTCGTAGAAACTCCGGGGCTTCCACGCGGTTTCCAACGAGGGCGTGGGTTCGACGACGTCCTCGGTGGACGAGGAGAGGGACCCGGGCCCGTCGGGACGGGTGGGTGTCCGCAAGACGACGGTGTTGTCGTCGTCAAAATCCACATCCAGTCCCGAGCCGACATCCGAGTTGGTCCTGGTGAGCACCGGGGGCGGAACCGGTTTCGACCCCAGATTCGTTTTCGGCTGCTGTTTCTTGCCTTTGCTCTTGCTCCTCGTCAGGATGGCTTCCGCCCACGAGCGCACCTTCTTCTGTCGCCGCTTCGCTTTGGAACGCTTCTTGGCCGTGCCGGCATCCAGATCGTGCTCATCCTCGGATGCATCGGAGTGGCCGTCGTCGGACGAGGAATGCCTTGACGAGTCCGTCCAATGGTGATCATCCTCCGTCATGGCGTAATTCTTCCGCAAGGCGGCCTCGAGAACCCCCGAGGACATGCTCTTCCGGAACCGAGAGTGTCCCGCACCGGACAGTGGCCGTTTGGCGCGCGACTCGTTGCTCCCGGGTTCATTCGGACCGAACCAAAAGGATGCATCTGCCGTCCGGGGCCGGGGTCTCGCCTTATCCGCCCGCGATGGTGTCTTGTCGCGAGCGGGCAAGGAATCTAAACTTCTCGTCGGCAATTCAGGACGGACAGTATCAGAACTCCTGGATTCCTTGGCCGACACGCCCTCATCAGCCTCGATGGGCGGGCTGTCCCCAGGGGACTCGGGCGGATCATCCGGCGGGTACGGGGGCAACCTCCCGTCGACCAGGATCTGTGGCGAGGTGGGCGGCGTCACCCGTTGATGGAGGCTGGGACCCGCGTAGGAGACGGGTCGGGTGTTCTCGCCGCCCGTCGTCTGTGATTGGACCGGGTCCGCCGGGGTCGATGGTGCGCTCCCGGCGGACGGTTGGATGTTGAGCGCATTCTGAATCGCCGTCAAATCGACACTGGAGACGGCGGCGGAACGGCGGTGGTCATGTCGACGGCGGCCCGCGCCACCGGCACTGAATCCAGGTCCGGGGGGAGGGAAAGTGGGCGGTGGTTGGGGAGGTCGTTCGTCCTTGGGCGGACTCCCTTCCCTCTGCCCCCGACTCACCAGGTGTTCCCCGCCGACGAATTCGCTGCATCGGCGGCGATGACCGGCGCCACGATTCGGAGCAGGCGCGGACAGGGATGGTTGGCTGGTATGCGCGGATCCGGGGTTGAAGGAAAAGGCCGGAAGGGCGGGACGACTCGTAAGCTGGGGATTCGGCTGCGGAGGGTCGTCCGGTGCGCGGGCGGGAAAGACGAACGGCGGGTTGGGCAACGGGGCAGACATGGTGAGGTTGCGGGAGTGTCTGCCAGGGGAATGTGCAGGAGGGCCCATATACTGGGCGAAAGCGGAAGCAGAGTGCGGCTGCGGAGGGAGGGAAATCGAGGTCATAATTATCGTTTGTCGGGTCAGATCAATCCTGGAAGTGAACAATCCCACCAGACCAGACACAGGGACCCCCAGACCACAAAGGCTTCCCGAGAGAGGGAGGGAAGTGGATGGAAAGCCGGAGATCGCCTGGCGGTCGTCAAAGCCGCAAGATTCCCATTGATTAAGCGGACGTCAAGCTACACAGCCCAATCACCGAGTGTCAAACTCCGGAGGTGTACAGAGATGCGATTTTAACGGGAGAGGAACGAAGTGTCCACGATAATGGTGATAATTAAATTGAATCAAAAAAGGCCTCCTCGACTGTACAGGGGATCAACTGTCGACTGGATTCCAAGGGGGACGGGCAGGCGACACGGGGAGAACCGGTTGGGTTGACGGGGGTTTCTTCTTTTTTTTTTTGGTTTCTTTCGTTCTTTTTTTGTTCTTTTTTTCTGATTTAATTCTTCGATAGTCGAACCGGACAACGCGAAAGTGAAATTCAAAGTTGGAAAGGAGCGGACGGCCACGGACGGGCCAAGGCAAAAGGATACTGGAGCGGGATGCGGAAGTCGAGAGGGGGTCGATAACGGGAGTAATGAACGAGAGGGAAAGCGGATGAAACCACTTAAACAATAGGAATGATAAAAAAGGGTTTGGAGAAAAGAAGGGGGAAAAAAGAGAGACGAGAGGAAAATACGGAGGGAGAGGGAGGATCAACCTGGAGGGGAAGAGAGAGAGAGAGGGAGGGAGGAAGAAGAGAGAGAAAGAGAGAGAGAGGGAGAGAGAGAGGAGAAGAGGAGAGGAAGATGAAGTGAGGTCGTAGGAGGGAAGAAAAAGAGACCTCCAGGCTCAGGAAGTTCAGGAGGAGCAGAAGGCGGCAGTGAACCAGAAACCAAACCTTACTCGTGGGGGATGGATGGGATTGGTGGGATGGTCGGGAGGGGGCCATTTCAACGATACCGATACCATCTAGGACGGTAACTTACACCACCTTGATCATTACTTTTTCTTCTCCCTCATTAAGGCATCTCATATCATTCAATACAATGGAGTACTACTAGGGACCACATATAAATTAGGTATAGTCCCTTAGATAAATAGGTAAGGTATCTTCCGAACTAATCTATCTCATTACTCAAGATGAGAATCGCTCCATTTTAGTCGTCTCCTCCAATTCCCCTGATGACTCCCGTTTCAATCCCAGATTTCAATATCCTACAGATGGTTCTTCATTATTCACAGATTAAAAAGTATCGACAGGAAGAATGTAAAGCATCGATGGTGTAACCACCTTACCCCATACCATACATATCCCCCTTGATTGCAGGGCATCAAACCAGCAAAGTTTGGGGTATCGAAATCTCGCTTCAAAGGCCCCGGTGGAGCTGGCCGAGCGCCACCGCTAAACCAGACCCAGTAACTTCCCCTGGACGGGCAAGACTGTGATCCCTGCAATGCGACAAGAATAGAACGCTTGATTTCTTCTCATCTGGTGTCCATTCTTTGATTGATGCATGGATGAGAGAACGCATCTGTCAATCATTTTCAGAAAGGTGGTCTCGCAATTCCAACTTAAGTTATTATCTTCTTTATCTGGCACAGTCGATCCCCGGATCGGTCCCTCAGGCCCCTGTTTGGTCGAGTCCCCAAAGGGGCCACCGAACCGGAGATCCTTTCCAGTTCCTGAACGAGGCAGCGCCAAATAGTCTGTTCATAAAGATAGAAACTTATATATGGATCAATGGTATTGTACTATCTATAATTATACTGTTTATCTTCTTTCTCTTTCCATCCATATCTGTATTCATCTGTATTTTCTTCTATTTCTTATTTATTGATTGATGAATGGTATTATTGAATATGGTATTATTGATTATCCACCCTGAACTCCCACCCAATTGGCAGGAGACGAACATGCGAGTCATCGCCCGCTGCAAGTCCAGCCGTGAGAACAGTTGGCCAGTTATATACAATTTTGTAAACCTACATTACAACCACCTTAAGTACACCAATACGAGGACGACAAACTCAAAATCAAAGACCTCCCACGCCTTGGGCCGAAACTTGTCCCCAATATCGGTCGCATCCTTACAGTGCTGGGCACTGGCAGCAACTCTATGATCCAAACCAGTTAGACCCGTCTGATTGTGGAATCAGACAGCCAAGGGACGTCAATAGCCTTGATCCCACGCAAGGGCGTCCTCGATTGTGTCTAAGCCAGTCATCCACAATGCATTGTCTATCTTACTGAGAAGTTTAAGCTATGGGTAGGTATCTACCAGGCTAATATAGATCTCACCTGCCTTGCCAACAATACCGACAAACCATCCCCTACTAAATGACATCCATTGTTGCCACATATCAATCATCACCACGGGGTATTTGATTATATTACTTTATAATAAGCACTAAACAACCCCCCAATACATAGAAGCACGTCACAGAATATGAAAATGATCAAGTCCCCACCAACCGACGAACTAGGGAAATCACCTCCCTTCCCGAACCACGGTTCACCATGGGGAACGGAATTGTTCTGCCTTCCCTCGTCTTTCTTCCCTCCCGATCCATACGATGGGATCCGTCAAGTGGAGGCGGATATCCATTTCTTTCTGTCCCCTCCGTCATAGGCAATATTATATGACGATGTTTTTTGGCATTTTATTAATTCCATGGTGGGGCGGATGGGAGGGTTTTCCGGCGAACTCTGGTTTATTTGATTTCTGTCTCTGTTAATCTATTAGTATTCCAATTTTATGTCATTAGATTTTATTTATCCCCTTTCGCGTTTATCACACCTGTCATGTTCGTCCATGGACTGTCCACTTCCACTCTAAATCTACATTCAAACTGCTATCTATCAACAAGAGTATGAATGTCAAGATAAGACTTCTACATAAATATTCTACACAGTTCTATTAAACAACCACCCTCACCCATAGCCCTACAGTACCATCCTCTAAGGTATCCCATTCTCAAGAAATCCGCGGGAAAGTAGATAGTATACCGGTAGAATCCGGTCCTCACGGACGATCATAACAATGCGCATGTTTCGGATGTCGGCGGCAACATGACAGGATGATGATCTGGCGTGTGATAAGTATAATATACAACAGGTATAGATTATAGTGTAGCCGATGCCGAATGAATGTGAATGTCAGGGGAGGTAGGTATAGATTATATCCTATATACCGGGTCCGGGTCCTGCATGTGATGATCAGTGGACTTGAGGGCATTGTCCAGTATTCTGTGTAGTAGGTAGCCACGCAGGTATCAATGGTATTATATCTGCTGAAATCAACGGAAGTAGACAGTATATCTCAGGCTTATATCATAGGAACCAAGCTGGGCTTCGAGTTTGCAATTCTTCTGCTTTCTCTAAGCAGGTGCAAGATAAGTCATGCCAAGTGGAAGATTAATACAACTCTCTACAAGACAAGACTACGAACAATCGTACAACTAGATTTAGACTCCAATGACACAGAGCACTTGAATAGTAAGTAGGTAATCAATCAATCTAGATAGAAACAAGCATACCAGATGAAAAGGTTAATCCTCTCACTCAGCCACGAAAGTAACATCCAACTCACTCTTGATTGAATTGAACAAGTCTATTAGTCAAATTAAAAGACAACGCATAGACCAGGATGTTAGCCAAATCCAGTCCACATCTCTTATCACCCCATCTAGCAATACCCCAATACCCAGGCTAACCAAATGTCAACCACCTCACTCTGGACTACTACAGTCGTACCTGGCATAGAGATGACTCTCCTAATATAACCACCAATACCAGCCAGCACATAAACTGAACCAATCTAAACTGAGACCCCACTGCAGAATGCAATCTAGACACCGCGACTGATAGGTCAGTCCATCACCCTAACAGGGATTATTCTCTGGTGCCTCCCACCTAAGGTACGTACATACCTAGTAGGAGAGCAGGGGCCGGGGGTATACCACGTCTCCGATTCACCCCCCAGATGAAGGATACTGACTAGTTACCTAGTTACTGTAGTCGACCAGGATCGGAAGCGGGATGCTAGCTTCCGCTCGTGAAGATCGCTTAATGGGTACTAAGCCAGCTTCTATCTCTAAGTGAGATAAGAGTGTGCACTGCAGGCTGCAGGGATGTGGGAAGGCGTGGTGGTTAGTACCTAGGCGGTATCCCCATCCCGCCATGCATAAATGAGTCTACAGGTGAAGGCTGGCTTCATGTAACCGTTGAGGGTGGCTGCATTCAGCGGAATGACTATTCGAGGAATGTGCTGGATAACAGGTGGGTAGATAGTAGATACATATTGGGACTATTTATGTAACAATATGTTGCATTATGTACGACCTGGATGCCGGCATACATAGAGCAAACGGAATCCAAGACAAAGAAACGACGATAAAACAAGACATCTCACTCCATCGCAAGCAGAACGCCATCGCTTGAAATATGAATCAAAGAACAGAGTGATAACCCCCACCAATGCTCTGTATTATTCTGCCGGTCACGTTTCCACAGCGCCAGGGGAGATGGCAAGGATGACGACGAGAGCCGCGATAATCAATGCAGCAGCTATGAACGCAATGAGAGCGACGCTACCGCGACTCGCGGGGAACTTCCCCCGGATGATCCAGTACTGGCTCTCAAAGTAACGATGGAACCCGACCAGGAGAATCACAATGGCCACACCGATGAACGTCGTCCCCAGCGGCTTCCCTATACTCCGCAGTCGCTCGGTTTTCGACGCGACTTGAAACGACGCGGTATCGTACATCTCGGGCGACAGGAGCGGGGAGAGACCGGCGTGGAGCGGAGCACTGGCCTGCGCCGCCGACGTACTTCCATGGGAGGTGTTCAGTCGGAAGAGCTGGGTGATGGCTATCCCTATGGACGCGAAAGCAAGGGAGGTCCGCAGCCACGCGAGAAACGTTCGCTCTAATCGGCTGTCAGCAAGGCGATCTGGCGATCCGGCAAAGCAAGTACGCACCTAACGCAAGGTGGTCTCGAGCGACGCTCCCCTTATTTTCTAGCTCGAGGCTCCCATACCGATCCGCCACGCGATGATACCAGGAGTGACGGGCTTCAGCCGAGTCGGTCGGAGAGTCCGGATGTGCCGAATCTGGCGCCGTGGGCTGTCGCTTCAATTGGCTGTTCCTCGTTTCCGACTCCCGATTTCTCAGCCCTTCGGTCGAATTATAATTTCGCTGCGAGACCCCGTTGCTCACGATCGGGGTCACCTCGTTGACGGACGGGGCGAGCTGGCCAGGCGCCGGTGCGCCGGCATAGTTCTGCGAAGCCAAGGGCGATATGCGCGGTCGGCTGCTGCGAGACGAATGGGAAGACGAAGATCGATGCGAAGGAGGTGCAGTGTTGACCTCTCTAGCGTAAGGCTCGGTCAAATCAGAGGATTGCATGATGGCGTGCTCGCCAGCTCCGCAGGGGGTTGTTCCAGTGTAGGGACAATATCTATCATGGGATCTGAAATAGGATCGTGAGATAGGTCGGGAGGGGGGGTCTATGAATTTACCCCAGCTTTCGGGTGCTGCGGTGGAGATCTTGGGTCTTGGTTTTACAAAAGAGCCAAATTAGCAACCCACGTCAACCGAGAAAAAAGGGAATAGGGGGGAGACAAAGAATTGAGGGGGAACATACATGCAACAAGATATGGGACAGGAAGGATCTATGTGGTCCCCCACTATTTTAATAGAGTATTTGAACCAGCTGAGCCGACTGCACTGTGACGCCAGAAAGGGACCTGTTTTATCCGATCAGTTCGCTCGCAATTTTCGTCCGTCATAATGTCACGCGCTCCCAATTCGGCAGACGGTCTTCTCCCCCGCTAAGCCCGTTTGGGATTACATCACCGTCGATCACATGAGGATCAGTGCGGCAACGCTAAGTCGGATCGAGGAATTGCCGTTGCTGATTGGAGAAGGCGGTCGGAAATCTGCTTCCTCTGAACAAGCACACCGACGGTATGGCAGGCAGATGACTACCCCACACACCAGTGAGATGAACAAGTACTGCGACTCGAGATGATCAAGTGACTAGGTAGGTTTGGATGATTAGGTTGGGTGATATGCAAGATGACTGGATGTTCTGACCCGCAGGACCGTCCGAGCTTCACATAACACTTGGATTTACAGTATCGTTTCTATCGCTTACGAAGGAGATATTGATGTGAAGAGACGTTAGCCTACTCGTGCGCAAGTGATATAACATAGATCTTGAAACCCAATGTTTACGGAAGCGATATCTACCAGGAAAACTCACCTCTCATCCAACAGTACCTCTATACGAGACAGGACAAGACAATGAACCAAACGGCGATTAACCACCTTAAGGGGCCTGAACATCATAGTCAGCATCAAGTGTGGGGATCGCGTTTCCCCCACGGGACAACAACATGGACATAGCCCTCATCGACCGTGTCATCATCTCCCGAATCACTACTGGGCCAGGCGATCTCGTGGAGCCTTTCCTCCGCAGCGAAGACAGCATCGACGTCGTTGCCCGAGGGAGCAACGACCTCTAGCAGAAGACCACCCTTGGGGGCATCTTGGGGGAAGGCATGGACGGTTGCGAGCCTGTCTAGCGTGTCTTGGACCGCGGCGTAGTAGATGGCCTGGTTAGAAGGGGCGTCGGATTTAGCGATAGACACCAGTGGGAAGTGGACATACAGAATGGGCGACATCTTGCTTTTTTCTGTTGCTTGCCTGGTTGTTTGGTATGTTTTGTTGCGGTTGGATAACGATAGGCTGTTCTTTAGATTGGAGGATTGAACTGGCCAGACGGAATGAGAAAGCAGTTGCTGATGATTCTACCAGACAGACGAATATCCATGCGACGACATGGCGTATTTATATCCAGGGCAGGACGTGCCCCAGATAATTGTCTTTATCAAAGGGATTCTTGACCATTCTCGATGGAGCAATTATCATTGTCGAGTCGACGAGGTATCGCTCCAATCATCCCTCTCCATAGTCAAACCAAGACCAAACCAGCAGATAGCTACGATATTTCTTTCAATGGCGTTGTCGACAATAAAGAAAACGAGACAAAGCACTACACAAACTCCCTCTATTTTTTCTACCGTCTTTGTCACGACACAATTGTCCGTTCTTTGTCGCATTACTTTGTAACACGACCTCTAGCATGGAATTCGAACTAGAATACTCGGCCATTAACTTATAGTGTTGACAACTCTTCTGTACCTTAGGACATACACCCACATTCCCCTGGACCGGACTATACTAAACTGCAGACAACTTCATAAAGATAAATACCACTTTGACCGTGGAACCGCATCGTGCTTTGTCTTCGACTAAAAGGTATACACTTCTGTACTGCACACGATAGTTTGCCTCAAATCCAAGGCATAAGTCACATGACCATACCCAAAGTAGCAAGCGATCGCCATCCCGTGCTTAACCAACTCCACCTACATGAACATATCCATAAATCCTAGACCAAGTAGCAACGCCATCCATCATATCCTCACGCAATACAATACCCCACCTCTCCATACCCTCTCACAGCTAGATAGAAGAAGACCCAAGCAAACAAAAGAGAAGAGGGGGAAAGAAAAAAAGAATGGCGGGAGACGAATACTCCACCGGCGGAGGCGGCAAGCTCAAACTCAAGTCGAAAGTGCACGACGGCCGGGTAGACAAGAAGAGCAAGAAGAAGAAGCAGAAGGAGAAGAGCAAGACGGAGAGTGCGTCTGCTACGCCGGAGGGAGTCGCGAGTGACCAGGGGAGGGGGTTGGCAGAAACGACATCGACAACGATAGCCACGACGCCGGGCGGGTCGAAGAGTCCTGCCCACGATGAGGGTGAAAATGACAATGGCAATGCCAACGAGAGCGAGGGCGGTGTGGTTGTTGGGAAGACGGAAACGGAGAGGAAGTATGAGGATGCACGGAGAAAGCGGGTGAGTTTTATCTTTTTACCTCAGATACATACATATTCGTTCGTTCTATTTGGAGCTTTGATGAATTATACTAACTAACTAATTACAGCTCCAAGAACGCCTAAAGCGCGAAGGAGTCAAAACGCACAAGGAGCGAGTGGAGGAGTTGAACAAGTATCTGAGCCGACTGAGCGAACATCACGATATGTATGTCTTCCTCTCCAGTCTTTTCCCAGCCTTGATTGCCTCAAGTACTAGGCATCACTATTTCATCCGGTGCCCCTAGCTAACAGGTAACTAACTACAGGCCGAAAATCGGACCCGGTTGATGGACGGAAGAATCAATCCTCTGGAGGGAAGGGCACTTCAGGTTCATTTCAATCGCTCCTCCTACCTATCTACCTATCTACTTATCTACCTATCTATTTATCTATGTATGTATTTATGTATGTAGTTATGTTAAACAAGCACGCTGGCTCTGGTTCACAACTCAAACCCGATGTGACACTACCTTGCTTCACTTTACTAGTCTGTCCCCCGGTTGGCACAATGTGATACGTTTGGGCTGTCCAGTGGACCCAGCGATGTCGCCAGTTGTCTCGGCTTCTCCCTGCCCAGGTACAATACCTACTGTATTACCTACGAAGCAGTTTTTGGTTATGATGATTAGGCACTCAAACAGGTAGATAGTATGCAGTATATATTGAATGGTTGATAGGTATGGATAATGAGTCTTAGGTTATGTGACAAGCCATTTCATCAACAATTGAATAAAATCCGGGTCTCCAAATCTATCCACATAACTGTTGATTAATGGCTGTATATAATGGACGAATGTAAGAAATGATGATGATGATGATGGTGATGACGACGGATAGTATGATGTAGAATATACCCGTGTGGTCGACCTTGAAGCTCGTTGGAGCTCCCAGTCAAACGACAAACCCAAGCAAGCTGGCTCAATGTCGCTGCCCAAGGTGATTAAAAAGACAAACAAAACTCCTATGTGTGAACGCCTCGCGAATCGCAAATTGATCAAAAAACGCCAACCCTCTCCCTAGCTTGTGACCAGTGGATGAAAATAAAGGGGAGGCATGTTATGTGAAACGGTGAAAGGCGACTCCCATGCCAGCGATCAAATCCAACACCACGCTAATTCCAAACGGCATGAACCGATCGCGACGGGAAGCCGGAATGCAAGACGAAAACGATCGACCTCGCGACGGCGGAGAGAAGCAAGTGCGACAACTCATACGCCCTTGATGACCTGGGTGCGTTCGTTGTTGAGCTTATCGGCGTTGCGGGCGTGGGACTCCTTCTTGCAGTCCTCCAGGCCGGTACACGAGTGGGCTTCGAGCATGCGGTGTTTCGAGCAGAAATGTCCGCTGCAGAAGCTGCAGTCGCCGACGATGCGTTGGGCGGCTTCCTTGCACTCCTTGAAATTGCAGCGAGGCTTGCGGATGGCCATTGTGAGGTGGCGAGGAGAGAAGGCGGGAAGGTTGCGGGTAGTGAAGGTAGGTGGGTGAGGAGGTAGGTACCCAAGGTAGGAGATGGGAGGTAGGAGGTAGGGTAGATGTTCCCGTCGAAAGGAGATCGGATGCGAAAGGCTTGGGAGGGTGGTTGTTTGCGGGGTATGAACAAAGTGGTAGGAGGAAGAGAACAAAGATGTCGACGGGAGGATGAGGGGGACTAAGAGCCTTAAAAGGTGTGGGAAGTAGCGGACGGTAGATACTAGAGGAGATGGGGTGAAGGTGGAGGGAGGGTGACGTGGAGGGAGGCGACTAATTAAAGGAGAGTAGAGGAGGCGGACCAAGGTTGGAGAAACCCTTTTAGAGTAAGTAGGGTAGTAGGGTAGTAAGGGTAAGGTTGATTAGGTTAAGTTAGGTAGATAAAGTGGTAGTTATAGGGAGGAGTAGATAAGCAGGCGGTCTGGTCACTGTAAATATAGGATACTATATTGGGAGGAAGTCGGGGGGCCCGGGATAGGAAACAATCCGGGAAGGACGGGATGGGAAGTGGAAAAAGAGAGAAAAGAAAAGAATGGTCCGAAAAGTGAACAGAAAACTAAAAAAATTTAAGAAGTAAAATATTATGAGAATGAAGGGAAAAAAAAAAAAAAAGAAAAGCAAAAAAAGAAAAGAAAAAAGAAAAGAGGGTTAAAGATGAATAGGATGGTGGCACCTGATGGAGACAAAGAAATCAGAGAGGATGGACTTAATTCGGAGTTGGACTCAAGTCGAGAGTGGCAGAGGCAAAAGGCCAGCTAAAAAAAAATTCAAAAGCCAAATTGGAGGAGGGAGCCGTGACGAGACCAGCATCCAAGAAGGAAGGAGAATGGAATGGGGATGAATTCCAATGAATTGCATGAATGAATCCCAGCTGAGTCACATTAATAATATTGAACTAGTTGGGGTCTAGTCACTACATTGAACGACCCGGATCAAACGGGACAACTATTGTATAGACACGATAGAATATAGATTCTGACCGTAATCCTACCTATCTCACCAAGATCATGAACATCCCTACAAATCATTGTATGCCATCATCCGACCCAGGAGGTCACTATCAATCTCCCAACGTCCTACAGGCCCTGGATAGAGAGAGGTTGGAGTCAATCTAACCCGATAAAGAGGCAAATTACCCGGGGAGTAATAGGGAGTCAGGTGGAGCCAGAAACTTCCATCATCGTCAAAGGTCTCCAATATCTGGCTGGGTTCTGGATTCTGGATCCTGTCCGGATGCGCACGCGGGTCGGTACCAGACAATGGGTGATGGATGATGAATAAGGAGGAGAATGATGAATCCAGAAGGAAGGAAAGTGGCGGTAATAAACCAGTTTGAACAGATGATAGATGGGTTCTTCAGACCGGATCATGATGGATCATGGATGCTGTTATCTCCCCTTTTCGGACGACATCCCTTGCCCCCATGTCGTGCTTGGGATGATCTGAGCATTCTTTACTTTTAATTTTTTTTGCTCTTTCCTCCCTCCTGGCTTCATTCCCTATCTATCCGTAATATCAATGTGATTATTGTCCACCATGTTTCTATAATTATAGTCTGGCCGAGTATATCCAAATCAGTGATGCATGTGTTCTCAGCATCCTAAACAGATCCTAAACTAGACGGATCTTATAGTAGTAATTGGGGTCATGACCCCTATCTGTCTCCGGAGTACACTATGAGAACTCGTCATGTGGAATCGCCCAGCACACCACGCCACCTCACCTTCTACCTATACAAGGGGAACATGTGTTGTTAACTTTCTACTTATTTTATAGACTCTATTTATTAGTTTTTCCTCTTTATTTTTGGTATAACTTTCCCTCTGGAGAGGAAAGAATCAAGACTGAAAAAATCATAAATAAACCAATCTCAACAAGAGGTTAAAAAAACAAAAGAAGAAAAGAAGAGAGATCCATCTGTGTACCTTGACGATGCATTCATCGCCAATTAATGATCTGGCCTGCACTGGATGGCGCCCCTCGAATGTGACCAACGCCCGCCACGTGACAGCCATCTCCCATGCGCCCTGCATCAGTTACCTCTATCCTGGATCCTTTCCTCCTGGCTTCCAATTTTCACCTATCTCTGTTCTTTTCTTTTCTTTTCTTTTCTTTGTTCTGTTTTCTTTTCGACAATGCGGTCAGGACGCTGATCCTGAGACATGCAATGTGTGGATCAGAGTGACTATATCATCTCGTGTAGAGGACACAACAAGGTGGTCAGACCCAGTCATGTATCCAAACTCTAACGCGTGCTCCCATGTCCGTACGACTACTCCTCAGAAAATGTTAAACTACGGGGAAGGCAACGAAATTGGCCCTCGTTGGTTGAAAATCGGTCGACAACTCCAACTCCAGTATCCCCGCACCCATCAAAATGACCCCAAATCACAACTAAGTATGTAGGTTAGTTAGAGTCGTTCAATGCCCAAAATGATTCCCCGAAAATGAGGCTGTCGGGACAGTCAGACCAAGCACCACCCACTCATTCATAGTTCATGCGAAGCGAAGAAAAAAATCTCTTTGGTGAGGAGGATGCAGCGGTCTTTTGAGAGAAGATCATTTTTGTCCATCACTTTAGCGTTGATACCACATCGTCCAAGTGGGTCAGGTAGACAGCCAGACGGGGACCCGGAGTGATTCCTGAAGGAGTGGGTTGGGGATGCATGCCTGGATGCCTGATCTTCACCTCCACTCTGTTGCACTGGGTAGATCGTTGGTTAGGTGCGTGACACGGTGTCTTATGTCCTACACGATGGAAGATAGGTGTGCTGAGGATTTGTTTCGTTTGTTAGGTGGTTTGGTCGCTTGCCATGCACGCAAACCAGGAACTATCTTCCTGCACGATGTTGAAACGAATACGTCGACTGGAAGTCTGCGCCGGCGCTTCACTCCGGTCTCCACTTTCCGTCCTATATAAAAGTCTAGGTAGTGCTATGGGTCCCGCGGCCTACAAAGGCAATTATGACGAGGGGGTCACGTTGGCCTTCGCACTGACGCTGCAGGATGGAACCCGGCAGGCTCACCTATGTATCCCAATGCATCCGAGCCGGGCGGATCACTTGTGAGAAATTTCGGTCCGACAAGGTGATCCTCGGGGAGGATGTAGGGTACAGCAATTGAACTATGATGTGATCAATGGACTTCTATTCTAGAGGGGAATTTAGCTATCGACTAGATACACCATTCACCTACCATATGATAGAGCTAACGGGATTTATACTGACGTACTATGTAACCAACCATGGAGTCTGGAACCAGTTGCAATGTACGCCCAGGCCGGGCGTAGTTATCACTTCTAGCTAACGGAGTATTCGACGGGCACGAGATAGGGATATAATGCACATCGTCAACTCAAGATAGTAGAAACGAAAATCCACCAGGCGGCATGGACTTAGGCAGCCTCAGGCACATACAATATAGAGTACCCACTACAAGCTCTGAAACCTCTTGTGTCGTCTTAGTTCTCCATTTTGCCAATGCTTGTGAAATTCTAAGAAAGTTATGTACGTTAGCTCGCCTATATTAGCAGAGAAAACAAGTACTCCAATGAGTTTGAGCTTTCATAGCAGGTTACCATGCTGCGGCAGGTTCCAGATGCGACAAGAGTATCTGGATAGACCACAACAGAGCTTAAATAAAAACTTGTTCTTATATCCTCTTGATTGTTATTCAGAAACCCCGGTAATAGGATGTAAGCATGATAAAATGACAATGATTGTTCTCGGTCGCCGGATTCCACCGCCGGATCCAGCAAGCTGTAAACACAAACGTCATACTGACACAACGATGTCCAACCGCCACAACCAAGGTATATCACAGCTGAGCTACCTTCAATCAACTTTTCTCCTTTCCCATCATCAAGACTTGTAATAATACAAATCACATCAATTGACCAGCACCATGGAGCAACACGTTGAACAGCCGTCCAAGGGACCACAGTCCCAATTCGAGACCGGTAACTAGATACACACACCTTCTCAAGCCATACTAACATGAAAAAGGCCACAACCCCCCAGTCCAACACATGAAACAACCCGGCCTCCAATCCCAAATGGGCGACCCAAAACCCACATCCACCCAGGTCCCCACCGAAGACAGCGGCTACCAGACCTACAAAGCAGCCGGCAAGCTCACGGGCAAGAGAGCCGTCATCACAGGCGGCGACTCCGGCATTGGCCGCGCGATCGCCATCCTCTTCGCCATGGAGGGCGCCTCGTCTCTCCTCGTCCATCTCCCAGAGGAGGAGTCCGACGCTGTCGAGACTAAAAAGCGCGTCCAGAACGCCGGCCAGAACTGCTACTCGATGGCTGCGGACCTGCGCAGCAAGGCGAACTGCCAGAAGGTCGTCGATACCGCGATGCAGTGTCTCGGTGGGATTGACATCTTGATTAATAACGCTGCTTATCAGAATATGGTTGATGATATTCGTGATCTTGATGAGTGTGTACACCCCTATACATCTCTCCTTCCTCCTTTTTTGAGACACCCAGATGCTAATGAAAAAAGCGACCAATGGATCAAAACCTTCGACACAAACATCCACCCCTACTTCTACCTCTCCAAATACGCCCTGCCACACATGAAACGCGGCTCAACAATCATCAACTGCGCCTCTATCAACGCCTACATCGGCCGCCCGGATCTCCTCGACTACACCTCCACCAAGGGCGCCATCGTCTCTTTCACCCGCGGCCTGTCTAACCAGCAGATTGGAAACGGGATCCGCGTGAACTGCATTTGTCCCGGCCCTGGTATGTCCCCTCTCCCAGCATTTTTTTTATTGTTTAGACTGTTTGTAAACAAGGTGCTAATGGAATATTAGTCTGGACGCCGCTCATCCCGTCGACGATGACTAGCTCGGCGATGGAGCAGCTGCATGCGGTGCCGATGGGTCGTCCGGGCCAGCCGAGTGAGATCGCTACTTGTTTTGTTTTTTTGGCGAGTACGGATAGTAGCTATATCTCTGGGCAGTCGCTGCATCCAAATGGGGGTGTTGTGGTGAATGGGTGAGGGAGGCCATATGGTTGGTTGTTGACGTCATTGGTTTTTGGAGGTGTATGTGGTGATTGAAAGTATATGTACTCGAGAAACAAGATTATAAGAAAACAAACGTGTATAGTATAGTAATTCAGTCATATCTTCATTTCATTTTACCTAATCAATTCTGCGCCGTACATACTGTGATAAAGAGATAAATGATGTTAACAGGTGGAAAACGCCTGTGCCAGTCGAAATAGAACACTCCTGTTTGGCTTCGACAACCGAATCACTGACCAGCGGTAGCAAAGAAAGAAAAACTTCAGGAAATCATCATAGAACAAGGGAAAAGAGAAAAGGGGAATCTATATGGCCATCTCTTCTTTGCCAGCATCCGGATCCAGATACGTTTCCTTCTCGGCCGCTTCGTACTCCCCGATTAGATCCATTACTACTGCTCGCGCTTCGTCGAACTCGCCGAGACCGTCGGTGAAGGGGCTTTCCTTCTTGTACTGTTCTAGGAAGGCGTTGCGCTTCCGCAGCCGGTCGTACTGCTGCACGATCCGCTTGAACAGCGTCGCGACGGATGTGTGGTTCGCCAGCATCAGGCCACTCACTCGGTTCGTGTTCTGGATGTAGGGCGACTTCCGCGTCAGGGCAACTTGGATACTGGCCGGGCCCCATGGGATGAACGATGCGAGGCGTCGCTCGCGGATACGGAGCAGGGACTTGTGCACGTCTGTCGGGTCGGCTTCACCTTGGATGATGTTGAGGATGCTGATGTAGCAGCTGGATTTGCTGGGGTTGATCGAGACCATGCGGTTCTTGGGCTGCAACAGTCGACGCATCACGTCTAGGACGGTCGTCTTGCGCACTGTCTTGGCCTGTTCGATGTTGTCGCCTGTAAAGGGTGTGTACGATGTGAGGAGGAAGTGGCTGCGTGGCGTAGGGATCAGGGAGGCGATGATCCCGACGAGGTCGTTGTGCATGTACCCGGGGTAGCGGAGGGTGGTGGTCGAAGCGGACATGACGGTAGAGACCTGCTTCTGTTAGCTTGGACTCTTCGCATTTTACCGGTACTAGATCCTTACAAGTTGGTTAGTCTGCTGGAACGACGGTTCCTGCACGTGGAGCCGGTCGGCGACGATGCGCGACAGAGCGCCATTGTCCAACACAACCTATGTCATATTTAGCCTCCGAACGTATACATCGCAGATGTAGAGCCTTACCACCGAGTCGGCATTCTGCGTCAACCGCCTCATCGTGAGTATGCTGTTGTACGGGTTGACCACCACGTCTGCCGACTGCGCGTCCGGAAAAACGGAATATGTCTGTATCAATTTCTTGGGGAATCGATCGTTCATGCGCTCCAGAATGAAACTTCCCAGTCCGGAGCCAGTACCGCCTGCGATCGAATGCAGAAACATAAACCCCTACCGCGATACCGTCAGCCACACAGCTCATTTGCAAGCAAAATCCCGGAGTTTCAAACCTCTAGAGAGTCACTGCCGTCCGCTTCCCGATCAATCATGTCAAATATTTCCTCCTGCACATGCTCACCCGCAGCGTAGCCGGCGCCCCAATTGTTCCCTGCACCACTGCCATGTGTTCCAATAAAGAAATTTTCGGGGTTGTAGATGTTCTTGTAGGGTCCGGTTTGGATGGAGTTGAGAACCTGTAGGCCGGTGACTTTTAGTGCGCTGTGCGTTGAAGAACGAAGCATGCCGGGATCACCTAGGTGGGTTACGTACCCTAGGTTCTAAATCAAGTAGGATCGCTCGGGGAATGTATCGTGTATCATCGCTCTAAAAATATTCAACGTCAGCGTGCTTTCCACGACCACCCATCGAAGTGTCGCACCTGGTAGAAGAACACGTCCTTGCGATCGCCGCCTTCGGTCGCGAACTCCTCTAGGTTTCCATCTTGATTGATACCATGCTCTTGGCAAAGCTGTTGCCAAAACTGCCCACCGACTGCAAGTTACAATCCATCAGCATGAGCGGGCTATCGAAATGGGGGCTCGAGTTGGGCTGGGAAGATCGATCGTATGCTTTGCGGGTTTCATACCGTTGTTGCCGCACTGGCCGGCCTGGATGGTGATTATTTCCCTGCATGGTTTATTAGTATTCTCGCGAATATGTACACAATAAATCAACTGGTGGGAGACACTGGATGGTGGACATACCTGGGCATCTTTGCTTAACCAGCGAAAGTGGTTGAGTTCATTGCGCACGCGTAGCGCGTATCCGCGGGGAAACTTCCTTGCGGTGGCAGGCGGGCTGGTGCCTGAGGCATATTAATATTGCCGACAGAGAACAAACATAACGAAGATAAGTATAACAACCATTATCTTTTGAGGATTTTTTGTAAAAATGCCCTTGACTACTATGTTATCATAATATGATACAAATATACATTAAAGGTCACATCGAGTATAAGGGTCAGCTCATATCAGCTGTATCTATATATACAAAACCCACAGGTGGATAGCAACAGCCCATACTAGTCGGTGCTCAGAACCGTGCTTTACACGACGTTACCAGCATCCCAGCGCCAGCGACAACGCCGTCAACGATGCTCACTTGACTCCCTCGCTGCACACCGTATGCCTTGACACAACCTTCTCGTACTGCGTCTTCCATCCCTGCCATCCCGGCACAGCCCATACAGATCGCGGACAGCGGGTTGGGTGTGCTCTTGATCAATCTTTCGGTGGATTCTATGATCCGTCGTTTCACTTCCTCTGGGGCAGTGGTGTGCAGTTCCACGGCGGTAAGTCCGGTGGTCTCCACGCCAGCGAAGCGACCCAAGGAGTCCATTTGACCGCCAGAACCGACAAGCATTTGGGCAACAGCATTTCCGAGCTCTTCCTTCCAGATACTGCCGGTAGTAACTATCCCGAACGTGTCCTTTGCTTGGGATTTCTGGAGGTCCTGAGACCCCGTGAGTTGAAAGGAGCTGATCAGAGACAAAGACGCCACAATACTGGCTTCAAATATTCCCGTCACGTATTTCCTCTTAAACTGCGCGGTTGACAAGGCTCTAGTATCGGTTGCTTCCATTTTCGCCAGATCTTCTTTGATCATGCCCACGAGGGGGTGAGCCGAATAGCATGCCACCAAAAACCCATCGTATTTGGGGAGGAGTGGCTCCACGAAGGGCTTGCAATGTAAAGCCGACTTGGCGGAATCTTCGCCTGAATTGATGCTGGGGATGCCATCAATGACACGCCCGTCTGGAAAAGTGACTGATTGACTTGGAGCCGTGAAGAAGTCGAAGTGGATGTTGGCGTAATTGAGATCTTCCACTATGGGACATAACGCATCAGTCATATGGGTGGATGTGTTTGGGTTGATAACCAGGATCGAGAACTGCTTTTTAGTTGATGTAGACATGGTTCCGATAGTAAGGAAGTAGTTGTAAACAGTGTTGAATAGACTGTGGTATCCAGACAAACTCGTTCTATTTGTATCGTGGCCGTGGGAGTGTGGAGATAGCATTAGTATACAGCGGAGGTAATGGATTTATGGATGCGGGGAACGGCTTATCGCCCGGCATCTCCTCCCAGTTTCACCTCATTCAACTACTGACGTACTTCCATTCCACCATCTTGTAATCGGTCGTTTTATTTTTGATCAAATTGATCTTGAGAGACACAATAAAATATAACTCTACTGTAAGCCATTCGTCAACCCACTATGAATCTGCATCGTTCCTGTCTGACAATGTTGTTACCCCGCTATCTTACAGCAATCCGTGGCATTCCGGTCTTCAGTCCCACAGCTTTCATCACGATACTTGAACGAAATGCCTTTGGTTGCTCAGAACCCCCTTCCTAGGGCCATCCTTGGTCTGATGACCTTTGGGCCGGACGAGTCCAAAGGTGCGCGGATCACATCGCTGGATGAGTTCAACAAGTGTCTGGATTACTTCCAGCAGCAGGGCTTCAACGAGGTCGATACCGCTCGGGTTTATATTGGTGGAGAACAAGAAGCCTTCACAGCCCAGGCAAAATGGAAGGAGCGTGGTTTGACTCTGGCAACTAAGTGGTACCCTATAACGCCCGGTGGACACAAACCCGACGTTCTCCGCGAGCGCCTTGAACTCTCCTTGAAGGAACTGGGTACCAACCAGGTGGATATCTTTTATCTTCATGCACCGGACCGGTCGGTGCCCTTTGCGGAGACTCTGGAGACCGTGAACGAGTTGCACAAAGAGGGGAAATTCGTCGAGCTGGGTCTCAGCAACTATACGGCTTTTGAAGTTGCCGAGATCGTTACCATGTGCAATGAGCGCGGCTGGGTGCGACCAACCATCTACCAAGCCATGTACAACGCCATCAGTAAGTTTTGCGACAAGTGCAAAAGGTGCACCCTGCACTACACACCTACTGACCTAGGCCACTGCAGCGCGCTCCATTGAAACCGAACTTGTGCCAGCCTGCAAGCGCTACGGTATCGACATTGTCATTTACAACCCCCTTGCCGGAGGTATCTTTTCCGGTAAATACAAGTCGAAGGATGTTATTCCCGAAGATGGCCGCTACAGCGATAAGACGCACACTGGCGCGGTATATCGCAAGCGGTACTTCAAGGATTCGACGTTCGAGGCTCTGCGGGTCATCGAGCCGGTCGTCGAAAAGCACGGCTTGACGCTCCCTGAAACCGCAATCCGCTGGGCGCACCACCACTCTGCCCTCAACATGGAAGGGAAAGGTCGCGATGGGATTATTCTCGGAGTGAGCAGTTTCGCACAGCTGGAAAGTAACCTCCGGGACGTCCAGAAGGGCCCCTTGCCTCAAGAGGTGGTGGACGTTCTCGACCAAGCGTGGCTGATTACCAAGGCAACAGCCCCCGATTATTGGCACCTGGATCTGAAATACACATATGACACCCAGGAGGTTCTATTCAGTTCGAAGGCGAAAGCCTAGACGGCTCTAGAATGGCTACTAGCCCTTGGGACCAGCCACTACATAGATAGCAATCTTATGCACCTGTTGAGCTCTAGCCCGTGATCCGAGGGATGTAACAAGCTTCTACTGAGGATAAGCTATTTTAAACCGGGAGCCCAGAATTGAAAGACCACAAAATACAGGTAAGATCGGAACATTTAGTCAGTCCCGACTGGACTCCAATAAAGGACGGAAAGCAAACCCCAACATGCCAGAGCCCTAGTACACGCCCTGCACGAAGTCCAATCGAGAATCTCAACCCAGATTCTCGCGCATGTGCATTAGCCAGGATCATGGAATTCCACCTCACAAGGCCGGGAGGCCGAGGGGCCTAGAGTGCTCCTACTCGACCATCTGGATCCTCACAGCCCGCAGCGACGGCCCTTACCTTAAGCATGAGCGATATGCCAAAAAGCACATCACGAGATTCACACGAGAACTTGGTCCATAGTCACATTCTGCAGCCTGTCCTGCCCTAGTGAATCGGATATTCGTCGAGAGATCGGTCGGTTACATTGGGCTTATCTTCTCTTCTCTTCTCTACCCCGGCGCTCGTGAAGCGAAGAATGACACTGAAACATTCAGACATACATGCATAGCCTTTAGCGTAACGTGACCATCACAACCCTTCGCGAAAGCCTCGGAGGGTGTGCATTCAGGGCCTGACATGCGGAACTCCGTGGTGCGATGGTTCCCTGCCATGATACCGATTCCCTCACCCCGTATACTGAGACCCTCCTATGCGGCTACCAAGGAGCCCAGTCCAACCGTGGCGTCGAGACCTGTGTCAAGGGGTCTATCTCATTTGATCTCATCTCGACGTTAGGAGTCATGGTGATATTGGTTGCTGCTTTGGGTAATGGTCCATATCTTCAAGACATCGCATCGCGTGGTATGTTGTGGAGATGAACTAATCCATTCGCATGGAAGTTAAATCAAATCATTCCCCTTCCGCCGTAACTTGAATCTCGATACCACGCAGGAGCGATACTATATAACTGAAGCATGAGGTCGCCCCGATCCTAATCAACTCTATACATTTGCCTGTCATACCGTATAGAAATCCACACCTAACCCTAAGAACATGTCCCTCGCTATAGCCAGCCCACTTCCCAAGGGTACATCAACTGCTGACGACAACTCAATAACAACATCATCATCATCATCAGACCTAGAGAAACACGCCAAAGCCACCACAATAAGCATCACAGAAACAACAAAAACATCCAAAACCCCCGACTCAAAATGCGCACCGCTAGGCGAACCATCCACCAGTCGCGGATTTCGATTCCGCCGATCCAAGCAGCATGATCCAAACGCGATAGCCACCCAGCCGTCGGTGTTCGACGACCCCGATCTTGCGGAGGAGTATCAACCACGGCCGGACTGGGAGAATATCCACCGGTTTGATCCCTCGGCGAGGTGGACGTGGGGGGAAGAGAAGGTGTGTTGTCACTTGATTTTGTGATGCATGCAATAATTTTTAGGTCAAGCTGGCTGATGTGCGGTAGAAAGTTGTTCGGAAGCTGGATATGCGCATTATGGTGGGCGCTTGTTTGATGATTACGGCGTTGGAGCTGGATCGGTCGAATTTGCGTATGTTGGATCTTATTTGTTTGTCTTGTGCGCTTGGGCTGTGAGTTGACTGACTGACTGTCCGTAGAGCAAGCCAACGCGGATAATTTTTTGGGCGATCTCAACTTGACGAGAGACGGTACGTTCCTTCGAGTGCCACATGGCTGGCCCTCTTATTAACGACAGGTCTGACGATTCTAGATTACAACCTGGGCAACACCATCTACCGATTGTGCTACATGCTCAGCGAGATCCCCGCGCAGTGTCTCGGCAAGAAACTCGGAGCGGACGTGTGGCTGCCGATCCAGATGTCATCGTGGTCGATCGTGGCCTGTTGTCAGTTTTGGCTATCGGGGAGAAAGTCGTTTCTGGCTTGTCGGGCTTTGATTGGGATTCTGTCTGGCGGGTTTACACCGACGGTGGGTTTGAGAGAGGAAAAGAAAAGAGAGGTTCAAAGAAAGAAATGCGCTGATGATATAGCTGACCTAGATGATCCTATACCTTTCTTATTTCTACAAACACCACGAGCTGTCTATTCGTCTTGGCTTTTGGTATGCCGGGCTTTCGATGGCTGACATCCTCGCCGGATTTCTTGCCTATGGGATTTTGCACCTGCGTGGCGTGGGTGGTGTTGCAGGGTGGCGCTGGCTTTTCTTGATCGAGGTATGTTGGTGGATATGGAGAGAGAACTCGCTGGTTAACCCACTTAGGGACTGCTCACTTTGGTACTGGGCATCACATCTGTGTTGTATCTTCCTGCATCGCCGACGCAGACGGCGAACTGGATCCGAGGGAAGAAGGGCTGGTTTACAGAACGGTATGGACGGCTACACATGTACAGTATTCGATACTGACAGTCAGCAGGGAAGAAGTCGTTCTGGTTAATCGCCTGATCAGAGAAGACCCGAGTAAAGGCACGATGCACAATCGTCAACCGCTGACACCTAAGCTCGTACTTAAGAGCCTCTCGGATTTCGACCTGTGGCCGCTATACATAGTTGGGCTTACATTTTTACTGCCAAAGAGTCAGTATACGTGCCCCACGACGGCTATGCCAGGATCCTCCCGGGTGAACTAGGCTGATGATGGTGGTTTGCTCTGCAGCAACGGTGTCACAGTACTTCACTCTGTTCATGAGGGACTATGGGTTCGACACCTTCGACACGATCCTGCTGGCCATCCCGTACAATGTAAGACGAGCTCCACGAGGCGCTCACAATGGAGGCATGCTGACAAGCAGCCAGCTGGGTGCGATAGTGACCAAGATCCTGCTGACCTACACCGCGGAGGCGCTGGGATCACTCGCTCTCATGGGGGTTGTCGCGCAGATTTGGGTCCTACCCCTGCTGATCTACATGAACGTCGTGGATTTCAGCCAGAGCAACAAGTGGGTAGCATGGACGATCCTCACACTCCTGCTGTCCCATCCGAGTGGTACGTTCAGATAGAGATATCTCTAGCGTCGACCCTCCAGTGACTGACAGCCCCAGCCCATGCTCTTCAGGCGGGATGGAACTCCCGCAACTCGAATAGCGTGCGCTCTCGGGCCATGGCCGCCGCACTGTACAACATGTGCACGCAATTGTCGGGCATTATGGCGTCAAACGTCTACCAGGACTGTGAGTGTCGAGTGTCTCCCCGGTGGGTCACCGACACACGTATATAGATAGATGTGGCTGACGTGCGAAGGGGATAAACCTCGCTATGCGTTTGGGAACCGCGTTCTGCTAGGGATAGCCTGCACAAACATCGTCCTCTACATCGCGACAAAAGGATACTACGTGCTGCGAAACCGCAATCGCGACCGACAATGGACAGCCATGACAACAGACCAGCGACTCGACTACATTGCCACGACGACCGACCAGGGGAACAGACGACTGGACTTTCGGTTTGCGCACTGAAACCCGGGTGGCGGGTCCCAGTCAACGTAATGGCTGGGGGAGAGAGCATATTGGTCATGGCCAAGAAGCTCGGCGCAAAGGGTCAAGGGGCGGAATGAGACGTGGTTAGTCATTTCCGTGGCGGCGTTAGGTAACTGAATGATGTGGAGGTCTGGAGGACAAGTAATTAAGTGGTTCCTGGTCTTTTTTCTGGGCATATGACTAAAAGATTGAACATGGGTGCCGCGTTGGTAGGGATTCTGACAGTAAGGGGGGGCCAGTTCACCATCATTCCTTTGGACACAGCCCTGTGATCGCGTGGCGCCGATCGTTTTCCACTGGTGTTTTTGGTCAGATGGAATGAAGGATGTCATGACGAGTGGGCGATCGGGGCTGGACGGGTCAGCCTATCAGTAATCTTGAGAGACAACGAGAGTAGGAGTCTCCTGATCATGTCTAGATAGTATCTCCAGTATTCAGACAGAGAAGTTATACAAATTACACAAATATCCGAAACCGTTCGTGATTGCGGTGGATAGATGAGTCAGCCGGATAGCTGCGGCACTAGTCCCGGAACGGAAGGTCATTGGGCTGGACCCCGGTGGGTCACGTGTGCATTCCCCGAACAGGACTAGCGCCGTCCGATCGGCCGCATTCAACGTAACTGGATCTCTCGCCTCTTCTCATCTGTCTTTTCCTCTCCTTGACTCTCTCGGTGCTTGTCATTTTCCATATTTTGGGTCTTTTTACACACTGTGATTGATATTTTAGATATTTTTCTTTTTTTTTTCATCCATGGTTCTATCTCGAAATACCATCCCTCTATGTCATATTGCAACGCCTCATTCCCCCTGAGTTAATCGGTTTAGTCCATTTGGAGCCTGGCCTTATCGCAACCCGCATCTACCGCCATATCTCTTTTCCTCGGCTTCAGCCACGCACAACTTCGCTCCATGACTTGACTGTCAATTGGACTCATACCACTCTTCCATTCTTCTAGAAATACCTTCTGTATGGAGTTTACGGCTCTTTACTCCACCATCCCCTCGTTTTTACTTCGTCTGTCGACGTAAGCGACTAGCCTTTTCGATTGAGTGCCGAGCATTCTCTAGGCATTCCACACCGTCCATCCTGTACAGGCATTCCCCCCCCGGTACCAGATCGGGGCGTCGTGTCTGTTTAGTTTCTGTCGATCGGCATCTTATATAGCTCGATGCGAGGGCAACGGTCCTGAGATCGATACAAGGTGGCTTCAGCGACGAACACGCAATCCCCGGGTAGGAGGGAGGATCACAGCCCATCCCCCGTTCTCGATTCTTCCGAACCCCACCATCACCCTGATGCCTCTGATTACGATCACGATTCGGACGACGACGAAATGAATCGGCCACCCATGCGGCAGTCGACGGAGGTCGCTCACCCCAATCAGCCGCTGCTGAAGGAGGAACAATCGCGACTGTCGACCTCCAGTCATCGCGATGGTGGTGCAGAAGGCAGGCCCATGCTGCACCATACCCGGCGGCCCACCATCCGCAGTAGGAGCCCGGAGCATACGGCGGATCGGGCCACCCGTCGCAAGTATATTATCGCATCTGGTTTTCTGGTCTTGAGTTTGGTCAGTTTTGTCGTTCAGACTGAGACCGCCGTCTATATACAGCACGATTTGGGCTGGGACAAGCCGTATTGCATGCTGTAAGTTGGCCCTCTTTTTTTTTTTTTTGGGAGATGCCTAACCAATGTGCTCGGACCAACAGCTACCTCACGCACGGATCATGGTCCCTCCTCTGGCCCTTCCAGCTCTTGATCTTGCGGTTACAGAATCGGAAAATGACATGGGACGCATTCTGGCGGCGCCACGTCTTCCTGTTGCGCACAACGGGGCAGATGGTGGAGGCCCAGGATATTCATCCCACTTCGCGCCGGTCCCCGATTCCCTACCTGCTCAAAATGACGGTGTTTGTCACCAGCGCTCTCACCGTCGCCGGTGGGTCGTGGTATGTGGCCGTGAACATGACCACCGCCAGTGATCTGACAGCCATCTACAACTGCTCCGCCTTTTTCGCCTACGCGTTCTCCATCCCCTTGCTCAAGGACAAGCTTCGCGCTGACAAGGTGTTCTCGGTGGGAGTGGCCATCGTCGGCGTGCTCATCGTCGCCTACGGAGGTCACACCGAGAGCAAGAAGACGCCCGACGGCACGGTGGGTACACCCCATGACGAGGCGCGAAATAGATTGCTGGGAAATATCATCATCGGAATCGGTAGCGTGCTGTATGGTCTTTACGAGGTCCTGTATAAGCGATACGCCTGCCCCCCGGAGGGCATCAGCCCCGGCCGGAGCATGATCTTCGCCAACACCTTTGGCAGCCTCATTGGCTGCTTCACGCTCTCCGTTCTGTGGATCCCGCTGCCCATACTGCACGTCCTGGGTCTGGAGACCTTCCGCTGGCCCACGGGCGAAGCAGCCTGGTTGCTCGTCATTTCCGTCATCGCCAACGCCAGTGAGTTCCATTTCCCTTCTCTCCACAACAACCAGGCTCCTTCACAGTTTTCTGTAAAACAAGAGAAAGACATTGAACTGACAAGAAACAGCATTCTCCGGCGCCTTCCTCGTCCTCATCTCTCTCACCTCCCCCGTCCTCTCCTCTGTCGCCGCCCTCCTCACCATCTTCCTCGTCGCCATCGTCGACTGGATGCGCACCGGCCAGCCCCTCTCCATGGGCTCCATCATCGGCGGCGTCCTCATCATAGTGGCCTTCTTCCTCCTCAGCTGGAGCACCTACCGCGAGATGAACGAGGAGCGATTCAAGAAGGTGGAAAACGAGCAGGTTGAGTCGGGGAGTGATGATTGAAGTATATTATATAGATTGTTTTTTTTTTTTATTTTTTTTCATTTCTTTCTGAGAGTATATAGACTTTCCTACCTACCTACCTACCTACCTACTACATGTTTCATTTACAAGATTTACTTCTTTTATTTTTCCTCTTTACTTTCTACACCTGTGCTTGAGAGTGGTTGTTTCTTACAAGTTTCTCCTCCACTAACCCGCTCACCATATATAGAAACAACGTGTCTCATCTGGTATAGATAGTGTTTATTCGTTGATCCTTTGGTTTCTTTTCTCTTTCTTTCTTTCTTTCTATCTGTCTGTTTTGTTTCATTTGATTTTTACAAGCATCAGCTGGCGCTTATCTTTTTTTTTTTCCCCCTTCTCTTCAATTCAATGGATAGATCCCTCTCCCCTTCTGTCATCCGTTGTTTCCGTCTCCCTGCTTGGTCGGGAAAATTAATATAATATATACAGTATAGCGTTATCGTATATCCAATTACACTGCATACCTCTTACTACCCACAAAGTATACACAGGTCCCGTATCACTCCGGGTGCACATTTTTCTATATACTAGCTACATTGAAAACGGGGGACACGGAAGTGTAAAAAAAGCTGAAAATTGAAAAGAAAAAGGTTGATGTTGATCTGGGGGGAATAGTATCGAAGAGCCTGGTTGACGTTGAGTCCTTCCATGTATGTAGCGGTGACCGGTCATGAGACGTTGTCTAGGTAAGGGAGGGCGAGGGCGAAAGAACCGGGCGTCAACAGGAAGCGGGGGTGGGTTGTCTGGGTGCTAGACTGGAGGGTAGAGGCGAGAGGGGTGGTGAGGGAGGAATGCCACGGTTTCGTATTTATCTCGGACCGAGCTTGGCCAAGGCGCGAGCGCCCTGTTCTTCCCACTCTTGCTTGGAGACCCACATGTCTTCCTTGTCGGCGATCTGGAAGAGAGTTAGATAAGGAGGATAGGGGAGGGTTGTTTTGAGGGTTCGTACCAAGTTGGCGAGCACAGCTCCGCCCAGGAACACCATGTGTCTCCGTCGGGGCGGGTCCTCGATGCGCACCTTGAATTTCTGGGACAAATTAGTAAAGACCAGGATGATAGGTCTGGAGGAAGATCAACATACGTTCAACCGCTCCGGATCTCCTTGGAGGACTCGCGTCAGCCACAGCTGCTTCAGCTCCTTCTCCAATCGCGACGGCAGACCCGGGTACATGCTGCTACCACCGCTGAGCACGACAGCCTTGTACAGACTGGAGCGCACATCGACATCGGCGCCCTGGATGGTGTTGAAGAGCAGTTCGGCGATACCGGGCTGGTCGACGTCGACCAGGTGGGGTTGGAAGAGACACTCGGGGGCCTCGAAGCGCTCGCTGCCGACGCGGATGACGCGACCGTCGGGGAGGGTGTAGGATTCGACCAGGACGGTGGTGTCCTCGGAGAGCTGCTTGTCCAGCTCCAGGTCGTAGGAGACGTAGCAGAGCTTCTCCTTGATCTGGCGCACCGTTTCGAAGTCGGCCGTGCGGTTGAGGGCGTAACCGCGGCGCAGCAGCAGCGCGATCAGGTTACGGGTGACATCGCGACCGGCCACGTCCAGCCGGCGGATGTGGTGGTTCAGGACGGTGGATTCGTAGACGGGGATGACGTGGGTGACGCCGTCACCGGAGTCGACGACCACTCCGCTGCTGAGACCTAGACGGGGGGTCAATCCGACAGTCTCCGAACGGGATCCAGCATGACTATTCATCCAGCGCACTTACCCTGGGCGTACAGTGCAAGCACAGCTTGAATGGCGACGTATACACCGCCAAAGTTGTAGCCCTCCAACATGGTCTCGCACATCTGCTCGCGGTTCTTCAGGGGGTTCATGGGAGGTTCGGTGAGGAGGATCTTGCGACCCGTGGGATCGATCTTCATCTTCTCGTAAAAGGTGTAGTTCCAGAGATGTTGCATGTCGTCCCATTTCTTCACGATACCATTTTCCATCTATGGCGGCGGAGGTCGTAGGTTAGCAGCGGAGCGGGCACGAGCTAGGATAGTAGGGGGCTGGCTCATGGCGGGAATGGTCGACTCGGGGCGGTAGACGAGCGAACGTACAGGATAGCTGATCTGAAGCATGGAGCGGGCGGCAGCGGCTTCATCACCACACATGATATCCTTGACGACGATGTCTCCAGCCTGCTCCTCAGTTCGCAGGATGGGACGCCCCACTATCGAGGGGAACTGGTGCTCTGGGAAGTTCTGCGAAGGTCAACCGGGTTCCAAATAATTACAGGAGTACCTGAACAGTAGAGAGCATACCTGCGCAGCATATCCAACCTTGAGGAAACCGGTTCCTCCGTCGAGCACTGGGGAGGGAGAGCTGGTTAACCAGGGTCGGGCGGGATACGTAACCCGGGGGGAGCTCACCAATGGGCATATCCGCCATGATGGAAGAGGGGGAAAGGAATTCAGGGGGGAAGCAATCTAGTCAATTCCGGTACGAGAGGAGGAAACCGTCATGAGAGGGCAGCAGAGGAATCCAAAGGTGGAATCGAGAGACAAGATGGGGGGGATGATGGGAAGGTCTAAGATGGAGGAGAGGATGGATATGAGGGGAACAGCAGGAGACGCAGTCACCGCCGTTTGCTTGGTTTGTTCCGTCACTGCCTGAGGCAGACACCTCTCCCTTCTTCATCTCCACACAACAACATCTGTAATCCTATGCCCCACGATCAATTCAGCTACTCCGACAGATATTAATGCTAATCGTGTAGACTCGTGGCAACGGTCGGTATATACACTAATCACGACCCCCCGAACCCCGTACGCCCGCGCCCGGCCGACACCGGGCCCACCCGGCGGGTATCCAGCACCTCCGTCTATATCAACCGCTGATAGACTTGATATCTGATACACTCTCGACATCAATCTCCAGCAAGCAAATCCTACGTCACAACATGACCAGAATCGGCTGGGTATGTTCAACCTCCTCCACACTCACACGATAAGCCTAGGGCAGAATACTGACGAAAACAGTACGGCCTCGGGTCCATGGGCCTGGCCATGGCCAACAACCTGCAACGGCACCTAGCCACCAAAAATGCCCTGAGCCTGCTCTACAACAACCGCACCATGGCGCGCGGCGACGCCCTCCAGGCGCTGGGTGGCACGCCCGCGTCCAGCTTTGAGCAGCTGGTCGGCAAGTGCGGCATCATCTTCACCATGGTGTGTCCACCCATTATCGGGGAGTATCGGTACATACATAGTAGCCGATACTTGCACCCAAGAATGAGCCACAATTTCATATGAACCAACGAAATGATAACCCAAATAAAGATCTCCAACGACACCGTCCTCCAAAACCTCATCACCACAGCCCTCCAATCCGGGCACTCCCTCAAAGACAAAATCTTCGTCGACTGCTCCACCGTGCACCCGCACACCGTCGGGCTGACCGTCTCCAAGCTCGCCGCGCAACAAGCTTCCTTCGTCGCCGCCCCAGTCTTCGGCGGGAACCCCATCGCCGTCGACGGCAAGCTGGTCTTCGCGATGGCGGGGCCCAAGCGTGCTACCGACACCGTGCGTCCTCTGATTGATGGCGTTATGGGCCGGAGGGTGATTGAGTGTGGGGAGGATGCGACGCGGTCGTCGCTTTTGAAGATTGCTGGGTTTGTCCCCTTTTCTCTTTTCCTTTACCTTACGTTGATTTTTATCCGTATGGGTACAGAAACTGATTGATTGACGAATGATATCATAGAAACATCGTCACAGTAAACCTAATGGAAGCCGTCGGCGAAGCCCAAGTCTTCGCTGAACGAACAGGCCTAGGAACCGCGCCCATGGAAGAGCTCATCGGGGAAGCATTTGGGCCTGTCGCAGGAGGATACTCCAAGCGGTAATTTGCGCCCTTTCTCCCCGCCCGACCCCCTTCCCTTCTTTTCACTCTATCCCCCACCCCAACCACCAAGTTCAAAGATACTAAAAGAAGAATAGATTAACAACAGGCGCCTACGCCCCCTCGCTCAGCACGCGCCCCGGCTTCGGCGTCTCGCTCGCCATCAAAGACGCGAACCACGCGCGCACAATGGCAAAAGACCACAACGTCGAGTTGCCTGGGCTGGAGATCGCGCAGGAGAACATGGAGGCGGCGCGTGACTACGCCGGCGAGTGTCTCGATAGTAGTGCTATGTATGGGGTTCTGCGGCAGAAGGCTGGGATGGAGTTTTGGAATGAAAAGAGTAGGGGTGGGAATGAGCAGTAGATGGATTTATGTATGGAGCATCGTTTATGGTGTGAACTAGATATCAATACAGTGTAGGATAGATGAGGTCTTGATTATCAAGGTAGTTTTCCTTAATTGTCGCTCGTTCTGTCACTGCGCCAAGTCACGGGTCTTGACTATATAAATTTACAGAGAAGGTAATTAAAAGGTGGTGGCACAGGTTCCGGACGCGTGTGCGCGTCTCATGCCGTGATATCTATACAGTATCGCTACAAGATCCGGCCCCGACCGTGGGAAATGCCACGAGGTAACAGCAAAGTAGCCATGACGAGACTGCAGAGGCCAGACGCAGGTCTTGATGCATACTGCGACCCGGATCAGGGATCGCGGGGCCTAGTTGGGGAAGTATATATATACTCCCAGGAGTCAATCGCCCTTGTGAAACAGGCCAAATGACAACAAATCCACGATTAAGCCCAATGAGTGGAGATCTGCTGCGTTGAGCAAACGCTGCGGGAAGAGAATAGCAGGGTGACTCCGGTACGTTCAACTGGTATTCTTGATTCTGGCCGTCTCGGCCAAGCCGGGAAATGCATCGACAAAAGCCGGGCCCAGTGTCCAATTGTGCAAGTTGCGCAGGTGGCGCTCAAATACCGGGTTGATGATCAATTCGTCGCTGTCACCCGTCGATAGGAGGCAGTCTGTCGGCTCGTACGGCCAGTTGACGGACAGGGTGCGCGTGTACGGGATGAACCAGCTCTCGAACGGGTATTCTTTGTGCGCCATGATCACCCGGTCCCGCATACGGGGCCATGGCAGGTAGTCCATCCAGGCTGGGTGCGGGGTGAGGATCTGCGACGGCCGCGGCGTCAGCCACTCCGGCAGGCGGTCGTAGTTCTCTGGCGTCGAGTAGATTTGCCACCGCATCAGGAGGAACATCGTGTACAGCACGGCTACTTGCTCGGGCAGCGACGAGATATCCGGGAATGTGCGCAGGACGTCCGTGAACACCTTGGACAGCGGGTGCGAGTAGACGCTCATTTCGGGGTTGAGCAGCGACGACACGCTGGGATAGGGAGGGCCCACTAGCTTCTGCCTGGGCACGCCTTTGGCCGCCTGGCGCTGTCGATTGTGGAGAAAATCCAGCAGGATCGCATCGAGGGTGCACGTCGGCGGGATGTTGCGCACTGGCGTCTGGTGAGCCGACGCCGATTGATCCTCGCTGGGAGATGGGTATGCTGAGGGTGGCGTCATCTGCACCGTTGGTACGGTCTCTGCCGAGCGATGGAAGCTCTCCACTCGCGGGACCCGTTGCGATGCGTCGAGGAGGAAGTCGAAGCCCATTCGCTCATCGGCCCCAAAGTCCAGCCCATGGGCCAGGTGATGGCGCTGGTAGTCGAATGCGATGCGGAAGGAAGCCCCTGCAGGGCCTGTCGCACTCCCGCGCCCGCTCGTCCCAAAGATTGGCGCTGAATGCGTGGAAGACGGAGTGCTGGTGATGGATTCGGAGAAGGATTGATCGGGCGGGGCCGTTCGATGGCTATTATGAGAAGATGTATGGTGTTCGAGGAGGGAGGAGGTGGACAAGGGGGCTATCGATGTCTGAACCGGAGCGGAACCCGTCGCCGGAGAATCTTGAAGATGAGTCAACTTCCCATACTTCGACGTTGGCAGAGAGAGACAAGGAGGGAGGAGGAAACTAACTGGATGATTCATGTTTCCCCACTAGGGGCTGAATAATGTCCATCATCGCCTTCAAACTCCGTCGAATCTCGCGATTCTCCGCCTGGATCGCCTCATTCTGCTTGAGCGCGGACTGCAGATCCAAGAAAGGTTTCTGGGAGCTCAACTCACGGACCTGCAGCTCCAGCGCATCAATGTGAGACTTGGTCCTCTCCCGAATCGCGCGCTGGGCCTGCCGATCGTTGGCCCGTTTCTTGGCCAGCTGGTCGGGAGTGAGATTCGCGACCCCGCGGGCAGACATGCTGTTCAGCTTGCGCTTTCGCCCCGCCGGACCGCATCCGTCCGTTCCCGGCGTGTCCGCGTCGGCGGAGTTGGGTCCGGACGGTGTGGGCGATGTCTCCAGTTTGACGTAGTCAGGATCGAGGGGCGCGGAGGAGGGGGCGGTGGAGTGGGGGATGGACGAAGCGGATTCGACAGCCGCGGATGATGCTAGATCATCGATATTAGGGATGCGGGTGGCCATTGCCTCGCTCGCGTGGTGATCGATCGAGAATGGCCATTCACATGCGCAGGAAGCGCTCGATAGATGGGAGGGGTCGCGCAGTCGAGAATTCCCAGAGCAATCCGGTCAGTGAGGGAGGGACCTCCAGGGGAAAGCGTTGGTCGAGACGAGTGAAGCAGAAGGGCGATCAAGGTGAGTGTGGCAAAATTATTGTAAGAACCTCCAATGTCGGCGGAGGCGAGGACGATGATCTTATCGAAGACGAACAAGGGAGAAAGAAGGAGAAGGTGAGATGAGTCGGCTCGGCAGGCGTGGAGTTTCTAGCGGTCGGTCCAACCACTCATACAACGGTGGAGAATATATCCCAAACCTAATCCTCACCACCGACCGGTCGATTCTATTTCTTAGATGTCTACGGATTTGGGGTCACTTTCGGAACAGGATGACGCGAGTGGCAATAGCAACCATCCCAATTGGTAATTTCAAAGTATTGGAAATCAGCAAGAATCATATGGAAGATATGTCTCTCTATCATGGAACGAACACCCCTTGAAATTAAACGCCGAGCCACTGACTCAAGAAGATACGGCGGTATCCACAGTGACTCAATATGAGAAAATAAAAATAGATCATCAAGAAACCTGGTCCGGAGCGAGACACGCACCAAAGAATGCCAACCATAGTAACCAAAATCCCAAAGAAAAACACAAGATCCAGGTGGAAAGAGGAAAGGGGAGATTTACAGGATCGGATCCGTCAATGACGCTGCGCTTTTCATGACAACAGAAGCTCCAATGGAGGATGAACATGAACAGAACATTGAGTATATAGAACGAGAAAAGAGCCAGGAACACAGCAACTGAAGAGCAGAGAAGAAGAAGAAGAAGAAGAAGAAAAAAGAGAGAAGCTCTCATTGAATCATATGACCCATCTTGGAGATCTGTAGAATGTTGTCAGCAATTGAACTCTCGCGGAATAACAACGGAAGAGAAAACCAACCTTGGTTTGTAAATAGCCCTCAACTTCTATACTCTTGATCCCCAGCTTCCCCCCAGACCTCCAGGCCAACGGGACCATCGGCACCCTCTCTTTCACCTGGACCTCCCGGTTGGGGCCCTCGACCGCGCGCACCTTATCCGGGTTATTAGTGAGGAGCCGAATGCCGTGAGAATTGGCGTCGGCGCCCAGGCCCAGGTCGACCAGAATGGCCGTGGCCAAACCATAGCTCCGGGCATCCGCAGGATGGCGCAAAAGCAAATTCGCCTCAACCGTGTCCGACCCCAGATCCTGCAGGTTGTAGGCCTTGAGTTTCTCCCCCAGGCCGATCCCGCGACCTTCCTGCCGGAGGTAGACGATCACGCCACCGGACGTGTTGGACGGCACGGGGAGGGCGGCCTCGGTCTGCGCCGCGACCGCCGCGAGGGTCTCCATCGGGAGCGACATCAACCGGGCGGCCTCGTCGAGCTGTTCCCCACAGTCGCAGCGGGCGGACCACGCCGTCTCGCCCGTGTAGCACTCGGAGTGGATGCGCACCAGTGGCGCCTGGCTGGCATTGCCTTGCGCCGATGACGGACGGACGGGGAGGGGACCGTCAGCTGTCGCGGATCCCTCTTCTGGTCCCGTCTCCTCGTCCCAGCTGCTCAGGCGACCGGGGTGCAACTTGCCGGTGTACGCCCCCCGGATCATGCGGTCCATCTCCGTCTCCCCCGGTCGCACCTTGTCCAGACTGCGGCTCCGGATGCTATTTCCGAACACGATCGCGAGGTGTTCCTTGTTATCGAGGTCGTTGTGGTAGAGGTGAAGGAACATTTCGGCGCCATTGGTGGTGGGGATGCGCGCGCGCACGATGCACTCGACCGAGGGGAGGCGGGGGAGAAGTTTGGGCCGCTTGCCCGTGGTCGCGGGCTGCGCGTTCACATCCCTGAGGAGCTGCTCTTGGTTCAAGGTGCCCCCGGGGGTTGCTGGAGGGGTGAAGGACGGGGAGAGGAGGGAGCCGGGGACGGCGGGGGTCATGTCGCCACGGTCTTGGCCCAGGCTGCGGATGTGGCTGGCCGCATCGTTGCGGAGATCCTCGACCCTGGCGGTCCGAGACGACTGTGCCTCATCCGATGGTGCATTCAGCGACAGGTCATCATCTACTGCCGGGGTGGAGGAGGGTTGTTGCGCGGTGAGGGTCGGGGAGGCGTGGGAGGGGAGATTCGACATGGTGTGGGATGATAGTATTGCGGGGGAATGATAGAATCGAGGGATCGAAATTATAGAGTGACCAAGGTCATCCTTGGAGGCAAGGGACACTCCGAAGCAATTGTTGGATTTGCAAAGATAATAAATCAATGGAGTAGGGAAGATTCCAGAGTCTCAGGAGTCGGAGTCATTCAGAACGGCATGTGTTTCGGACCCTCGGGATAGCCGTTTCGGCGGGGGGATTCCTGGAGGCTGACTCAGCCGGCTAAGTTTCATCATCTCTACACGGCACATGGACCATACAGACTTTCCAGGAAGATCGTTGATATCCCAGTGTCAATTTGATATCTCAGAAACCAGCACTGCTAAAAAGACAATTCGCTCGACACTCAACCCCAAACTCCATAACGCAGTGCAACCCCCGTCGACCAGAGGACAACCAAAATCGGACAATTAATAATAGTAAATCCTTCAATGGGTATCACCGTACTCCCCAGATACCTGGAAAGGAGGAAAGAAGGAAAATATCAAAAAGGACAAGTTCATACGCCCTCCCAACGCGTCATTTCCCGGGAATGTCCAGGACAAACCGGCGGTCCACCTCCATCTCCTTGTCGTCTTCTTCGCCTTCGAACTTGAGACGGTAGGCCTCCTTTCTCAGACCCATCACCTCCGCTCGATAAAAGGTCGTGGTGTCCGGGTACCGGGCTAGGACTTGCTTCCCCGTGGTGTACGAGGGCAGGGTCGTCCCTGCGCGGGGGATGGGGATTAGGGAGGCCGCGGTAGTCCGGTAGACGGCGCCCTGTTCACCGTTTTCATTTGGCTCCGGATCTTGGACGTCATATCTGTCAGGAGTCAGTCATGCGTCGAATGTCTGAGATGAAAATAAAGATAAAGAATAAATAAATATGAACAATATAAATGAGAGAGTTGGGATGAAAAAAACAAAACAAAAGGAAAAGTATAAAAGTTACATACCGTTTCTTCTGGCCGTCGCCAGAGATCTGTTTGATGATGCACTGGATCCCCTCGCCCTCCACTCCCTGTTTGTTCTTGTTATGCTTGAACACCACCTCGGCGCCGATGGAGAGGATCCCGTTACGCTCGGCCTGCGTGCCCTTGGTGCCCTCGGTGCCCTCTTCCGCTTTCACCGACACGCTGTCACGGCTGTCGCGGCCCTCGCGGGCCTGCGTGCTCGAGACACTGGTGCTCCGCTGGACACCGCCTTTGATGCGGCTGGCCTTGTCCGACCCAACGGCGCCGGAGGGGCCGGGGGAGTCGGTGGCCGAGCTGTCCATGTCGTTTCGCTTCTTGCGGGACTTGGACAGCGCCGTGGCTCGAGCGAGCGGGGCCTCGGCTTCGGAGGCCTGACGGAGGGCGGTCAAAAGGCCCAGGTTCTTGATGACATCGCTGGGCTCGTCTTGGAGGATTGCCCGCTCCTCTTCGCATAACTTGGCCATCTGCCGGTAAAGAGTGTCCAGCTGATTGTGCTCGGTGAGACTTGGCTCTGTTTGATGGTTAGATGACATGTAGGTCCGTAGTAGAAGATGCGATCGATAACAGGCCGAAAGCAGACGGTGTTGGGGGGGAATGGCAATCGGAGATAGATCAACATACTGCTACCATCTTTGCCAATCTTCTCATTCAACGCGGTAATTTGCTCTGACAAGGCTTTCTGCTTGTCATTTTTCTCCTTGGCCTTGCGCAGGTCCTGGAGGATGCGGTTCCACATGTCCGTTTCCTCGTTAACGGCCAGCCCGTTGTCACGGGGCACGGGAGGGCCTCTCGGCCTATTACGCGACATGTTCCCGAATGAAGATACAGGGGGAGCGAGCGGCTTTGTTAGAAGCACGAGCTTCCGTTCCTGAGTAGCTTGAAGCTTCTGTTTCGGAGTGGTATGAACAGCCGTCCCACCGGGTGTTGAATCCCTCGGCTGCTTCTGCAGAATCAACTCTTCCCACTCGAACGCAGAGACTATCTCCTGATGAGAAGAACTGCGCGTTCCACGGGCGGCTCCCTGTCTCTGACTATGGGGGCGACAATGAGGGGAAGAAGAGCGATCTGAAGGTGGAGGAGTAATGGATGAGAGATGACGCTGTTGTTTGTGTTCATTATGGGGCCGGGGATCCTTCTTGGCATGCGGGAGGTGATTGGTGGATGCCATCGGGAAAGGGATGTTCGGATGTTCCGATCCGTATGTCAACTATAGAGTATCAACCAGGAGAACAAATCTCAGTTCACGATTGATCTTGATCTGATGTTGATGTTGATGCTGATGACGGTAGATGGAGAAGCAGTGGAACGAGAGAGAAATGGGGGAGGAAGTGGTACTTCAAGTCAGAATCTCTCTTGCCTTCCGGGTCTGTCTGTCACTGACTGCCTTGATATTCACTACATCCTACCAGAGTCAATACAGAATATGCTATGACTGCTACTTTATAGCTTCTATAACGAGGAATTTTATGGAATTGTCTGCTGTATGCAGTGAGAGAATTGCTCATGAGGATTAAAGCGTCCAATCTCAATTGGGTATCTCTACAACTTGCCCTCTAACCTACGGTGATTACATGCTCAACTTTCTTACTGTTGTTTCTTCAAGTATAGACACATGAGGAAAAAGAAGTAGAGACTGGATAGAATAGGAGCCAGGAAGCAAGTCACATCGTTGCTGGGTGACAGAATAAAGTAAGTAAAGCTACAGCAGGAGCTAGCAGAAAGTCCGGTTATAGTAACTGAAGTTATACTAGTATCATATCTGATTCAGACTCAGACATTGAGAGCAAAAGCTCAATCTCTCAGAGCTTTACATACTGTCTAGGTACAGATAGTAATATAACTTTTATCCAAACCCCCATCCTCTATCTATATGATCTATCCATACACGACTAGTACCTCCAGTCTCCACTTTCAAACCCCGCGATCTCTACCGAGGTTATGGGAATGATAACCCAGCTGAGCCCTGGAAACCCGAACCACTCTTCCCTGTGGAGGAGGATCGTCGAGCGGGGACAAACACAGCTGTGAAGAACCCACATGAAGCCAGTCATTCAATTCACTATGACCTAGCCGACGCGCCCCCGGCTTGCTCTCCTGTCCTCCCTAACCTTCAACTCCACCAACAGACTCACCTGGACAGCTACTTAGTTACTAGCTGTGCCGTCCAAGATCAGTCCACCCAAGATAGGTGTCTCTCGCGATGGCTTCACCACCCACCCCACAACCTCTTTCCTTCCTGGAAAAGGTCGACCTCCTCGCAGGCCAGCTATCCATCGTCGGGTCCGCCCTCTGGACCGTCGTCACGGGTGTCTTTCGCGGGAATAGTTATCCCAAGGAATACAAACTCCATGTGCTGCACTCAATCGTCAGGAAACTGGTGAGCCGGCTGAGTGGCCGACAGATGCAGTCAGTTTCTCTTCCCCGACCAGTTCCAAGGACAATCCACTAACATGCTGCATAGAGCCCTGACCCCCTCCACCAGCCGAGGCTACGAGATCTTCATGAAAGGTCAACGCCTGCAACCAGAGACCGTTGCGCTCCAGCACGGCGCAGCAGGCCACTGGATTGGGAACAAAGACGCGAAGAAGGTAGTCATTTACTACCATGGTGAGTCCACCCCCAACAATCCCAAGAACAAGAACTCATTAAAACCAACCGGACGCATAAAACCAAAACTAACACACACGATCCCAACAAAAACAGGCGGCGGCTTCGTCCTCTCCGCCGTGCCCGCCCACTTCTCCTTCTACAACCAACTAATCTCCTCTTTAAATGCCACCGGCCACGACGTCTCCCTCTTCTTCGTCTCCTACACCCTCGCCCCAACAGCCATCTACCCAACCCAACTCCGCCAAGCCATCTCCGCCCTCCGCTACATCCTCACCGAGACAGGGCGCTCCCCATCCGACATCCTCCTCGCCGGCGACTCCGCAGGCGGGAACCTCGCGCTCTCCACCCTCCTCCACCTCACCCACCCCAATCCCGCTATCGAGCCCTTAGAAGTGTCCGGGCCCCTCGCAGGCGTAGCCGCCTTCGCACCGTGGGTTAGCTTCAGCATGGACGGGCCGTCTATGCGCGACAATAAGTTCAAGGACTGCATCCCACCAGACATTCAGCAGATGTGGGCACCGCAGTACCTGAGGGGCCTGGACGGGGATGGCAAGGAGAAAGAGAGACAGGGTGATGCGTGGAGTGAGCCTTGTCGGGCGCCGCTCGAGTGGTGGGTTGGGGCTAAGGCGGAGGAGATCCTTTTCCTGGCGGGACGGGACGAGGTGTTGTTTTCGGCGATTGACGGGTTTGTGGAGAGGTTTAAGGTCGGTCTTTCCTTTCCTTTTCTTTTCCCTTCTGCCGTTCTTTTTTTTTCTCTCTCTCTTTCCAGGGTGTAATGGTTGTGAGGTTGCCGTATATGCTAACGGTGTAGTAGACTGTCTTTCCCAAAACGACGTATTTTATCGGGTATGGCGAATCGCATGTCGCTCCCGTGTACAGTAGTCATGTTCTCGGCAGGGAGACGCAGCAGGGTGGGGAGTTGCAGAGGTGGTTGGGGTCTCGTCTGTAGTAACCACCTTGTATACTCTATCGATCAATGTAAGACAAATGAACAGTACCGGATGTAGACACGTAGGATAAAAGAATGATACCAGTATCAAACAGTATAGTATATGTCTGTCTATCTATCACAACCTCGAGCCATACATCAACCCCGACAAGAAAACAGGGAACCGAATAACAGGCCTCGCTGGGTAATACCTGGAGAATAGAATGCACCGGCTATTGCCACCATAAGGAACAAAAAGTGTTTAAAAAGATATAAGGATAAAAAAGAAAAAGCTCCAATTGCAAGCAACCCCAACCCAAGAATGAACGGAATGACAAAAGAGAAGAGATAAATTGTGCTAAGAAGATACACGCGGGGCGTACTTGGCGGCGGCGACGTCGAACAGATCGTTCTTCTCTTGGATATCGGCCAGCAAGGCGTGCGAGGGCTGGACTTGCTTCAGGCGCCTGCATTTGGATTCAACTGTCAGTATCGACTCATAATATTGTATATCATAGAAGATGGGGACGCACGATTCCATATCTTCCGTCGGCTTCCCAGCCAGCACATTGAGCACAATAGTATTGGAGATCAGCTCCGCCTCGTCAGGATACTTCTCCAGAGCGGTCGACAGCGCGGCTTCAGCCTCGGGGATGCGACCCAGGTGGAGCTCAGCGACAGCCTGTCCGACAATGGACAGCGGGGCGGACGTGCCAGGCGCAGAGGCCAATTCCTCGTAGACGTAAAAGGCCGATTGGTATTTCTCGCCGCCCTGGTAACACAACTCTGTTAGCACACGCACAGCACACACACACCAGGTGAGACAGGTGAAACCGGTTTCTCTCATGCAAAGACAGAGAGAAAAAAAAAAGGGTACAACGTACGACTCTCAATCCAACCCACGACTCGGCCAGATTAACCAAAAGCGAATCCTGAGCCCAGCGCTTCGCAGCCTGGACCTCCTTCAGGGCGAGGTCGGACCGATTCTGCTGCAGGTGAATCTGCACAATCAAGGCAACACTATAAATCAACCAATTAGCCAACCCATCCACCAAACCATATCCCAGCACCCCCACCCCCGATGGGCTAAAACATACGCTTCCAAACTCCCCTGATGCTTAGCCAGCAAGGCCAGCGCCTCCTCGCTCTTCCCGAGCGCCTGGAACACCGTCCCACCCAGCACCTGCACGGTAGCATTATCCGGGTAATTCTCCGCTAGGTCCTGAGCGAGCTGGAGCGCGGACTCCTCGTCGGCAGAGGCATGCTGCGCCAGGGCCTTAACGGCCGCCAGGTCTGGGACGCTGTCGTCGCTGCTGATCTCGGCGAGGGCGCGGTCGGACTGGCCCTGGGCGATCAAGGCTCGGAGCTTGAGCACGCGCGCGGGCAGCTGGTTCTCGGGGGAGAGGGCGGAGGTGTCGAAGTCGATTACGGTCTCGTATTGGCCTTGGTGAAAGGCATTGTGGATGTTGATGAGCTCTGGGGTAGTTGATTGTTAGCTGGTAGGTAGCTGGTAGGTACACGTCTATAGTGTCGTGTCCGCATGTCGGAGAGCTTGCGAGGGGGGGAGAAGAGAGAGGAGGGAGGTCAGAGCTACTCACCACCCTCAGCAGAGAACGGATCCATTGTGTACTGAATAGAAGACGTAGAAGATTAAAGAAGCGAAGTGTTCGTTGATATTTGCGGGCGGAGGATTCGATGTGTATCTAGATGCTTGCAGCGGGGAGACAACAGAAAGTCGTCACGTTGTCTTTTCCCCGTGACTTGGCTGACCGCTCGCTCAGAATCCGTTGTAGGGGCCCAGCAACCAATCACCAGCTTCTATGGTCTAGTGGCTATGACATGAGTCTCATATCTTATCAGGATGTGACATTGAGGTTAACCTCGGTGAGAAATCTCAGGGTCCTGGGTTCGACCCCCAGTGGAAGCATTTCTTTTTTCTTTTTTTTCCTGTTTGGTCTCTATCTGAACAACAGGTTTATGCTTCTTATCCAACTACAAGCTACAAAGTAAGATAATCAAGTCTGAAATGTTATATATGCAGCCAAAGGCCTAGAACTAAACGAGCGTCCCAGCGCGTCTTCCATGATGGATAGATAATAAAACAAAAATCGAAGAAATATGGTAAAGCGAAAGATAAGAACGATGTTTCATCTCCGCCACACTGCAGCAATGCCAGAAGGCTAGCCGCGAGCAGCCCGGAGCGGCGAGAATAATGTTGAATCAGTCAATGATTCGATTTTGCAAGGACATAATACTATGCCATGCATACATGCACCAGGCTTCGCCATTTGTTGGGGTATGCAGATTTATGTCCAAAATGCAACCAGTTTGAGCGATGTGACATGACTCCCCGAATGCGACTATCCGTGTCCGATGATGATGATGATGATGATGCTCAGAATGTATGGTGAAATGCCGCCGGTGAGTAACCCTTGCCCTAAGACCAACCAACCCATACCACAATGCTAGCAAATAGAGAAAAAGAATAATAAAAAGAGAAACCAGACTCTCGATAAAAATGAGGCAACGAAGAAAGAACAGATAGAGGGTATCGCCAAATATGAACAAGTGATCATCCAGTGACAAGAATTAAACACAAAAGATATGATAAAATATAGCAACAGCAAGGGGGGGCTGGGAGGGAGGCCACTTATCCATTGCGACAAATCTGCAAGATGAGATGGAGTCCTCTCATTGCTCAACAACGTTCAACAAACAACAGATAAAAACGAAAAAGACAACAGTTGGCTGAAATAGATGCGACACAAGCTGGCGGAACTCCTGCTTCCCTTTATAATCTTGATGTAGTAAAAATCAATCGAACGATGCGGGGGCCAGAAAAAAAAAAGAATAAATTGATAAAAGAAGAAGGAAATGGTAGAAGCGAATGATGTAGACGGATGTTAAGGCGGCAACGACGCAGTCGATGTGGTGGAAACGGTGGGCGTCAGAGCCGGAGACGTGTTCTCCTCGGGGCTTGGAGGCGTCTCGCTGCTTTCCTTCTCTCTCTCTGTCGAAGAGGTGCGCTTGAAGACGGTCTGGCCGATCGTTCGGAGAATGCCCATGCGCTCAGCCCGAAGTTCCTCTGCGTCAAGTCGATGCACGGAGATAGGGGTCTCTTTGGTGATTTTGCAGAAAAGCGTGGAAAAGAGGTACTGGTCACCACCGGCGTCGAACAAAGGCAAATACCGGTAGCCTTGGGACAGGCTGCTCAGCTTTGCGGTAAACGTGGCCAGCTGAACGCTGCTGTTATTCCCGGTGCTGCGTCCGTCCAGCGAACTCCAGACCGTCCACCGCACGAAAACTAGATCGGGATATTTGGTCTCCAGGGACAACTTGAAGCGATCATTGAAGATCGGGCTGTACCCGTTACTCTGCTCAATCTTGGTGCGGCGGCGATGCGGGAAACCAATACCGGACATGCCGTTGCGCGCGGATGCGTCCATGCCGCCCTCGCCGAACACGAAGCTTTGACCGCGGTCATCAGCGCTGAACATCTCAATCTCCACATATGGATTGATGCTGTCGTCCAGGCCGATGCTACGAGGGCGCGGCAGCTGCTGCGCGGAAACCACGTCGACTGAGAATCGAACAAGCTTCCGTTCCGTGATCTTCCTCTTGTGCTCATCAACCGAAGTGGGAGAGCGAAGAGACTCGGGCTTGAGCACGTAGCCCGTGCGATCGCTGCCGGCAGCGAACATGGCCTGGTTCAACTGCATGCCGACGTCGTATGTTTGCCAGTTCAGTGCCGCCATCTGGACGCCACGGCGCCAGAATTTGAGAGGATCGAAGTTAGACGAACGCAGGCGGAAGCCAGAAGGATATACGCGCGTGAGGAATTTCCGATTGTGCTTCTCCAGCTGGAACTTGTTCTCGGCGTCTCGACAGATTCCCTCGAACGACCGCTCCGCGAAAGAGTACACATGATTATACCGCTGAGACTCGGCGGACGCGAAGCTGTGCCACTTGTATCCTCGGGTGTAGACGCCCAGATCCGACAGCGGCTTGGTGATCTTGCTCTTCTGCCGTTTGCGCCGCTCCTTCTTGGCGGATACCAGCGCTCCGTCGCTGTCTTCGGTGGCACTACTCATACTCGCCGTGGTTACCGACCGCCGGTCCTGCGTGAGGAAAGAGCTCACGTTATCGAAACCGAGCGTCGGGGGGCTGGATAGAGACGGGAGACCGGCGACAGTCGCGCTTTCCATCATCGATGGGCGCAGGAACGGGGAACTGGCGCTGCGCTTGCGACCGTGCGCGGCAGTACCTGGATTCGATGCCGACTCATGCTGCATCTCGTCGCAGGTCTTCACTTTGACCAGGATGCGGCCCTTCAGCTCTTCGGGAGACGGAAGAACGAAAGCGTTAGTCAGCAGCGGCTCTAGAATTAATTGGTCCTTGAACGCGTCTTTCATGATTTTCACCATCGCCAGCTGCTGCTCAGGATTGCAGTGCACCTCCAGGGAGAGAATCAGGGGGAAGTCGGTTGTGATGAAGGCGTAACGGTTGATGACGGTGATGCAGTCGGCAAACAAAACGCTGGTTGTCATGGTCCGGCCATGGGAGACGATTGGTCGGCCGTCCGCACCATCCCAGCAGTCAATTTCGACGCAACGACATCCTTGGGACAGGGCGCTGATGTACGCCTCGGTACTGGAGGCACCGGCCACCTGGCGTCCCAAGAGGTACGTGTTGTGGGAACTAGAAATGAAATACTCGTTCAAGGGTCGATCGAACCGCGACTGGGGAGCGCGAGAAGCGTAGACTCCGTTCCAGGACGAGGTCAGAAATGAGGTGAGTGCCTCGAGACCCATGCGCGAGACGTTCTCGCCGGCTCCGGGTTCCGGGGCAAGCTGCCCACGGGACTTGGACTTCCGAACGAACCGGTCGAACACGGAGGCCCAATAACTTCGATCACTGACGACGTCCTCCTTCTGCACGTCGCGCAGAAAATTCAGAAATTCGTCGAGGGTGAGGCCCGTCTTGGGTTCGGCGGCACTGGCCTTCAGGATCTCTTTCACGTCTTTCCGCTCCTTCAGGCGAGCGACAAAATCAACAAACTCCGCAAAGTTGAGTTTGCCCTTGCTGCCTAGATCGGCCTTGGAAAATTGCGCACGGAGCATGTTCTTGGAACAATTGATATGTAAACTCCGACAGACGCTTTCGACCGCGTTGAAATCGAGCCGTTCCTGCTCCCCGGGCCGGAGCCCCAGCGGAAACAGTCGGGACATCTCCCTCTGCCAGTGGGCTTTGAGAACGGCTTCACTCTGACCGGAACCAGCCAGGCCAGCCATGAGGCCAATTCTATACCGGGAGATGTCCTCAAGGGTCGTGGTCCACAGATCGAGGATGCGGTCGTTGGGAGCGATGAGGTGGAGGATCTTAAAGGCGCGACCCTTGGGCCGCTCGGCATCGGCAATCACGACTGTGAACCAGCGCCGCTCCGCGTCTTGCGGGACCTGGTGTTCCTCGCGGTAATTGCGTGCGTCCGCGCCGACGCGGATTTCTTTGATGTCATCGATGTAGAACCGCTTGGCCGGGTTCGACACATCCCAATACACTTTGCCCGCGTCGAGATCGAGGAAGAATCGCACTTGCTTTCTTCGCTTCTTCGTCACCTTGGTGAGGATGGTCCCGCGTTGGATGGCCGAATCGACCTTGGGGGCAACGGCACCCGAGTTGCGCGACATGGCCATCGGGTTATCACTCGGTAAGCTGGAGGCCTCCGAGCCGCACCAGACACCCAGCGCATCCAGGGCATCGTTGCTGTCCTCCTCATTGCTAGAGTCCAGGGCGTTGTCCCGGGCGGCGGGATGTTGCACCCCTGTCTTGCTGTCGCTCCGTCGGCGCATGATGACGGGGCCAGAGCTGCAGTCCCGCTTGTCGTTCTGCGAGGCCGACTGCCGCCGCCGGGTCAGCTTGTTTGCCGCACCGCGGGAGATCCTGCGCATCAACCCAGGACCTTTGTTCGGGTTCGGGATGATGGGGTCCCCCGAGCCGGACGCGCAGGCATTTCCCGGGACTGCCATCACAGTCTCGCCAAGCTCGAGCGGAGTGGGAGAAATGGAATTGAAAGAAGATATGCGACCACGAAGTCCCTCTGAGGCAGGTTGTAACGGGGTACTCGAGGAGCTCGAAGCATTTGAGGGAAGGGAGGTCGGGTGGAGAGTATTGGACGTCGAGAAGTAGGAGGGGGCGTCGTATGCGGGGGCGGAAGAGGGATTGGGGGCGGGTGGAAGAGAAGTTATGACATGATGTAACTTGGGGGGTTGAGGGAGGGAAGTAGTGAGCTTTAAATTGGCGTGGGTGTCGCCATTCATGGTTGACGACGAAGTAGCGGCGTAGGCCATCGCGGCTCCTTCGCGGTCAAGGGTGAAACTGTCAAGCTGTTGTGAACCGTGCCAATAGTCGAGTCACCTGGACTCGTGAGGGGGACGAATGAACAACAGCGCTGTAACCAAATATGCTTGGTTTGTAATGGTGGGCCTATAGCTCAGCTGTAGTAATACGAGCCTTAATAGGGAGCGTGCCTGGGTGAGCGATGGTAAAAGCCACGTCCTTAGCGGGATTGCTCTGTTTTTGATATCTGCATCTTGGCCTGCCTTTGATGCAATGCGGAGGAGCCCTGTGCGGGAACACTCGCGACGAAGGAATCCTGGTTCCTGATAACAAGTGAGACAGGCACTGATTTGTGTAACTTTGGCTCCGCACAGAATATTTTTTTTTTTCCTTTTGTTTTTGAATCAAAAAAGAAAAAAAGAGAAAAAAAGCAAAAGTTGCGAACTGCGGCGTCGGATCGCTCACTGGGATCGGAGTGATGATTTGTCGCCAAGTAAGACGCCCCTTTTGGAATCGATCTTCGGCACGTTTCTTGATATCGGTCCAACCTTCTTCTCTTTTCAACCCCTCGTCCAATTTGAAACACTTGATTTACCCCTCTTCGATCGCTGATCGTTTGATGCGTGGGGAAAGCTGTCTTCCTGCAGCAAGACGAGTGCGGAGATGACTCCGATGGGGAGACCGTTACTGACAGACGAGGTTCTTCCTGGATCGAGCCGGCGCAAAGTAGTTGGTTGAGGCAAAAGCCGGCGAACGGAGGCAAGGGAGAGGCACGAGAAAGAATAAAAAAAGGATTAAACGAAATTAAGGACAAGGCAAGAGACACCGAAAATAAGGCGAACACCAGTATTAATTTCCAAAGACAGGGTTCTGCACGTCAACCAGGCCGTGTGCTCTGCGCATGTGGTTGAGGGTCAGCAGAGCCCCTCCGCAAGACAGCTAGCTGTATGTAAGATACCGAACTCGAACAGGGAAATTCCGCGCTGGATTGACTGGACGGAGAATTGGCGCAAGGCTGCGAGGGTTGGATGGGTAATCGGCGACGAGGATGGAGGCTGCAATGCAGGATTGCCTGACAACACAGTGACGCAGGAGGTCCAAAGAGGAAGGGCGCAGACGAGCAATCGGGGACTGGACCGAGTAAGAGAAAAGCGCGCGGAGTGTCGCAATTGTCTAGTGCGTGTTTCGATGTCTAATGAGTTGCCCAGCTTGCCTGCACGGTTACGTGGAAAATGTACTGAAAAAAAGGACCTGCAGCCAAAAGAAAAGAAAAGTGGTAAAAAAAGGCGGCCAGTTGAAGTATATTGTCAGGAAAGGCGATGATCATGCGACGGGGAAGGCGGACTGGCGGCAGGGTATCTATCCTTCGTTCCCGGGTTTCGGATCGGTCCCAAACCTGTGGATTGTTTCGACAAGAGAATAAGAGGGTTGAATTGAATTGATAGATGAAGAGGAAGGAAAGGGGAGAGTGGGGGGAGCTGGAATGGAATTTCTGGGAGACAAGAGAGAAGTCGAAAGATGTTCGACGGGTCTTCTTAAGAAAATGTTGATCCAGCAAAGAGACCCAGTGTGACAAAGGCGGAGGGCATGAAAATAATAAGAATAATTGATCCAAAGAATAATAAAAAGGAATTTCAAAGCTCGAAATTCGAAATTCGAGAAAGCGCCAGGACTGTTTCAATGGAAAGAAAAGCAGCTGGAGTGGAGTTTACCGTGGAGTACCGAACTGACTAGCTAAGGCAGTAGTACGAGCTGGTATCGTATTGGTTTGGTCGTATTGTCACGGGTATCCGTTTTGTCGGTCAGGTATGTGACAGCCAAAAGACGAAAATACTAGAAAATTCACCAAATCGGGTAATACGGAGAGGAGCTCGGAGACGGAGACAGATGGGTAATAATGATATAACCACCCGTCCGCGATATGAGGGGTTATGTAGAAATCAACCCGACTCGGCTGAAAATAGATAATGATCAAAATAAGATAAAGAGGGAGATAAAGAATTTCCAATAAAGATAGGTCGAACCCTGTCTTTTGAATTCTCTCTGCTTGCTGCCAGGATCCAATTCTCTGCCACAGGAAAGAGAAGGAGATCAAGAGATAAAATGAAGACAGTAATGGGGCGAAGGTAGGAAGGATGAAACGGATCTATATACTGAATCCCCAAGCTGGCGAGCAAGGGAAAGGGACGGTCAATTCTGTCATCTAGTCCAACTGGGCCGTTATCGCTGGGCATAACTTGGAGGGTTGAAGTCTGTTTTGTAGATTAAGGTGTGAGATCAAATCAAATCATCTCATCACATACTCCGTACACCGTAGGAACAACGGCGGCCCAAGCAGTCATCCTCCTACCCAGTAATCAGGCACCCTTTCTATTCTTTGTTCTGATTCCTTCTGTCTTTCTTCTGTTTCTAGTTCTGCGTTTCTCTTCTTTTTCCTTTCATTTTGTGACTACTTTCAACAAAGATGAAAAATACTAGGATCTACCAGACTAGACGTCATCGCCCGATCGTATTCTCTCAGGAGTATTTTATTGCTTTTTATAATTTCTTTTTCGGCTTTCGCGCCATCTACCCAGTGAATAGAATTCCGGGGTTTAAAGCCTGAGGTCATTGGATATGGGATAGCCCCGGGTTAGGTATGGCAGACATCATACCACACTCTCCCCCCAATCCCTGCATCAGTATGCGGAAATCATATTTTTTATTCTTGTTTTTGTTCGAAAGAGTAGCTAAGAGAATGAAAGAAAAAAAGAAGAGAGAAGAGAACAGAGGAGGATTTACCCCCCATGATCCCAGTGGTCAGGCCGATCGGTTTCCTCCATTGGACGATCATCCCTTGAACTTGTCAATCTTGACAAGTTTGGATGATGATAAGGGCGTTTCACATTTCCATAGCAGAAGAATGTGACTCCTGATTGGTATGATGGGATCGAGCTTTGCCTTGGGGATGGATGGTCAAGGAGAATGACTGGCATACTCCGTTCGAAAAGGGGGGTGGAGGGAGAGGGAAACAAGGGGGGAGATCTCTCTCGAGCCATGTGCATCCTCATCATAGGTGAGCGGTGGATAGTCAGTGGTTGGTGGGGACGTTCCCATTCCCATCGTCAGTTGGTTGTTACAGAAGTCAGTAGTCTGTTAATCCACAGGATCCTTATTCATTCTCCCGTTGTCCATCCAACACACGGCCACGCCGTATTCAGTAATCCGACATCGTTTGATGACCAGATCAACAGTGGTCTTATCCGAGGCTATAACATTCTCTGGAAAATCATGGCGATGGCGGTCATGGAGGTAATGGCAATGATCAATACAATGACCTCAGACTTAGCGCCGGTTCAAAACTAATGCCTTACCGGCGATCCACATGGATGCGCGATAGGCAGCCATCTAATTTTTCCATACGAAGCTGGTAGGACCTTGGTGTATACCCAATGACACCACGACATATCCGTTCAATTCACGCTTAGTGGGAGTCCTAAGGCACCGGCACGATGGTCCTCCGGGGAAGACCTCAAGACGGGAGAGCGAAGCTTCTTCTCATTGGGCCTTGTTGGGTCTTCCACGTCCTTCGACTCTTACTTCCGACTTCACCCATGAACCCATAAGCTTTTCCTCGGTATGTGTTAATACGGACTATACGCTAGGTACTATCGACAATAGTGAATACTGAATAAACATCACCATCCCCCCTTTTTCCCTTCTTGTGGACGTTCAACACAGTGGAGATATTCTCAACCTGGGGCAGCCGTAGCTGCACACCATTACCCATGTGCCTTAGCATCCGGTACAAGGATGGGACCGGATCGAGCTTCAGTCCAATAACGGTACACTTGCTGTTTATCCTTCTTCGGGGACTTCTGACGATCGGATTCGGTGACTAGTCACATGACCATAGACAAGAATAGGATGGTTCAAACATTCAAATCACATCCTTTCAATCCATAGGGGATGTCTGTCCACACTGATTGGACTACCAAGTCCG